GGCATTATTCGTTCATATCTAAGCAAATCCACCAAGATTTCCTTAAAAGGGTGCAATTTCTTAAAATTCACTATAAAACCCTTGTTAAAGGCATTGAGTGCTTTGTTAGAGAAACAATGGAGATATTTTTCATTTCCGCGCCGCAGGTCTTGTAAAGGTCTCTCATTCCCTAACCGCCTGTAATGCACGAGGTATTGTTCTATTCTTTCTGTCTTGAGTACAAATCTTGCATTCTATGTCATGTTATTTTCCACTGATTTACCTAAATGTCCAAAAAGTTGATCAATACTAGGGCTTGGCACACAGCATGACTTAATCGAACAAATTGGTGAATGAAAATTGAAGAACTTGATTATTCTTGTATAAAGTGTCTTGGTTTATGTATACACACCAACCAATCATGTCTTATGACCATCATTAGGAGAAATAGGAATGGTGTATTTTAGCTTTGATCCCAATGAGTAAATTGGTTTCCAAGAAATGGGTTGTTTGTTTTGTTAAATCCCTTTGAAAAGGAAATTTTTTTATAGCATCAATGATGTACAATCATAAGAAAGAATCTAACCATTCTGACAGGGATATATATGCTCTTGATTGCTGCATTAAAACTGTAGTAATAATGTCTTCTAGTGAGCAAAGAAGAAGCGCACGAATTTCTGAAATGGATCGCAGAAGGCTAAGCAAGCAAAGAGCCAAAATAAGGATAAGCGAACATGTGAGGAAGCAATGGAGGATTTAGGTACTGAAGAAGTCGATATCGATCTAAAGCGAGGAAGAAAAAAGACAGATTAGATCCATCCAAGATTTAGTTGTGGACACGGATGGAGACAAAATTCAGAAGGTACTTTGTGTTTTTATGAACTCTTTATTTCTTTCAACTGTCATTCATTGAAAGTCTTAGGTTGTCTCATTGCTGTGTTATCTCAACACTACAGATATTTCTTATCTGAAAATTGCTTTTGCCAGTGTAGTTCCTTTGTTTGCTAAAAATTTGACAGTATAGTTACATATATTGGATTATACGTTTTATCATCTGGCTAATGTTCACGTACTTTACCAATTCATGGTTTATGTTGGCGGATATTTACCTTGTTTCTTTTTTAAATCTGACCTTATTTCAGAGCATGTTACTAATACTCAAAGTGTATAAGCTTGTTGTTTTCTGGAAGTTTTAATACACAAGTATAAGCTTCTTATGGAATGCGGATACTTTACTGCTTTAATGGTTATAAAGAAACATAATGTAGAGCATTCGTAGGCCTGAACGAGTGGACATGCGGAAAACGTTCTGATTTGAATATTTCTTACTTTTCCTTTTCGGAAACTTCAATTGCATATGTGTAACTAGTTAGCTACAACTGTGTTGAACTTTCCATATATTCCGATGTCTTACTTAAAAATTAAATTTAGGTCGACAACTCTAGCCATGAAGACGATCAACCAAATTCTGGTGAGTGCCCTTCCTTTATTTTTGGAGTATATTTGGAATGTTCTCATATTGTATAAGCATTTATGATGAAATTGACTCAAAACTTTTTGAATGCTCTTGTATCAGCTGTAATGTCGTCTGAAACTGCTTTACCAGAAAGACGCAATCTTGAACTTTTACTTGGTGTTTTGAAGAGGTATATACTTACAGTAACTTGTTTTATGTTTTCACGGTAAGTTAGGAATCAGGATTTATACTCTCCATTAACAAATCCAGGCTATAAACTACACATTCCTTCCCATGATTGACTTATTCGATATGTGTTCATCAAGAATAGTAATTTCTCAATTTTGTATTTGACTTAAATTATAGGAGAGACTGGTACAATATTTTTGCTGAGCCAGTTAACCCAGATGAGGTCAGTATCTAGTTACATTAGTTCCATCCAAATGCACTTTATATGTGTAGTTAGTAATAGTTTACTGTGCTCTTAAATTTGAAAGGTTGAAGACTATTATGAGACCATAAAAAATCCAATGGATTTTGGTACAATTTCAACAAAACTTTCTGGTGGAAGCTACAAGACACTGGCGGAATTTGAGGTTTGCTCCTTTGTTAATAATTAGTCATATGCTTGTCTTCTCTTTGTTGGGCCCTATAGAGGATAATTTTGATTTTCATAGTTCCCAGACATGTCTTGGAAAATTATTAGTTTCAACACATTAATTGGGTGTCATGAGTTTCGAATAGAATACTTTCCAACCCTTCATAATCAGTTGTTGATTGTTGATTTTGTTTATTCCAGCATGACGTATTTTTGGTATCCAGCAATGCAATGCTTTTCAACTCTTCAAGTACAGTATATTATCGACATGTGAGTTCATTAGAAAGTATCTTTATTATTCACGTGTTTAACCAATATTTTATGCTCTAAATTCTCTGTTAACAAGATCTAAATTGTGCATATCCTCTCATGTATATACATTCTGATTTCGTTTTCAGGCACGTGCTATTAAGGACCTAGCACAGAAGTTGTTTGACGCTCTAAAAACTAACCCTAAGAACTTTGAAAAAGAATGTTCCATTTTGAGACAACGAGCTGGTAGGAGGACAAAAAATGGCTCTTGTGATCAGCCAACTAAACGAGTGGTATCAGAAGGTACAGCTTTTTTCATAACCAGATGATGTATGACCAACAAAAATAATTATGTGGCTCGTGACAAGTAAGAGGATAAGTTCATATCTATGCAGGCCAAAGTAATGTAAAAATAGATAATCTTTTCATTGCCTAAGAGATGAATGATAAGCCCCCTATGCGTTTTACGTATGTTCGAAGGAAGCACAAGCACCTCCACGTGGCAAAATCCGGGAGCTGAGGGAGGAACTGTAGAAGGAGGAACTGGACGTGGAATTTGGCTGAGTCAGCAATTGGTTAGTTAGTTATTCCTAGGGATGGGTGAAAGAATTAGAGATAGTACTATAAATAGAACAAGGGGTAGAATAAGAGGGGAATCTGAATTCTATTGTAACTTCCGTAAGGAGAGAGAGTTGGAGAGCAAGGGATCTCTCGAATATCCCCATATACACCCTGTAACCTACGTCCGCCATTAATTCAATCAAGCTTTCTGTCAGTATTCTACTATTTTCCTGCCATAATTCTCTATTCTGTGATTTGGAGCTTATCATTTGGTATCAGACCACTTTCCTGGATGACGAGGAGGACTGACGATTGTGATAAGGAGAGATCGGAGGGTACGAGGGAAGAGTTCGCTAGGGAATTGGAGGAGGTGTGAGAGGAATTGAAGAAGATTCCTCGGTTGGAGCAGGGAATGGACTTGTTGTTAGCAAGAATGGAGGAATTGATGACTTTGCAACGTCAAGAACGACAGGACCACTAGGTGACCGGAGTGGGAGCACCGGCGAGGCAAACGACGCCGGGGGAGGAGACGGGCGAGAGAGTCAGGCAAACGCGTGATTTTGGGAATCGCGTAGATTGTCGGACTAGGAGAGTGGAGATGCCGACGTTTGACGGTGAAAATCCCGATGGCTGGATTTTTAGGGCTGAAAGGTATTTCACGATGAACGGATTATCGGAGAACGAAAGGTTGGACGTGGCAGTTGTTAGTCTTGACGGGGAGGCCCTAGCATGGTTTCAATGGGAGGATGGCCGTCGGATGATTCGGAACTGGGCGGAATTGAAGGTGATGATCTTGGAGCGGTTTCGTCCAACGCAGGAGGGTAGTTTGTGTGAGAAGTTGCTGTCGTTACGACAAGACTCGTCGGTGAGGGAATACGGGCGGAAATTCAAGGTCCTAGCAGCTCTGTTGAAGGATATCTCTGAGCAGGTTCTAGAGAGTTCTTTCGTTAATGGTTTGAAACTGGAGGTGTGAGCAGAGATTAGGTTGATGAATCCCATGGGGCTGGGAAGAATTATGGAGGTAGCCCAGAGGGTGGAGGAGCGTAACCTGTTGGTACGCGGCCCAAAAGCCCAAGGCCCACAGTACTCAAGTTGGGGAAAAGGGAGTCCGTATAATGAACTTAGGGTGGTCCAACATCTTCTAGTGCTGGTATCCGTTTCAGTGGGGCACCGACTGAAAAAGGGAAAGTTTTGGAGGAAAGAAAGGGAAGTGGCACGGGAGCGGCGCCGTTTAGGGGAATGACCGATGCGGAGTTACAAGCTAAGAGAGAGAAAGGTTTGTGCTACCGGTGTGATGGAAAATACTTCTTTGGCCACCGCTGCCCGAACCGGAAGTTGCAGGTCTTGATCGTCCGAGAGGAGGAAGAACAAGTTGAAGTAGAGGAAGAAAAAGATGAGGCGGCCGACGACGAAGAGACGGTGGAATTGTCTCTTAACTCAGTGGTTGGGTTGATTGCTCCAAAGACCATGAAACTCAGGGCGTTTCTCCAAGGGTGCGAGGTAATTGTTTTAATAGATAATGGTGCTACCCACAATTTTATTTCGTGCGAGTTGGTTCAGAAATTGAATTTACCGGTTGATAAAACAGGGGGTTATGGGGTGGTGATGGGAACCGGTTTGGCGGTGAGGGGAGAGGGAATTTGCCAAGGGGTGAGGGTTTCCATGCAGGAGATTGAGATAGTGAAAATTTTTTTACCTTTAGAGCTTGGAAGTTCGGATTTGATATTAGGTATTCAATGGTTAGAGATGTTAGGGGTGGTGTCTGTGAATTGGAAAACCTTATTGATGAAGTTCAGCTTGGGAGGGAGGCAGGTTACATTAAAAAGAGATCCGGGAATGAACAAGTCGCCGGTAATGCTCAAGGCCTTAATGAGAGCTTTGAGGCACGAGGGGCAGGGGGTATGGGTAGAGTTAGGGGCTCTTGGAGTGGAGTGGACAGCCAAGGAGGAGGAAGTTCCTTCGGAATTACAAGGAATGTTGAGTAGTTTTGGCGAGGTTTTTGAAATGCCGGAAGGGCTGCCACCGGCTAGAACCAAGGACCATGCAATTGTCTTGAAAGAGGGTACTTCACCAATAAGTGTTAGACCATACCGATACCCTCACATTCAGAAAACGGAAATTGAGAAATTGGTTGGAGAAATGTTAGTGGCAAGTATCATTCAACCTAGTGTTAGTCCATATTCTAGTCCGGTACTGTTAGTAAAAAAAAAGGACGGTAGTTGGAGATTTTGTGTGGATTATCGCTCTCTGAACAAGGAGACAGTTCCCGATCGTTTTCCGATTCCGGTGATAGAGGAACTGTTGGATGAATTGCATGGCGCGACAGTTTTTTCCAAGATCGACCTTAAATTAGGTTATCATCAGATTAGAATGAAAGCCGAGGACGTACCAAAGACAACATTCCGTACACATGAGGGACATTACGAATTCCTTGTTATGCCCTTTGGTCTTACGAATGCTCCGGCGACCTTTCAATCGCTCACGAATGACGTCCTTCGCGCTTTTCTCCGTAAGTTCGTACTCGTTTTTTTGTATGATATACTTATTTATAGCCATTCTTTGGAGGAGCATGCAGTCCATCTTGGCCAGGTATTGTCAGTGTTGCGGCAACACCAATTGTACACCAACGCCAAGAAATGTAGTTTTGGGCAGCGATCGATTGAGTACCTTGGCCATATAGTGTCCGCTGAGGGTGTTTCGGCTGATCCGGCGAGTTACGGGGATTTCTCGGGTTGACGGGTTATTACCGGAAGTTCGTGGCGGGGTATAGTCAAATTGCAGGGCCCTTAATTAGCTTGCTCCAGAAGGATAGTTTCCGGTGGGATACGGAGGCGTTGCAGGCTTTTGAGAGGTTGAAATTAGCCATGACGCGTGTACTGGTTCTAGCGCTGCCGGATTTCACAAAGCCTTTTGTCCTTGAGTCGGATGCGTCAGGGTTTGGAGTGGGGGCAGTTTTGATGCAAGATCAGCGCCCTATTGCTTATTTCAGCCAGGTTTTATCGGCTCAAGCACGGACCAAATCCGTTTATGAACGGGAATTGATGGCTATTGTTTTGGCCGGTCAAAAATGGCAGCCGTATCTCTTGGGGCATCATTTTCTGATTAGGACGGATCAACGCAGCCTTAAGTACTTGTTGGAGCAACGCCTAGTTAGCATGGAACATCAAAAGTGGTTGACCAAGTTGTTGGGGTATAATTTCGAGATTCAGTATCGGCCGGGAGTGGAGAATCGAGTAGCGGATGCCTTGTCCCAGTTAGTGGTGGGTCCAGCTATGGCCGCCTTAGTGGCGTCCACTTTTGTCAATACTGAAGAACTCCATCAACAAGTGTTGCAAGATGAACGGTTGGCAAAAATTTGGTCGGGCTTACCTCATAATCCGGCAGCCTATCCCGGGTATTCTATCCGACAAGGCCGGTTGTGTATAAGGGAATGATGGTGGTGGCGTGTACTTCTCCGGTTGTACAACGGTTATTGCACTCTTACCATAACGGGGTGTTGGGGGGCCATTTGGGGGGTTTGAAGACCTACCGCCGCCTGGCGGCCGATTGGTTTTGGTTGGGAATGAAGCGTGATGTAACCGCGTATTTGGCCCGTTGTGAGGTATGTCAGCGGTGTAAAGCATCTACGCTGGCACCGGGTGGGTTGTTGCAGCCCTTGCCCATTCCAGAACAGGTGTGGGAAGATGTATCCATGGACTTTATTGAGGGCCTTCCTCGTTCGGATGACACTATCTTGGTGGTTGTTGACCGTTTGAGCAAATATGGCCATTTTATTGCCTTGAGACATCCATTTTCTGCCGAGAAAGTGGCTATGCTGTTTGTTCGCGAGGTTGTGCGGTTGCATGGGGTTCCCTGCACCATTGTCTTGGATCGAGACCGTATCTTTCTTAGCCGTTTCTGGACTGACTTGCATAAGTAGATGGGTACTGCCCTTTCGCACAGTACGGCCTATCACCCATAGACCGGTGGGCAGTCCGAGGTGGTTAATAGGTGTGTGGAAACTTATTTGAGGTGTTTCACCTCTGATAAGCCGGGGCAGTGGCATAAGTGGTTGGCCTGCTCCGAGTATTGGTACAATACTTCTTTTCACACTGCCACCCGGATGACTCCGTTTTAGACGGTTTATGGCCGTTTTCCCCGACCCTTGCTGCGGTACAGTGTGGGGGCGTCACCGGTGGATTCGGTGGAGCGCCAGTTACAGGACCGGGATGCCATGTTGGAATTACTCAAGTTCCACCTTCTTCGTGCTCAGCAGAAAATGAAGGCGGTAGGCGGTAGCGGATGGTAAGAGACGTGACGTGGAGTTTGCCGTGGGAGACCTAGTGTACATCAAACTTCGCCCTTACCGTCAAGTTTCGTTGGCTCGCTGCCGTAATGAGAAGTTGAGCCCCCGTTTCTATGGGCCTTTTCGGATTACGCAACGTGTGGGACCAGTCGCTTATCGTTTGGCATTGCCGGAGTCGGCTACCATTCACTCAATATTTCATGTGTCACAGCTGCGTAAGGTAGTGGGACAAGGACAGGCCATTTCCTCTCTGCCGGCCCAGCTGACCAGTGATCTGGAGCTGTGCAGAGCCAGCTGAACTACTGGGGGTGCGCCAAACATTACACGGAGGCCGCACTGATTTGGAGGTGTTAATACGTTGGGCTCACCTGCCGGCTCATGAGGATACTTGGGAGTCATATGCCGCCATTGATACACAGTTTCCTCATTTTCACCTTGAGGACAAGGCGCGTCTTTGGGGCGGGGGTAATGATAAGCCCCCTATGCGTTTTACGTATGTTCGAAGGAAGCACAAGCACCTCCACGTGGCAAATCCGGGAGCTGAGGGAGGAACTGTAGAAGGAGGAACTAGATGTGTGAATTTGGCTGAGTCAGCAATTGGTTAGTTGTTAGTTATTCCTAGGGATGGGTGAAAGAATTAGAGATAGTACTATAAATAGAACAAGGGGTAGAATAAGAGGGGGATCTGAATTCTATTGTAACTTCCGTAAGGAGAGAGAGTTGGAGAGCAAGGGATCTCTCGAATATCCCCATATACACCCTGTAACCTACATCCGCCATTAATTCAATCAAGCTTTCTGTCAGTATTCTACTGTTTTCCTGCCATAATTCTCTATTCTGTGATTTGGAGCTTATCAATGAACCATCTGTCCTATCTTTATCTGCATAAGCTTGTGATATAATACGCTTATTGCAAGTTTTGATGCACGTGAATCAAGTGGCCTGTGCGATCACTGTTTTCTTATATTATTCATATGTAATACATTTGTTTATAGAATGATTAGTGGCTACCATGAAACAGATGGTACACTCCTTTTTCTTTTGGTGCAATTAATGCAATACCAACTCATTCTCTCTCTCTCTTTTGTTCCTGTGGACAGGCTCCAGAGAAGAAAGACCATATCAGCACAGTGAAGATCGACTTGGAAACTGTAAGCCTTGGGAAACATTTCTTAATGAGAATGAGGCAATTATTTCTTCAGTTTACAAGAGTCCGGAATCAATTAATCCGAAGTTGAAGGTTAGTGAAGTCTGTGTTGGTGCATGTGCACAAGCTATGATATTAATGGTTTTCAAACTATTTTTAGCCAATCGAATGTTAAAGCAGAAGGCTTGTATTCACTCTCCATAAAACCTTAAATTCAACAAGAGGGATGAGCTCCTAAGGCTTATCTATTCCTGCAAGTTATGGTCTATTATGGCTTTGGCCTTATTTTGAAAAAATGTAGTGGCGAGTAGTGAATAGTGCCAAGTGCTTTTGAATGTGCAGGTCTAGATGTTGGCATCTATGCAGGGTTGAGATTTCGTGGTCAGGAGAAATGTTCATGGATTTATCAGTACCTACTTGTATACTAATTTCTTGTCTTGATTTTGTAGACAAAAATGGACGAGGTTGGATACGAGGGAAGCTTGATGCGGTTTGTTAAAGATCTGGGGCCAACACCTCAAACAGTTGCCAGGGACAAGTTGCAGAAGTGGAAAGCTGATGAAGCTTTTAAGCGTCAGATTGTGACTGCACACCTAGAGCCCCTGAAATCCCTAATGTCACATCTGGACACAATGGTTTTCCCGCTGCTTTGTCTTTAGACTTTCATAAGAATTCCACAAGGAGTCAGCATTTTGGTAGAAAAGTGAATATTCTTTGTGATAAATTGGATGCGCGAAAGGCATCTACACTTGGCATTCTAAACATCAACAATCTTTACGTGGAGGATTTGTTCAGGCTGGCAACAAAATGGAAAATACCGGTGTGTATGGTGGAAAACTAGTCCAGGGTATTGGAGACGGCGTCGTTTCTTTTAATCAAAGCATGGCTGACCAAGGCATTGGTACTCCTTACCTCTCCACTATATGGAATAATTCTGGCAACTTGATCCCCAATCCTATCAACAAGGGTAAGAATGTCCTAAAGGCCGAGCCGAGTTCTTCAGTTTTTAAGGAAATTCCAGGCAACAACAGAAAATTAGTCCCGCTCACTAAAGAGGGGTATAACTCTTGGGAAGATAACCCGTCTTATGAAGACATTGGAAAATACTTTTCCACCTCCCCAGCAGGAAATTCAGTACCTTCTCTCTCTACAACAAGGGACACGCACAACATCTGGGAAAAAGTCTTCTTGACTCCTATTAACCCGAGTAAGAATTTCCAGATGTCTGAGGCGACCTCTTCGTATCCGCTGCAAAACCCTGGTGACCTGCAGAGAAATCCATTCCAGCCCGTGAGACAGGAGGGCAATGCTTTTACGCAAAACCTTCCTGATCAAGGCGTAGAGAATTCTTATCTTTACACCCTCCTTGTTAGGAGCTGGAAATTCTTACTTCTCCAATGCAGAGAACACGCTCTACAACACCAACAATTTTGTCCGCAGTGCTATCAACATGGGTGTGAATGTCCAAATTCCAGTGGCAAATCCTACAAGTCTACTGGAAACTCCTGGTGGCAACCTCGAAAAATCATCCGAAACCTTGAGAGAACCTGCTGCCGTTTTTAAAGAGCTCACACCTAATCAAGGCATTGGGGGTAATTATTTCTCCACTCCCTTACTTCTAGATGGAAATTCATGCTTCCCAGTTCAACCAAATAGCGCCAGCAACCCTGGAATATTTGTCCCAACCATCGTCAACAATGGCGCTATGAATGTCCAAATACCAGGAATGACGTCTTCAGGTCCAAGTATGCTAGACACTCTTTTGGCCAGAGATCGCGGTATTTTGCCGTCTGCAACCATGGAGGCGCTTTTCCTGGCTGTCACAGCTGGATCGGATTTAACTTCCCTTATTGGGGGAGTAAATCAAATCCAAGCCGTTGGTGCTGGAGGAGGCACAAGCAATGAAGGTAAGTTAGAGCAGGCAGACCAAACTTTGAGTTGGCTTCAGCCAACACAGTGGGCGCCACAGCCTATCTTTAATGTTTCAATGCAGGAGCAATCAGGGATGGCCGCAGCAGATTTGGCGGTTCAAGCTGCATCCTCTGATTGGCGAGCGCTGGGTAACAACACTGCTACCAACACTGCTAATGGGCAGCTAATGGCGGGTACATCCGTTATGAATTGGAGGCATTCAATCGATGGCCGCCTGGAGGAATCGAACACTGGAGCTCCTCTATTCAACAACCATAAGCCGACCGAACGCTAATGTGGTTCTATGGTCCTAATCAACTGTGAACTGAGCATTGGATGAAGGGCATGTGATTTAGGACAAACATGCCCAGTTATTATCTTTCTTTGTTTTTTGCATTTTAAATCTTCTATTTGCTTCATGCTTCGTTATGACTTGTGAGTAGAAGGATTTCATTTGGAAGTTTTGATTTTTATTTTTGCTGAATTTTGGAAGTTTTGATTTGGAATGATGAGATGAACTTGCTATTGTTTTTTGTTATGTCATTTCTCCTTTACATAATTTGTTCCTTATTAGACAAAAATTGTTTAAAAACTATGATACCCTTGAGTGTATGGGTCTGAATTTTTACTCATTATTCTTGATTAATACCCTTTTAACTCATATAGTTATTTGACTAAAAAGGATATTAATCAAGAGTAAAGAGTAGAAATCTAAACACATGCACTCTAAAATAAGGGAGTTTCTTTGATGAATTACTGGTAGTTCTCTTGTTTTTAACCATCTGATGTGTATTAGAAATTGTATGTTCTGTATACTTTTTTAATCTACTCTGATTCTAATCAGTTTAATAGTTAGAAATTGACACTATCAGTATGGATGTCTATTAGAGAAAGTCTTTATTTGTGACTTTCTCTTTTAAGTTTTGTATTATGTCTTAAAATTTAAGTATATTGATACTTTAAACTTTATTCCAAATAAACTAAAAAATTAACAGCACTAATATAAAGTTTATTATTTTATGGACTATAAATTTTAAAGGATTAATTACAAAAATTTTTCTTGATCCGTTCCCTTTGAACAATGAAATGTTAACAAAAAAGCTCTCTTTATTAAGTTTTTATTTGAAATAGGCATTTAATTTACTACTTCGAGGGTATTTTGATATTTTTATAGTTTAAAATTTAATTTGAATTTAAACTAATTTAAATATTCAAAAAAAAATTGTATAAATTTTTTTATTCTACGCAAAAAAAAAGATTCATAAAATTTTTAACTTACATTCAATCAATAACGGATGTATCATAATTAAAAGTTGAAATTTAAATTAGTTTTAAATTCAAACTAAATTTAAACCATATAACTATTAAAATGCTCTAATATAACAAATTACATGTGAATTTCCATTAAAAAAGCTAACGGAGAGGCTTTTTTTTTAATATTTTATTATTTAAGGGGAATAAATGTTACGTTTTAAAAATTAAGAGACAAAGTGTTACAAATAATATATTTTACGGGGAGTTTTTATAATTAATCTAATTTTCAAGATAAATTTAACTCTCGGCAAATTTAGGATATAGAAAATAATAGATAAAAAATCTAAGAGAGATAAATTATTGAAAACAAAATAGATGCATGTATTGTTATTTTATTTCAAAATATGTATAGTTATTTTATTTCAAAATTTCAATTAAATTCATATTTCTCTGAAAAAAAAGGCTCCGCCATTGAGCACAACAAAAGCGTCACTTGATATTAAAAAAAAAGTATAATTAAACATATGTAATTATTAAGATCTCCGGTTTTTAGTATAATTGTCTCTCGAAATTATCGTGGTTTAATAAATTGTTTGTCTCCTAAACATTTAATTTTAACAATTAACCTCATGAACTTGTAAATTTATCACAATGTGTCTCATTTTACTAAATTTGTTTAAAATTTTTTTAATTAGATTTAACGGATTAAAAGTTGAGAAATTGAAAGATTTGTTTTACATTTGAATTGGGACGTTGAAATTTTTCGTTGAACGTGCTTTTTCGACGCTAATTTAACACAATCATCATTAAAATAGGGTATATTGCAACAACTTTATAAATTGAGAAGGCAACTTGTCAAAATTAAAAGTTTGTGGGGTAATTTATTAAACCACAATAAAATTAGAGAGTAAGGGCTCGTTTAATTCGTTGATTTGAGTTTTTAATTCGAGTTGAGATGTGACTTTATGTGAGAGGTAAAAAGTTAGATGTGACTGTTTATGAGAGCTTTTTACTGTAATAAAATTTGAATTTTAAACTCGAATCGGTAAAATGAACTTGACCTAAATATGATAAAAACCCCAGCATCTGTAACGATGATAAGATACCATTTTTCAAGTGGTTTCTACCCAAGAAAAAAAAAATCAAGGGGAAAAAAGAGTTTAAGGCCTCGTCCAGTTCGCCGATTCGAGTTTTCAATTCGAGTTGAGATGTGATTTTATGTGAGAGCTTTTAAAAAGTTAGATGTGACTGTTTCTAAGAGTTTTTAACTGTAACAAAACTGAAATTAAAAACTCAAATCGATGAAATGAATGAGGCATAAGTAATTAATAATTTAAAGCATCACCTTTTGTCAAACCTGAAGGGTAGTTCAGAAATTACGTGTTATCCTCTAGCAAACACACACAAACAGATATGGAGTTTGGCGCTGCTTCCATCACCATCACCATGCATATAGCAGAGACCTCTCCCTACAAAATCATGGAGCTCAAATGGATCAAAACCACTCCCAAAATCCTAACCAGATACACCAAAACCCTTTCTCTTCATCACCACCACTGCCTTCCTCATTTCCCGTCTTCATTTCTACAAAACGGTCCCACATCAACCCCGAAGACCTCTACCACAGCTTATTCTCCTCGTCAGGCACTATCGTCGCTGGGCATATTTCGACGCTGCACAGCTTTAGACGCAGACAACGATGGAGATACTTCCGGTAGCAGTGGAGGAGATGAGGATGGGTTACGATGGCCGCCGTGGCTGGTGTGAACGTTGTCGTTGTCGCGTTGGTTATCTTCTTCGCTTCGACTTTCGCCTCCTCAACCCTGCTCATCGATGTTCGTGATGTGGGCTCAATTTTGATAGTTCGTTGGGTGAGATTGATCTAAGTTCGTCAAAATTTCAGATGTTGTCATTGGTTCAATTGAGAAATTGATGAATCTCTTCAGGAAAGGCATCAACTATGGACTGTTTGGCTTTGAAATTAAAGGGTGTCAACCTCAATTCCAAAATCGGGCTTGTTTAGTGGGTGTAGATCTGAGTTTGTTCATTATTTTAGTTAGTTTTGTTAGATTTGTGTGTTGATGAGTATGGGTGATTGTAATGATGATGGTGATGAGTAGAGTTATGGTGGTACTCAGAAAAAGATGGTGGTGGAGATGGTGAACGGTGGATGTTGGGATGATGCTGGTTGTTGTGGTCTTGGTGACAGTGGCCATAATGGTGGTGGGGGTTTGGTGGAGACGATGGTGGGTGATGAATTTATTTTCTTTTTGAGCATTTCAGTCATTTTAGTGAAAAAGATGGTCACATGATGGGTCAGATGCATTCTCCTGTTAGCTTTTGAACGACTATTGACAGAAATGATCAAATTATACCTGTTTTAAAAAGTTGGGAATCAATTTATTAAAAAAAAAAATTAGAGATCAAACTATCACTTATTAAATATGTTGGGGACTAATTTAAAACATCACCTTTCGTCACACCTGAAGGTAGTTCAGAAATTACACAAGTGTTATCCTCCAGCAAACACACGCGGACAGATATGGAGTTTGGCGCTGCTTCCATCACCATCACCATGCACATAGCAGATACCTCTCCCTGCAAAACCATGGAGCTCAAATGGATCAAAACCACTCCCAAAACCCTAACCAGATACAACCAAAACCCTTTCTCTTCATCACCACCACAGCCTTCCTCATTTCCCGTCTTCATTTCCACAAAACGGTCCCAGATCAACCCCGACGACCTCCACCGTCTCTACCGGACCTGCGATCTCTCCGGCCACCGCTTCCCGGCCTCCGACGACATCGCCGAGGCACAAAAGCTCCGAATTGCCCTCTCCCGCAGCGCCTTCGTCGTCTCCGTCTTCTGCAAGCCTGCTCGCTACGCCGAGTCCTCCGTTAGAAAGCCGGAGTCGCTCCTGCAGAGGGTGGTCGAGCCTCTTAGTCCCTACAATGGCGAGCTGGTAGGGTTTGGTCGTGCCGTTTCCGACATGGCATTGACGGCTTCGATATACGACGTCATGGTAATTGATAATTGTTGATTAAGTTTTAAGTATGGTTATTGTGTGATTGTAATTGTAATTATATGATAAATGTGATTCAGTGACTCTTCCCAGGTTGCTCCTTCGTTGCGAGGATTGGGAATTGGAAAGATGATTGTTCAGAGAATCTTAAGGTCTGTCGTTTCTATTTCTTCTCATTTTTTCTCTCTTTCTCCCTCTTTAAGCTACTTGTTTACTATTATTAGAATCCCATATTAATAAGCCGGTTTTGTTAGGTTGAGTTATACTCAATATTTTTTGATTTTTGTAAAATGGTATCAGAGTAGGCTCAGTTTTACAATATTGGATCCCCTAATATTGACTTATTCACAGCGGTTTGGCATGGTCTACGCTGTGCGTGAGGGGGCGTATTAGAATCTCACATTGGCTGGAGATATTGATATGATCCACTTAATAAGGTGAAGGCAATCCTCCCCTAACAAGCCGGTTTTGTTAGGTTGAGTTAGGCCCAATATCCTTTGATTTCTGTAAAATGGTATTAGAGCAGGCTCAGTTTTACAATGTTGGGTCTCCCAATATCGACTTATTCGCAGCGGTTTGACATGGTTCACGCTGTGCGTGAGGGGGCGTATTAGAATCCCACATTGGCTGAAAATATTGGCATGATCCACTTAATAAGGTGAGGGCAATCCTTTCCTAACAAGTTGGTTTTGTTAGGTTGAGTTAGGCCTAATATCCTTTGATTTCTGTAAAAACTATTATTGATTTTAGGCCGGTTCATTTTATTAGTTCAAATCACAACTTAGTTCTTATTATATTATTTTTTCTCATAAAAATAAAAATTTAAATTTAAATTTTACTGTATTTTTTCTCACGTTAATTTACTTTTTAACTCAAATTCTCAACTTGAGCGAGCGAAACGGAGGAGACGCTGATTTATGAGATTTCTAATATGTGTTAATTTTGTCGAAATCTTAGTTTATTTGGTCTAATATGAGTTGGTGTCAAAAAGTTATGCCTAACGGTTAACACTACTCTTTTAATATTTGCTTAGTTTGGAATTACTGTAGTTTTCTAACAAGTTTATTTTCACTTGTAACAAAAGAATAAGCAGAAGCAAAATAAAAAAGAAATTCCAACTTTAAAAGTGAATTAGTGTCCGTGTAAAGAATTTTTAAACAATGTTATTAAACACATTAATTGACTTTCTAAATTCAAAAGCTGGGAGCTTTGGCCATTCAAAATAGCTTCAAGTGAAACTCACAAAATATGAGTATTTAGAAAATCTATACTAAGGAAACTTTGAAACTTGTTCAAAGATTAGTAAGATTTTATGAACTGCATTTTAATATTTTTACTTCTTATTAGAAAAATTAAATTCAATTTTGTTCCATTAAGCACTTAAGAAAAGGCCGGTTAACTCCAGTTTATTGATCTATATATTTCCATAATTAAACTGTTAACATACAATTAGTTAAAATCAACATTACTTTTTGGATTCACTCTGATAAGGAATTTAGTGACCTTCTAGTTTCTGACATTGTTGGAGATTGGTCTTCTTTTCTACAGGCTTTCGGTTTTCTTCGAGTTTTTGTATTCTCTATTCTTGTAATTTTGTTCTCATTCAGTAATAAATTTCTCTTGTTTCTTTGTCAAAAAAAAAAAAAAAACAGTTAATTGTATTTAACATTTTCCCTTCTCTGTTTGTTCCTACAGAATGCTCACAAGTAGGGACATTTATGACATAGCTGCTCTTTGCTCGGAGAATGAAAGGTAGGAGTTATACTTCCCACCATTACCCACTTGAACGTTGAGCCTTGAAATTCTCTCTCTCTCTCTCTCTCCCTCCCATGAGAAGATTTTTTGTCACATGGGTGGTGCCAATTTTCTTCAAGAGATATGAAAGCCTTGTCATAAACAGATTTTTGCATTTACTAGTGTGTACAGCAAAATGCTTATCTGTTGGTGATGATATATTTTTTTTCCTTATCTTCTTGCAGGCCGTTCTTTGAAGCCTGTGGATTTGGAGATGACATTTTGCGCTCCACTACAATGATGTATACACGGACTGTTTCAGCTAGTTCTGAAGTCAACCAGATGGCCAAACGTGCTGGTCGAAAGCTGTTGTTAATTCCACCCCCTAAAACTCCTCTGCGTGTACCCCTGGATCCTGATAAGCAGTGAAAATACTTTCACCTGCTCAGTGAAAAACACAGTCCTAAATTCAATTCCCACTTTCTTCGTTTGGATTTAACTGTGTACACACTGTACATAGATAGCTACTGTGTGAATACGGCCAAAAAGCGCCAAAAAAAAAAAAAAAGTTACTAGGCCAGTAGCCTCTCCATGTGTTGAAACTCAAGATCATGTTTCGCATTTTTAAACTTGACATATTTGGACTATTTTAACCATTGTGCCTACATTATATACCTGTACGCTATCTAATGTGAAGCGGATTCTTGTCCACCTGTGATGCAATAGATAGAAGAAAAAGCTGACCCAAGAAAGAGATTACCCCATAATGCTGCTTTGGTATATAAAAACATCTCATATCCAAAAAGTAAAGTAGCCTTGTTGATAATGCAGAACAGCTCCCCTTCTTTTTCACCCACATCTCAACTTTATCCAAACAACCTTATACAAGACTGTTTCTCTTATTATCCTCATCTCCTTTTTTCTCAGCACATTCTCTCATGGGAAAAATCTGGGTGGAAATATGCCTCATATCTGCTCGTGGGCTCAGGCGAACTTCTTCACTGTGGAAGCTCCAATGGTTTGCAGTTGGGTGGATTGATCCAAACAACAGGTACTGCACAAAGATTGATGCGTCGGGGAATGCAAACCCAGTATGGAAAACCAAGTTTGCAGTCTCAGTGGATGACTCAGAATCAAACCTCAACGATCTAGTTCTTCATGTTGAAGTTTACAGTAGGGAACCAATATTCCTCAGAGAGAAACTTCAGGGTTCAGCAACTATTCTTTTAAAAGAATTTCTGGCTAAGCATGACAAGAATTCTGAGGCTTCAGCAAGGCCTGGAACTGAAGAGGTGGGGAGCTACCAGTTGCGCAAAAATAGTTCTAACAAGCCTCAAGGATTTGTTGATGTTTCAATACGTATTTCTGAGGATAGAGAAGAGCCATATTCTTACCTTGGTATGCCTAAATCCTTTGGATTATTTTCTTTGCCTTAGGCCAGCCGCCCCGCCCCCAAAAATATTTTCTCATAATTTTGTATATGATTTGCCCCCTCTAAAATTTTTTTAATTGCATTTTCTACACAGATTTTTTTTTTCCTTCTTCTAAAAGTTGCTATTATCTTTCAAATTTTAACTTTTAAGTTTACTCATATTTTCTAATTTATTCAAAATGCTTCAATTATACCTTAAAATTTGACTTTTAAACATACTCATTATTAAAATTTAAAATTCCAAATAAAAAAATTAACGCTACTACTACATAAATTCATAATTTTGTATATTACGCTTTAAAAGGTGAATTAAACTCGTTTGCAAACGTGATTCAAGAAAGAAAAAAATACAAATATATAGAAAAAGATAATTAAAGAGAAAAAATAGTTGCCCTAATAGTTTAAGTTCAAAACTTTAGCTTTAATCTCGCCCCCGGGAAAATTTTTTCTGGCTCCGCCGCTGGATATGCAGACGTTTTTCTTATGATAAAATATGTTTCTGAAGAGGAAATATTATATCAGAATAAGACAATGTATAGACCTAATATTAGAATCTCAGATGGAGATATTAGCATAATTCACTTAATAAGGTGAGGATAATCCTGTCATAATAAGCCGGTTTTGTTAGGTTGAATTAGGCCTAAAATCCTTTGATTTCTGTAAAATAGTATTAGAGTAAGTCCAGTTTTGTAATATTAGGTCCCTTAATATTGACTTATTTGCAGCGGTTTGGCATGGTCCACGCTGTGCGTGAGGGGGCGTATTAGAATCCCACATTATTTAGAGATATTGGTATGATCCACTTAATAAGGTGAGGGCAATCCTCCCCTAACAAGCCGGTTTTACTAGGTTGAGTTAGGCCCAATATCTTTTAATTTCTGTAAAATGCTATCAGAGCAGGCCCAGTTTTGCAATGTTGGGTCCTCCAATATCGACTTATTTATAGTGGTTTGGCATGGTGTGCGTGAGGGGGCGTATTAGAATCTTAGATTGGCTGGAGATATTGGTATGATTCACTTAATAAGGTGAGAGCAATCCTCCCCTAGCAAGCCGGTTTTTACTAGTTGAGTTAGGCTCAATATCTTTTGATTTCTATAAAACCTAACCAGTGTGTTTTATCACAGTGCTGAGTTTCATTCTATGTTTTAAGAAATGTTGCACCTATCCCTACATTTTACAAACTGTGTTAAATCTAGAAATGTTTTATTCTATGTTTTAATCAGATTTGTAACATTATTCCTAAAAACACAAGGTGTAACCCACAGAATTTTGATGAAACATAAAGTAGAATACAATATTTCAATAAAACACGAGGGGAATTTTTGTTATTATCCCTTTAAAACTTGCATTCGTGAGGGCCCCTTTTTCAGCAACAAAATTATCTACTTCAAAAGTATTAACTTTTTGGTCGATGCAAGACATGGCCCTTTATAAATCTTTACTGCATTACTAACTTCAAATGCTATTGTAGGCAATGAAGGAGGACATGCTAATGACGGCAATTCTATTACCTTGGCTACTGGGGATGGTCCTGCAAAAACCTTCCCCACTGAGATCCCCTTAGCTCCATTCCATAGACCAGAATATCAAGCGCGTGCTAATTACCCTTACACACATCCCATTCCATTCCCCACAAACTACACCAACCTGCCTGCAGCTCGACCAAGCTACCCACCGGCAAGTGGACCAAGTTATCAGCCCCCTAGAACTCCACCACCCCCTCCACCGCCTTCTAATGTCGGTTACATACCCACTTTCCTGCCGAGGCCAGACCGTATGCCAGAGACCTATATAAACATGCCATCATCATCATCATCTGGGGCACCTCCCGGCCGTGGTGGAGCACCTGGTTTTGCAATGGGAATGGGTGCTGGAGCTCTGGCAGCGGGTGCTGTGATCTTCGGTGACAACTTCATGTCAGGGTTTCATGTTCCTTCTGGTTTTAATGACCCCACTCTTGTTATATCAACTGATCCTCCTTTCTGATTTATATCGCAAGAGAGATTCTGTAACTATGTACTATTAATGCAGCAGTAAAGTGAACTGAATTTGGTTTACCTCGTGTTGTTGAATTGATTAGTCTTTTAGTCGTTATCAAGAAAGTTAACTAGAATTTGGTCCACAAGTCTATCAACCAGAGATGTAAATATGGAAAACGATTGGCTGGGCTGCTCCTCATACTTTAGTATCTAATGTTGCAAATCAAGGCAAAGTATACAATTTCCTCCAATGTTCTACCGATGCCACACATCACCACTCACCACTAGTTTACTCATGTTATTACACAATCACAATAGCTTGTACAACTCGACACGACAATTTCTGATAGGTTTAAAACCTCAACAGTGATATCTAGCATTTTAGCTACGCCATGTTGAAAGAAATAATGATTACATTAGCTATAACTCTAATTTTCTTTTCAATTTGTTGAATTCAAATTATGTACAAGCTAGAAGGAAGCATTATTAGTATTGCAGCGTGACAGCGTCAGTCTCAAACTTGGCTCTGTGGGATAGTTTCCATTGTTTTGGCCAGCTGTGATTGAAGTTGGGATTCCAAGTTCTTATTCTATAAAGGCCACCGGTACCCTCTTGAAGGTAGCTAAATTGGGTTGGCTGCAAGCAAGAGACAGAAGCTCAAACTACGACTCACAATGCTGCTTCTCCGAGTCACTGCTAAACACTTTGCAGAAATTTCTGAACTATCGATATGAACTCATCCACTTTTTCTTCGTGTGGCAAGTGGCCACAATGCTTGATTACTTCAAAGCAGGAGCCAGGTATAGCTCGTGAAAGCCTCTCAGCATTCCATGCGGGGACAAGTCGGTCATCATCACCCGTAACAATCAGAACTGGGTTTCAAGAAGAGAATTAGAAGCATCATCATGCCAAAAGGCTCTTTCATCAAACATGTCCCAAGATGACTCTCACCATCAAAGAACTTGAAAGAACTCATTCAAAAGGTCACTCGAAAGAGAAGTGTGGAGTGATGTCTTTACCAGGACATGAGATTTCATGCAGTCTTTTTGACAACGGTGGACTTGATTCAGGAGCGGTATCAGTAAGCATTGCTGCAGTGTACTCCACTAGTGCCCTATCCCAATTCTTAGTCCTCAATGGCTGCACAAAGACATCCATGTGAGCATTATCCTTTTCAGAACCAAGATCTTAACAATATGTTTGGTTGGAGGGAGGGAGAGATGGAGGGAGGGAGAGGGGTCGAGAGAGAGAGAGTGAATCTCTTGTTTGGAAAGAAGGAGAAGAGGAGGGAGAGACTCCCTCCGGGCCCACTATTTTGGATCCTTCCATTGATGAAAGGATTCAACCAATCCATCCAAAATTAAAAGAAAATGACTTTTTACCCTTCAAAAGTAATTCTTAACAAATAGTAATATGGACAATATAGTAATTAAACAAAAAAAACTATCATGTGTCCTTTCAACTCCCTCCCCCTCCTACCAAATAATATAAAAGGATTATTATAATCCTCTCTATTCTTCACATTCTTCATCTCTCCAACCCTCTCCATCCTTCCTCCTCTCCATTCTTACGAGGATTAAGATGTTGAGAAAATCACCTTTGTATAACCTTGGAGGACGTGTTCAGTGACTAGATTCGAGTCATGCCATGCATTCTTAACAGCAGCAATACCAAATTTATCAATTATCATCCTTACCTACAAAAGAACATGAGGTAAACCATTTTCAGAGGTACCTTATTTACTTTACCAAGTTTTGTTCTACAAACTAGTCATCAGCAGAAAATGTCCTTGTATTATCGAACAAGTTCACTTCAATGTGTAAGGATATCAACCCAGAACTTGGACTTATTGGACATAACATAGATAAATATGTATAATCCCCCTGATAAAACAAATGACTCAATGAAAGGTAAAAGAATTTTTTTTTTAATTTTTTTTTGATAAAAAGTGCATAGAGAATTATCTAGTGGGAAACTTACCAACATCACAGCAAAAGCTGAGCGCAGAATAGCCGACAATAGTTTCTTATACAGAGAGTTTAGCATATTTGCCATCCCCTTAACAATATTCATAATTGCCTGGGAAACAAACTGAGCGAACTTGGACAGGATATTGCCAAGTTGAACAAATGGGTTCCCTAGGCTATTCTTGTTTGAGCTGTCTTCTTGGATCTGATTATCTCCTCCCAATTGAGTTCTCTTAACAGGCTCCTTATGCGCAATGAGAGGGGCCACAATTGCTGGTGCAACAAGGATCAGAGCAGCAACACGTTCTGGGGCTTCAAAATATGCATTAACTGCTACAAGAGAACCAGCTGAATGCCTGAGATGCCAAATTTTTCTCCATAATTTCAGATTAATCTCAGCTTTAAAAAAAAAAAAAGGGGTAGTGTTGTCTTTTAAAATAACTTTTTAACAAAAAGTAGATGGGCAAGAATAAGAATCTTTTTTGATGAAAAAAAAGATCATTGATGTCATCCTATCACCCTGTCACCTTCATCTATAGCAGAAATCAAGGGGCGTACCGGAAGATCTGAAACGACTTCATCCGATTTTACCGTGAGCTTAGTTTCACTCACACAACCACAAGCTCAATCGAGCAGGGATCTAAAGTGAGATTTTAGTGTATCGAACCCTGAACTCATTCTAAGAGAAAGAAGAAAAAAAGACATTCTGACCGCACCGAACGGTTGGTGGTGAAAATCCAACGGCATCAATAAGAATTGCAATTGTTAGAATTAGCCATTGATGCAAGTAAGATGCCACGAATTATGTTGTTATCAGGTCATTCCAAGAGAGAAGTTTTCCTAAAACGGATCCAAAATATGACCATCCCCACAACAATATATATCCTCTTACAAAATGGGAATGATGTTAATCATGATTTTACAGAAAAGACAAACAAATCCAATCAATGAAAGAAAGAAAAACATTGAAAAGACAAGGAAAAGGAAATGCACATACATACCCCACAAGGATTGCCTTCTGAGACCCCAAACGATCAATGAAGTACAAAGTGGCAAGCACCGAGAAGGCCATGGAATAGGGATTCAAAGGTTTTGCATCTCCATTTCCAGAAGCCGATTTCTCAAAAGGGTTCAACCTTGATGTCAACCCAAATGCTGGTCTATCAAAGGCAACAACTTTGGAACCAACCACCTCAGCCAAAGCCTTCATAACTCTACTCCATGAATACACAGAGGCTCCAAAACCATGTAGCAAAATCATAGGAAACCCGATTTTCTTAACCGGATGAGACACGCTTTGAGTCTTCTCCAAAGACTTGTTTGCTCCTTCTGACTCGGCATCATATGTCTTGTGGTGTATGCGCACACCTCTGAATTCACAAAAACAGCTATCTGGGTCAGCCAAAACGGTGGGCTCCACCAATTCATCTTGATCAATTCCAGCTATTCTCTCCTTCTTCTTCTCTTGTGAGTCCAACAATTGTCCTGTACTATTATCTAAAGTAAGCATCATCACAATTCACCAAGCATTATTGTTATTATTATTATTTATTATTATTTTTTTTCAAAACCCACCAAGGAAACATCTCAAAATCAAGAACCCATTTGTTGGTTTCCATAAAGAAGAATAACTGAGTATGTACCGGAGTAATCGGCGCTAGAAGAAGCTGAAGCCGAAGCACAAACGATGTGGGAGCTTTGAAGAACCACATATTGATGATGAAGATAGGGGTTTTTGTGAAAGTTGATGAAGCTGAATCTTGAAAGCTTGTTATGATGAAGCTTCTTGAAGTTGTGGTTGGAGTAGAAACTGGGAGGGCAAAGTGAGACTAAGCGGTGGAATTCTCTCAGCTCCACCATGGCGATTTTAGTAACTTTTAGCGTGAGTTTATTAATATGTTGTGGAGTAACTTGCTCAGACGGACTCGAGAGTAACTTGTTTTGGCGCTCTCAGAGAGAACACGTCCATGAAGATGAAGTGGATAACATAAAAAAGTACGTTGCGGAGTCTTTTGGAAAATTAGATTAGATCAAGAATTACATTCAATATTAAAATAATTAAAAAGAGAATTGTACTCATGAAAAAAATATGTTAGAATGACTATCCAACAAAATAAAATTAGTAAAATGATTTTTTTTATTTTTTATGAATAATGACCATCTAATTATTCTTTATAAAAAGTGGTCATTTTACAAATAAAATTTTTTAAAAAGTTATTTTACTAATAAAACTTTTCTATTGAGTTATTTTTACAAAGGCCTCCTCCATGACACCAAAATAGCAAAAAAAAAAATAATAATAATAATTCTGTTTTTTTTCTCTCAATAAAAAATAAAAATTAGTGCCATCTCATCTCTCATTTCATTTGTCACAAAAAAATCTTAGAATCCGTTAATAAATCAGAAAGAGACAAACTTAATGTTGACGGTGGAATTTCGTCAACAAGATCTTATTGGATTACCCCACAGAATCCTATTGGGTTACCGGTTTGAAACTTGTGATTGCACTGAATATATTAGATTTGTGTAGTATGGTTTTTGCTAGGTTGTGAAGTAAATGATATTATGCTTATGAAAGTAAGAACACACAGGAATTTTATAGTGGTTCACTCTATTAATCAAGAGCTACATCCATTGTATTGTATTTCTCTTATCTTTGTTCTTCCCAGTTACACATGTGTTAGCAAAGAATTCCTCCTCCCTCTCTCTCTCTCGGGGGCTCTTCCCTTTTATAGTGGGTATTGCACGAGTCTCTACCCAATGGTAGGCAGTTTGGACCATTTGACTGTGTCCTTCATGGGGCCCGCCTACTCGAGAGGCCTATGGCCTTTTTTGTTCAGACCATAGCCAGCAATTACCTTTTGGACGGTTCACTCATCTAATTTGTCCCCCCATTACAGCTCTGTAGATCTCTGTAATAGCTTGTGATCTGTTCTAGGCGGTTTTAGGGGTTTGTAATCATTTCCTATGCAATTGACCTTCTCCAAATCCAGACGCAACCTTGGGATATTCGGCTGATCTTCTCAGGGGTCTTCCTTGAGACGTGGATCCAGTTGCTTATGCTCTGCCATCTGCGCCTATGTTGACCTTTGCCGAGGGTATCTTCCCTCACGGCTGACTTTATCGCGTCATTTGACCCGGACTGGTCTCGCATACCCTGATTGTGTAAAAGGTCGACAATCTCGGTCTCCTTATACATTCGGCTCTCCCGCCATACAGGAGAGACCAATAGCCCTCAGACGTCGAGGGCTAAATGACGTGGCAAGCATGGGGCCATGTATGGCCTGGTCATTGTCCGACGTGTCGGTGTGAATTTTCCCACACAACAGTTGCCCCCCAGGTCGAGGCTTTTCTTCGGACTGCCTCGAGCCAGGTCTGGGGTTTGCTCTGGTTCTCCTCTCGTTTGCTTCGGGTGTGGGAGCTTAATTTTGAACCTTTTTTGCAATGATGGCCCTGGCGCTACGGAACCCCTCGAGAAGCGCAAACATCGTGTCCGTTCAATCGCCATGCTGACGTGACCTTTTCATTTAAATGGATGAATCTGGGCCGTTGGATCGCGACCCCTTAGCCTCCCGCCCTTCCCCCAACCGTTGGATCAAACCCCTGTGCCCCCATTGTTAGATGCAGACGTATTTGATCGGACGGCTGGGGGTCGAGGCCCTTGGGTTAATATAAAGGGTCTCTTCGTGTCTGAATCACCCGAAAACATTTTGAAGCAGTCGAAACTTTGCCAAAATTTCCCCAGGATCGTTCCTTTTCGGCCATTTCACGAATTACCAGCAACATTCTTCTCAAGAACTCGCGCACCTCTCTTGCTCCGAATTCCCTAGTAAGCATCTTCTCAAACTCCCCTCCACTCATTTCATTTCTCGTGTCTGGAATGTGGCGGATTGTTTTCTAAGTGGTGGGAATAGTTGGGAATGGCACGATAGGAGAGGTTGGAACCTGTATTTGGTAGTGTCCGCCATGTCTTGAACTGGCCGTAGGAGTTTTGAGTGATTATATGTTTTTTGTTTGGCATTCTGGGTTAGTTTGAATGGTCGCTGCTCTGCTTGAGTAGTTTCCGGTTCAGTTCACGCCCAGGTTTGAACCGTCATCGCTTTGACCCCAATTTTAACCGATGAGACGTTTCGATCTTTAAGCACCGAACTATCTTTCCTTCCCTTCTCGACTTATAGGAACTGACCTTAAATTTTTCCTTTACAGTAATGGCTTCTAGAGGGATAAAACGTCGAGGGGGATCATCTTCCGTGCCTCTCGTGAGGCCGGATCCAACGCCAGCTGCCGGGTCTCCCTCCTACTCTACCGCCAGCGATTCACTTCTGATGGAGGTCGAGCGCTACGTCCCTGACCTACGCGATGATGAGGACAACGTTGATCGCCTGGTCGAAGGCGAGGCTGACTCTTCTAGCAGTACCGGCTCCTTGGTGGGAGGCGTCATATTCGGCAGTAGCGACCGACTCACGGGTGTCCTTGTGGCCTCGATAGGGGCAGACGAGGATCGGCTGACCTTGACTGCCGACTTCGTCATGCCGAAGACACAGAAGAGGGACATCGTCCACGCATTCAAGAAGGGGTCGCGTGGACGGCCGGTGGTTTGAGTATCTCCTACCAGATCTCCACTTTAGGGCGAGCCAACCTCCCCGGGGCTATATGTCTGTATACACCCGGGCCCTCACGGCGGGGACGACACTCCCCATACATCCATTTGTTAAATCTTTATGCGACCTCTACGGCATCTCCCCCACACAACTAGCGCCGAACTTTTGGTACATTTTTGCCAGTATGTAGATTTTTTGGGACCAAAGGTTTGATGTAGACCTGCCCTTAGATGAGTTTCTTTTTGTATATAAACTATGTCAGACCCCTAGGTGTGATGGCTGGTATTTTTTGGGTGCTCACGAGCGATCCCAGCCCATCTTAAGAAAATTGATATTGGGGTTACCCTCATCGTCACATGCTTGGAAGCCGATGTTTTTTTATAATAAAGAGCATGTTCGATGTTCACCCAGCTGACTCGCCCTTTAAGCGCCGGGGTGTGAGTACATCTTTTGGGACGTTGAGTGAGTTTCCTTCGACCGTCTGTTTACAACTATCGCTTGTTCTATCATATACCGCTGACCCTTTTTGCTCTGCAGTTCCCCAGGACCGTCCCTAGCTTTCTGGGAATCGCCTCGCAAGGGTGAAGAAAGCCTTCGACTTCCCGGAGTCCTTTCGTCACGTCAGCACCTTGCTAACACGTGACAACTTGGAGAGTTCTGGTTTGTTGCTTTCCCTTCCTTCCCCTGACAACACTGCTGAGGTCAAAGATTTCTTCAACCTCACAGCCGGAGGTTAGTTGCAGTTTTTTTTTTTACGTGTTGTCGGTATGTATTTCTGACTTTGGCTGTGACGTAGATATGAAGAAATTAAAACTGCGCGTGCCCGGCGAGAAGAGGCGTTCCAAGAAGCCGAAGCTAAGTGAGCAGCCGAGCGACCCTGCTACGGCTAATGTCCCGCCGAGGCCCCCATCTACAGTCGTCTTCCCGGGAGATGCCAAGACCAAAGAGGCCTCGACCGGCTGAGACGTCGGCGGTGGAGGCAGAGTCGTCGCCGGTAATTGATATTACCGATGCTCCTGAGGCTCCTCTATCCCTAGAACGTATGCTGCTTCCCGAGGAAAGGGTCTTTGACCCACATTTTATCGTTCCCGATGTTGCTCTGGCCCAGATTGAAGCGACACTGAATCTGCCACCGCACTTTTCCATCGTCTTCCAGGCCTTGTACGAGTCTTTTTTTGAGCAGGATTGGGAGAGCGCGACCTGGGCTTCCTTGATCGGCCGTACTCGCCAACAGATCTCTCTCCAAATCCATGTATACTTCGCCGCCTATGTGTCATGCATTTTTGTCTTTCTTTTTCCCTTATTAACAGATTCTTTTTGATTTGGCAGTCCCTCGTCCTCTCTCTTCTTAATTTTCTGGATATGGTTAAGGTGGAAGAAAGAAGTAGGGGAATGGATCGCGTCGAGGGACGTTTGAAGGTTTCCTGAAAAAGGAAAGAGACAGTAATGAGGAGACTTCAAAGAAGCTTACCCGTGTCTCCTAGGAGCTGGAGGAAGCAAAAGCGGATATGAAGTGTGCTCGGAAGGAGACTGAACTCGTATGCAAGGAGGTTGCCGACTCCAAGAATGCCTTTCGAAAGGAAGGATAGAACCTTAGTAAGCAGGAGGGCTACGACCTGGGCAAGGTAGATGGGGTTAAGGAGTTTGTTGCTTCCGCTGAGTTTGCTCAAAATAATGCGGTCGTCGCTGCTAGGGCCGTCGAGGATTTTAAAGCCTCTGAGGAATTGCACGATATGCGCGCCAGTGACATGCTGTCTGTTGGCGAGCAGATCGTGGCAAGGATTAATAGGCATCTGCCTGGCCTCGACCTGGACTTCCTCTATGAGCCCCCTTCAGACGATGAAGGTTCTCCTACCGAAGGCAGGGGCGAAGCTAAGGAGGCAGCAGCTGATGGCGGCGAGGGCAGCCAAGGTGGTGTAGGCGATGAGGCCTAGGATGCTGGGAGTTGAATTATAACCTCTTTTTTGTAATATTGTTTTGCTATTCAGACAATCGATTATATATATATATATACATATATCATATATATATTTTTGTTATATACGTCTGATTGCCTTTATTTTTTAAGTCTTACTAAAATTCTGCTAAGCAAACCGTCCTTCCTTGGAGGGGGCGATATCTCATTTTACCCCTTAGCGTCGTCGTTTTAGCAAATTCCTTAAAATTTACTACGTAAATCGTCTCTCCTCTTTGAGGAGGCGACGTTTTATTTTGCCCCTTAGGGTCATCGTCTTGACAAATTAAAATTTGCTAAGTAAATCGTCTTTCCTCTTTGAGGAGGCGACATTTTATTTTGCCCCTTAGGGTCATCGTCTTGGCAAATTCCTTAAAATTTGCTAAGTAAATCGTCTCTCCTCTTTGAGGAGGCGACATTTCATTATGAACCGTAGGCCCTTTACTCCCCCATGTATGTTTGAAAAACTTTGTTTTTTAGGCACACATATTTAAGAGGTTGATTTTTGGACACATGCTATGAATAAGCTTTGTTTGTATTAATGAAATGCCAAACACAATTAAAGTATGTAAGAATTCGTACACTATTGGCAGTATAGTTTTAACTGCTCTGCATTCCATGGGTGTTGAATCCGTTTGTCGGTGAAGGTTTCCAGAACATAGGTTCCTGGGCGTAGCACCTCCCTAGGTCCTTCCCAAGTTGGGCCCGGGGGCCAGTATTTTTTGGTTTAGTACTCTGCGTCACCTTTTTTAACACCAGGTTTTCAGGGACAAACCTTCTTCGTTTGACCTTTTTGTCGTAGTATCGGGTTGTCTTTCTTTGGTAAGCGGCAAGTCGTAATTGGGAGTCGAGCCATTTTTCTTCCAGTAGGTCGAGTTCTCCATTCATGGCCTCCACGTTTATGTTGGCGTCATACACGACCGTTCTTAGAGTTGGCGGCTCAATCTCTACAGGGGGTACAACCTCGATCCCATATGCCATGGAGAATGGTGTTTCGCCCGTGGTAGTTCGGCTCGTCATTTTGTATGCCCACAAGACTTTGGCAAGTTCTTCGGTCCATTTTCCCTTTAGGTCGTCAAGCTTTTTCTTCAGGGTATACTTTAGGATTTTATTGATGGCCTCCACTTGGCCATTGGACTGTGGGTGTATCGGGGCTGAGAAGTCCTTTCGTATGCCTAAGTCATCGCAAAACTTGCGCGTTGCGGCTTTGTCAAACTGCTTCCCGTTGTCAGACACGATTGAGTGCGGAACGCCGAATCTGCATACAAGATTGTTCCATATGAAGCTGGTGCGGGCTGCCTCGGTAGTCGAAGTAAGAGCTTTCACCTCAGCCCACTTGGTGTAGTAGTCCACAGTGACGATGGCGAACTTAAGGCCCCCAAGTGCAAGGTGTAGAGGTCCAATCAGGCCGATCCCCCATTTGGCAAAAGGCCATGGGCTAAGAATGGAAGTTAGGTTCTTTGGAGACGCTTTAGGAATTGTGGCATATTGTTGGCACTTATCGCAACGCCGAGCGTATTGAAACGTGTCATTTTTAAACGTAGGCCAATAGTACCTTTGCCTCAAAACCTTAAGAGCTAGAGATTGCCCCCAGTATGGTTACCACACACTCCTTCATGGATCTCCCTGAGGACCTCCTGCGCCTCATGATCATTTAGGCACCGCTGCAAAGACATTGAGAAGCCTCGTCTATATAGCAGACCGTCATACAGTAGGTATATGGCGGCTCTGTACCTGATCATTCTGGCTTCGTCTCTAATATTGGGCAATTCTGCGTTCATCAAATACTGGACGAGTGGTGTCATCTAGTCTCTGGCTGTCTGGATAGTCAGGACTTCTGCCGCCTCGTCAATGGTCGGCCGTTCCAATTCCTCAATAGGGATGACCCCTACTAGGTCCAAATCCTTCGATGATGCGAGTTTGGCCAAGGTGTCGGCGTTTGTATTCTCGACTCTTGGCACCTGTTGTATCTCATAGCTTTTGAATTTTATAAGCTCTTCCTTTACCTTCCTCAGATAGGTCCTCATTCTTTCTCCTCGTGCCTCATACTCCTCATTCACCTGTCCGACCACTAGTTGAGAGTCACTAAAAATTTCAAGTCTCTCAATTTTTAAATGACTTGCTAACCGTAACCCCGCAATCAGCGCCTCATATTCCGCTTCATTGTTCGACGCCCTAAATTTGAATCGTACCGCCGAGGTGATTTTGTGATCCTCTAGGCTTATTAGCATGACACCGGCTCCTGACCCGGTTTCGTTTGATGCTCCGTCCACGTAAAGCTTCCATCTTATTTCCTTGACTTCTTCGTCGGCGTCTACCGCTGGTATATAGGAGAATTCGGCCAGGAAGTCCGCCAGTGCTTGTCTCTTTATTGTCGCCCTCAGTATGTATTCTATGTCGAATTGACTCAGCTCTACCGACCATTTCAAAAGTCGACCCGAGGTTTCAGGCTTTTGTAACACTTGCCTTAGCGGGTGGTTTGTTAGGATTCGTATGGTGTAGGCCTCGAAATTGATGAGGACATCAGGGATGCAAGGAATACTCATGATCCAATCCAAGTTCCAGTTGGTCTGTTGACAAGGTATTAAGCTAAAAGATTTAAAGAAGACTTAAATAACCTAGTCCAAAGAGTTCTTCAACAGGAAGAAAGTGTGTTCACTACTGAGGGTGGAGAAAGGCTAGTGTTGCTCATTAAAGTTGATCCGGAAGAGAGCTACTCAAGCATGGCTAAATTCGCATGACATCCCAAGGCTCACGTGCATGGGAATGCTCCAAGGGGTTAGGCCCACATTCCAGCAAAGGATCAAGTCAAAATTGCGGATTACACATTTAAATTTCATAGTATGTGATTTAAGGGAGAAATTGGATTCAAATTCGGATTTCCTTCCCTATGATTAGTTTTAGGCATTTTAAAAGGAATGAATTAGACTCTAAGTCAGATTCCTTCCCTAAGAGTTATCTTTGGGCGATTTTATATTGTTTTAGGAGTCTATCTTCATTTAGGCGCCTACCCCATTAAGGGTAGGATAAGACTTTTACAATTTTTAAACCTTTCAGCTTGTTTTCAACTATTTAAGGCTGAAATCCGAATTTAATAAGAAGTTTTGATATTTTTATTCACTTTGTGAAATATTCTTCTTGTGTTCTTGAAGAAACTATTCCGAACTTATCAAGGTTTCCTTGTGGCGTTCAAACTTGACTTATCAAATGAATTTCCATACTTGTTTGTGGCGTCTTCACCATACCAAGGTTCTTGCTTCACTAAGCAACGGGTGGCGGTTTCCACCAATTCTTGAAGATCTTGGATCGTATCCCATATTTGGCTACGAGTTTCGTCACATTATTGGCGGGGTTCGTATCAGAAATAGTGCCGAAGCTTCCTCGAGGCCACTATCAAGGCGAGAGCTAACTGTTCCATCCGGGTATATCTTGACTCGGCGTCTAGGAGCCTTTTGCTTACATAGTAGACCGGTAACTAGATTCCTTATTCTCTGATCAGTACCCAGCTTACGGCGTGCTTTGATACGGAGAGGTATAAGCTTAACTTATCGCCGGGTATGGGCTTTGATAGGATGAGAGGTTTGCCAAGGTGCTCTTTCAGCTTCTGGAAGGCCTCTTCACATTGAGGCGTCCATTCAAAACACTTTCCTCCCTTCAAAGCATCGAAGAAGGGAACACATTTGTCTGTCGTCTTAGATATGAATCTATTGAGGGCGGCGACGCATCCGGTGAGCCTTTGGACCTCTTTTGGTTTCGCAGGAGACCTCATATCCTGCAACGCTTTTATTTTCTCCGGGTTGGCTTCTATCCCTCGGCTACTGACCATAAAGCCAAGAAATTTTCCTGACCCAGCCCCAAAAGCATATTTCAGAGGATTTAGCTTAATGCGGTATTTTCTTAACACATCAAACATTTCGCCCAAATGGTCGACGTGCTGTCTTGCCTTTACACTCTTTACCAGCATGTCATCGACATACACTTCCATCGTCCTTCCGATTTGTTTTGCAAACATTTTGTTTACTAGCCTTTGGTATGTTGCCCCCGCGTTCTTTAAGCCAAGGGCATTACCTTGTAGCAATAGAGGCCACTGTCCGTTATAAACGACGTGTTCTCTTCATCGGATGGATGCATTAGAATCTGGTTATAGCCGGTGTAGGCGTCCATGAAGCTTAACAACTCGTGCCCGGCGGTGGCGTCGATCATCTAATCTATCCGGGGAAGTGGCAAACCGTCTTTCAGGTAGGCTTTGTTGAGGTCGCTGAAGTCGACACACGTTCTCCACGCTCCATTAGGTTTTTTCACCAGGACAGGGTTTGAAACCCATTTGGGATAGTGAGCCTCCCTAATGAAGCTGTTATTGATGAGCTTGTCGACCTCTTCCTTTAAAGCCTCATACCTTTCTGGATTCATCGGTTGGCATTTTTGACGTTTTGAAGGGTAAGTGAGGACGACGTTCAGGGCATGACACATGACTTGAGAGTCGATGCCTTCCATATCTGCATGCGTCCAAGCGAACACATCCAAATTCTTCTTCCGAAATTCCTCGATCCCTATTCTGAGCGCTGATGGCAGATCGGATCCTATCTTCAGTATCCTCGCCGGGTCCTGCTGATCCACCTGGACTTCCGCCAGCTACTCGATTAGTTGGGACCATGATTCCTCCGTGACCCTAGGGTCTATATCCTCAACTGGTCCTTGTTGTACCATTCTTACCTTTAGCTTCCCAGGCTGATTGTACCCGCGTATGGCGTCCGAGTATGCTACTATAGACTCGTATTGGTTGCTTTTTATTTCCCCTACGCCATTGGGTATGGGAAACTTGACATTCTGGTGGTAAATGAAGGTTATCGCCTTTAGTGCCTGAAGGGTCGGCTGTCCGATTACAGCGCTGTACTGTGAGCCCCCTTTGATTACCATACAATTTGCCATGGTGGTTGCATGCCTAGGTTTCTCCCCTGCGGTTATTGGCAACCGAATCGTTCCTTGGGGGATGACTGAGTCCCTCGTGAATCTATACAACGACTGGGACGTTGTCTCTAGTTGCTCCTTGGGAATCCCCATTTTCTCCAAACAGTCAGAGTATAAAATGTCCACCGAGCTCCCGTTGTCCACCAGGATCCTGCATACGGTGTGGTTCCCAATAACTGCCTCTACCACCAAGGCATCATTGTGGGGAAAATGGACTCCATTTGCGTCTTCCTCGGTGAATGACACGTCTGTGCCACTGAATTTGGTAATCTTAGTGGTGGAGAGAGTCCAAAATCTCTCCTGGTACACCCCTTGCCTCGTGGGCATCGCTCTTCTGGGACTTTCTGGAGCCTCCCCCCAGATACAGTCCCCCATGTATGGTTCTTATGATGCCGACCGGCTCGCGATCTTCACCTCACCGATTCTCCTCCCGGCGTCGACCGTCGTTTCCGGGAACATGAACTCGTCTTTCAGCCTTGAACTCTTGTAGCCTCCCCTTGCGGATTAACCTTTCAATTTCGTCTTTCAGGTCGGCGCCGTCGTTGGTTTTGTGGCCGACGTCACTGTGGAACCGGCAATACTTGCTCTGATTCCTTCGGTTCGGGTTCGACTTCATTGGTTCCGGTCGGCGTAATAAGTTTCCTCGCCCGACCTGGTTGAACACTTCCTCGATGCCTATAGTGAGCTCGTGATAGGAGTCATACCGTTGGAACGGTCGAGGATTCTGATTTTCATCCGGCCTCAGCTTTTTTTGTCTCCGGAGGGTTTGGCGTCGACGCGGTCTGTTTCTCTCCATTTCCCCCGCCTCGCATTTTCCAATTATCCTGTTTTCCCGAGGTCGACCCTTGTTCTGGTCCTTTGTTTTTATTAGACCTGTGCTCGGGATCGTTCGCATCGGCTTCTTCTGCATTGATATACCCCTGCGTCCGTGCCAGAAACTCTTTATAAGTGGCCGGCGGCTTCCGGTTCAGGTCGCACTTAAACGGAGTGGTCTTTTTCATACTGGACAGGGCCCCATAAGAGTCTCCCGGTTCGTCATATCCATTGTAGCGGCGACGACTTTCCCGTACCTTGCAAGCCATTCTTTTAATGACTCGTTCGGTTTTTGGTATACCATTGTCTGGTTTTGCTTCGGTGGGATATATTTCTTTACCTTAATGAACTGAAGGGAAAAGGCTTCCTTCAGCTTCTCCCAGCTGGAGATGGACTCTGGTTTGAGTGTCCGGAACCATCGTCGGGCAGAGTCCGTCAAGTGGTTTCAGAATGCTCGGCACATTATCTCCTCCACATATCCATGCAGGAGCATGTGTCCCGTGTACATCTCCAGGTGATCATCGGGATCCCCTCTGCCATCGTACGGTGGGATAGTTGGGGACTTGTATTTGTTGGGTAAAGGTGGTGCCATGATTTCTGCGGTAAAAGGGTGGTCGTGAGTTCGGCTGGGAGTGATGTTGACGTTGACTACTTCTGCTACCCGTCCAAGGTTTTTTTGTAGGTGGCTCACCTGGCATCTGACGTCTTTCTTTAAACCGGTGACGTCACCAGTGAACCTTTCTTCTAGGCTCGTCACTCGCTCCATAATGGCTTTGGCCTCTTCCATAGAAATCGCAGAGATGGTACCTTTTGAGGCTCCTGCCTTCTTCGTATTCAGCTTATCCCTCAAGTCTCCGCCTTCTTGCACTGACCCCGAATCTCCTGGGATATTCTTTCCCGGGTTCCAAGGTGGCGCCTCAGGGTTTTCCAAACTGACGAGTGCTATTCTCTCCTGGGTTTGTCGCCTGGCAGCCCTTTGTCGGCTACCAACGGATTTAGACGGTCGATGTCTTAGGTTATCTCCCTTGGCGTTTTCATTGTCCCTGATCCCTTCTGGAGCATCTTGGCGGTCACCAGCATCCTGGTTCCCAGCCATTGCAGCTCCTAGTGGTCTCAAGGCATCTTCCAAGGGAGGCATGAAATTTCTTCCTTCCAATTGCTCGACAATGGTCGTTAGTCCTCAAACTAAGTCGGTCAGAGTGTCCAGCCGGGCCTGCATCTGTGCTGGGTTAAGCTGCGGCGTGCTTGTGGGTGGAGCTTCATCCCTCGCAAGGGGTTGTTTCCCCCGGTCGGGCTGATTCCTCCCAGCCCCACTGTTGGTCGAATTTTCCTTCATTTGACTGGTCGGATTTGAAGCACCGTTTTTCTTTCGTGGAGGCATGGTCGTTTGTTGTTCGGGGTTGAACACGCGAACCAGAGATTCTGGGTTCGTTCCCCAGCGGAGTCGCCAATTGTTGACAGTGGAATTTCGTCAACAAGACCTTACCGGATTACCCCACAGTATCTCGTTAGGTTACCGGTTTGGAACTTGTGATTTCACTGAATATATTGGATTTTTGTAGTATAGTTTTTGCTAGGTTGTGAAGTAAATGAGATTATGCTTATGAAAGTAAGAACACACAGGAATTTTATAGTGGTTCCCTCTGTTAATCAAGAGCTACATCCACTGTATTGTATTTCTCTTATCTTTGTTCTTCCAAGTTACACATGTGTTAGCAAAGAATTCCTCCTCCATCTCTCTCTCTCGGGGGCTCTTCCATTTTATAGTGAGTATTGCATGAGTCACTGCCCAATGGTAGGCGGTTTGGACCATTTGACCGTGTCCTTCATGGGGCCCGCTTACTCGAGTAGCCTATGGTCTCTTTTGTTCAGACCATAGCCTGTAATTACCTTTTGGACTGCTCACTCATCCAATTTGTCCCCCCATTACGGCTCTGTAGATCTATGTAATAGCTTGTGATTCGTTCTAGGCGGCTTTAGGGGTTTGTAATCATTTCTTATGCAACTGACCTTCTCCAAATCCAGACGCAACCTTGGGATATTCGGCTTATCTTCTCAGGGGTCTTCCTTGAGATGTGGATCCAGTTGCTTGCGCTCTGTCGTCTATGCCTATGCTGACATCTGCCGAGGGTATCTTCCCTCACGACTGACTTTATCGCGTCATTTGACCTGGATTGGTCTCGCAGACCCCGACTGTGTAAAAGGTCGACGGTCTCGGTCTCCTTATACATTCGGCTCTCCCGCCATACAGGAGAGACTAATAGCCCTCGGACGTCGAGGGCTAAATGACGTGGCAAGCATGGAACCACAAGTAGCCTGGTCGTTGTCCGACGTGTCGGTGTGAATTTTCCCACACAACACTCAATTCTACTCAAAAAATAAATTACACACAACACATTGATCAGGCAAAACTTGTGACTATTTTGAACGGAGAAGGAAAAAAAAAAAAAAAAAAAAAAAAAAAAAAAAAAAAAAAAAAAAAAACCTTTTTTTTAATGAGCGAAAAAAGACATCATTACTGCTAACTCTCTTAGTACCCTAGAAATACCTAATATTGTAGGTTAATAATTTAAATTTTCTTTTTTATTATAGATAAAGAAGGTGAAGGTAGTAAATAGAAGATTTATGAAAACTATAATTAATTTTAATTAATTTTTTCGTTCATTAAACGACAACGTTTCTAGCTTGTACTGATTGCAGGATTGCAACAGCAAAAACAAACAAAAAAGTGATTTCATCAAAACTCCATTTCGTACAAAGAGAGAATCCAGAACCTCCAAAAGGCTAATCCTGATACTAAGAAGCAAAGAATAAAGAGAATTTCCAAGCAACAGAACGAAGAAAATGGAAGCTCTGTTGTGCAGGAAAGTGGGCGATCCAACAATAGATTTACAGAGTCCCAATTCCCCAGTAGTTGTGGAAAACAAGTACCCAATCCCAGAATTGGGCTCCCCAAAAGCCGTGAGAGTGAGAGTCAAAGCCACGAGCTTGAACTACGCCAATTACTTGCAGGTGCTGGGCAAGTACCAGGAGAAGCCTCCCTTTCCTTTCATCCCTGGTTCCGACTTCTCCGGCGTCGTCGACGCCGTGGGAGCCGCCGTTGAGAATTTCAAAGTGGGCGATCCCGTTTGTTCTTTTGCCGCCCTCGGAACCTTCGCTCAGTTTGTTGTCGTTGACGAGAACCATCTGTGAGTTCTCTTTGTTTTTTTTGAAAATCCCAGCTTCAGTTTTATGTAAAATGGCTGTTTTTTAATGGCTTGACTGAAATCCCAGGATCAAGGTGCCTCAGGGATGTGATCTGGTTGAGGCTGGCGCGCTTCCTGTTGCGTTCGGGACCTCGCATGTTGCTCTTGTTCACCGGGCGAACTTGAGCCCTGGACAGGTATTTTTACTTGTGGCTCAGTGTAGTTTATAGGTTTGAACAGAAAGTTTGAATAGACATTTAAATTTTGTATGTAGCAAACCCCTGAAATAAACGGGCTCTTGGTTTTGTTTTATGAGTAAAATGTCATGTGTCACCACTTAAATTTAATAAAGCACAGATTGAAGGGGAAAAAAAAAAAAACTAGTGGTGATATGTTTGCATTCTTCATTGTTTATGTGAGAATGTGTTGCCACCGGTCGTTTGTGGTGGTAAGGCTACTCTTTCTCCTTGATAAAGTGTTGGGTTCAAGTCAATGTATGTGGACTTGGATCCATGTCCTAAAAAGGAATGCCTTGCCTCCCTGGAGTTATTGAAAAATGTGGATGTCTTTGTGCAAGTATGAGAATAAGAAGGTGATGAAATGGGACTTATAGGTGTTGCTGGTTCTTGGTGCCGCCGGGGGTGTTGGTCTGGCTGCTGTACAGATTGGAAAGGTTCGTGGTGCCACTGTTATTGCTGTGGCTAGGTACCTACTCATCCCAATATTTGTTCATTTGGGATTTTTCATATAGATGTGCCTTCAGTGATGGAATTGGGTTTTCTGTTGCCTGTTGAATTTACAGAGGAGCTGAAAAGGTGGAGTGTTTGAAAGCACTGGGTGTTGATCATGTGGTGGACTCCGGCAACGAAAATGTTATCCAAAGTGTCAAGGACTTCCTCAAGGCCAGAAAGCTTAAAGGGGTTGACGTTTTGTATGATCCCGTCGGAGGCAAGCTTACTAAAGAAAGTATGAAGCTATTGAACTGGGGGGCAAACATATTGATCATAGGCTTTGCCAGTGGAGAAGTTCCTGTCATCCCCGCGAATATCGCACTTGTTAAGGTTTTCTTTTGAACCCCAAGTTTCGTCTTTTAAACCTAACATACATTATGATTGCATCCCTTAGAAATCAAGTTCTATAAACAGGTTTCTGCTTAAGCTTCTTAGTTACATGAAAAATTTAAATGCAAAAAGGATCAAGTAGGAGTAGGATATAAAAGGCTTTATGAAATAGTCTAGTTTGATAGCTTGATTGTTATGTTAATAGAAGTGTTATACATGTAGTATGCCTGTCTTTGCCTCTAATGGACTAATGATCATGTAATTGTCCTTTCAAATTGTTGCATTTTTTTTTTCTTTTCTCTGTCAGAACTGGACTATACATGGACTTTACTGGGGTAGCTATAGAATTCATCGACCAGGTGTTCTTGAAGATTCTGTTAGGGAGCTACTATCCTGGGCGGCGAGAGGCTTGATCAAAATCCACATTTCTCACACTTTCAGCTTATCAGAGGTCAGGAACTCATGTACTCCTTTCTTTCCTTTCGTGACCCTTTATTCTCCGCAATATAATTTTCAATCGTCTTTTATCCTGGAATTGTTATGCCCCGCTTAATAGCATGTGAACTTCCGACTATGGTAAATTCGAATATTCCTGTTTCTTGTGAATATAAAAGCTAACCTAAGAATTAACTGGGACTGAGGGGTAGCCAACCTTAAACCAATCTTGAGTTATAATAGTACTATAATGATCTCTATCTGAATGATATTGAGAAGAACAAAAATATAGTTATAGGCACAACTGTGTTTGGCAAGAGGGAAAGAAAATAAGAAGAAAAAAACAGTATTTAGTTAGGTGGGGGAAATGGAGAGGAAGCAGTGGATTTTTTTACTATTATATTTAATATGAAATTCTTCCTTTAACCCCTCCATATTGTGAGAGGTTAATTTGGGGTCCTTTGAATGATTTGAAGTCCATCACTCAATCAATTCTTTTCTCTTTTCTTTCCTATCGAACAACCACGGGTCTCAAAATCTTTAGACTAATCTGCTCGCCCCTCTTCTTCGTTCCACTTTTTCCCCTGTTCTAAAGTTTGGGCTTCTATTTGCAATACCGGTGGTCTGGTACAAGGGTAATGAAAGCAATTCCCCTTCGTTCGGTTGTGTGGCTTTTAAATTGGTCTTTGGTGTCAAATTTTCATAGAAAGATGAAGGTGCGTCAACTTTGATTGCTTTTCTCATCGTAGATTGCTTTTAGGCTGTAGCATATTTAAGAAATTGCTATGTTGAAAGGGAGAGAATCAGCTTTGAGTACAATTGCTGCTTGTCATTTGGTGTTATCCTGAGAAATTTCATCGAATCCTTTGATTGCTTGTTCTTAACAGGCCAATCTTGCCTTTGCTGCTATGAAAGATAGGAATGCTATCGGAAAGGTGACAATTGTTCTTGACGGTGGAACAGTAAGATCTAAGCTTTAAGCTGATCGGTATTCAGCTTGGAAGGGGTGGAGAGTCTTAATTTTTGCACTTTTGTGCTATAAACAATTGGAAATTTCCATGTTGCTTGTTTAATTAATAGTATAAATAAAAACTCGAAAGAGCTGTTCGCAAGATAGCGAGTCTTTTGACAAATAAAGGTATTGTTTCAAAATCCGTCCATGTAGATTCTACTTTGCTGCTTGGACTTCTCTCTCTCTCTCTCTCTCTCTCTCTCTCTCTCTCTCTCTCGCTTCCTCTTCTCTTTTTCCTTTTTTTTGGCTTTTGTAAGTGATATAAACTTCAAAGCATTTATATTACACATAATGGGAGTATTCCTAGATCTCTTTTGTCATGAAAAATGTTGTAATGAATGGAATATATAACATCACAATTACACTATCTTTCAAACATGGTTCATGCTTCAGCAAAAAGGGCAAAAAAAAAAGAAAAGAAAAAAAAAGAGTTAATGTAGAAGAACGCACTTGCCACTACAGCAAACTTTTTCCATCGGCATATTAAAATATTTACACATTCAGGTTTCGTATATACACAGGACGAGAATAATATATTGCCTAAGCTCTTTATCTGGGTCTAATGTCTGTTTTCAAAAAGCGTATGTGTTCCTGCTGCAGCATCTGCCCTCCATGCACAGGATCAAAACTACATCTGTAGAAACTGAAAACCAGGCAAAATGTGTTTTACCAATCCATTTCAAAAAGCTTAAGCTATTACGAGGTAGACCAACAATAATTTTATACTTTAACACTCCCCCCTCACGTGTAGGCTGGACAATGCACAATTGTGTGAGTAAATTATTTATTAAGCCTAACATTTGAATATTTAACAACAAACCCGAAATATATTGAAAACCCAACACGTAATAACAATTTAAATGGAGATAAAGAGTGCAATTACGGGATTTGAACTCAGGACCTCCCTTTCTAATACCGTGTTAGTTTACTAATCCATCCTAAAATTTTAAGTTATTAGGAGGTGGGTCAACAATAGTTTTATATTTTAACATAATGGCTGTGAGAGAGAGAGAGAGGCATGAAAACGACACGGTAAATAGCAAAAGCTTGCTGGGAGTGTGGGGTTAAAAAATGTATCGTGGTTTTTGACAGCTTGTTTAATTTATGAAAAATTTTGGGCCTCCAATGCACACTAGTCACGTAAAACCAGATATAAAAGCTTGGAGAGAAGGGGATTAAGAATAAGAGTGCTCGACTAAGTACCGCTAGTATTTTGGCTTCTCGAAGAGCAGGTCAAAATGAATTTAAAAAACGCTGTCATTGAAAAACACCTTTCTGAGCAACTTGTGGTCACCAAAAATAAGTACTTGTAATAGGTGTAGTGATTCTGTGGCTGATAGGTGAGATCTCGAAACATAAATTAAAGGAGTAAACAAAAATTATAAAAGAAGAGTTCCGCACCTTCCATCCATGCCAACAATGATGACAGTGTTCTGAGATCCAAATGCTGCAATGAATTGAGCGTCTTCTGGTAAGTGGAACTGAGCAAATGACCATTCCGAGCTGAAATATTTTGGTAAAACCCCTGGAAAAGTTTTGGACAGCAGAAAATAATACATCAAAAATATGATTTAGATCCAATATCATGAATATCCCCCCAAAAAAAAAAATTTTGAGAAATATATTCCTTTTCCTTTTAATACAAAAATCCACGCGGACAAGAAATTCGATCGAGTCTTTTGAAACTAAAAGTTGACACATCAATTTTACCCCTCATAAATGACAATGATGAACCAGGATTGGCACCGGTGCTTGGAGAAATAAGAGCATCAAGGGAAGTTGAAGAATTTTGGTGAGCCAGAGGTTGCCCCTGAGCAGCACTTGAATTGGCATATGAATCCTCCCCTACAACGCGAACTCGTAGGCTGAATATGTGTACAGTACCTTTATCACTTGATGTCGCTAACCACTGGACATTTGGGGAGAGAGCAATGCTATAAATTTCTGCTCTGTCAACACCTCTCCGTACCTACAAGAATGAAGGCAATAAATTCATACGAATACTTAAAAGCTACCAACCATTGAAGAATCTAATACAGTAGTTCCACACCTCCCAGAAAATGGCATTCTTAAGCTGCACATAATACACCTCATAAATCGACAATGAAAATCTGAAGTTAAAGATTCTACCTCTTGTAAGCGAGTCCCGTCCATTGTATTGAAGATTCTTATTAAAGTGCCCTTTGTACTAGCAGTTGCAAGAAGTAGTCCATCCATTGTTAATGTCAAGCAGGCAATGTGGGAATCATGAGCATTAATTAACTTCGTCATATTCAGCCCAAAGTGTTCAATTCGAACGTGTCCTCGTTGAAGGCCTGGGCAAGCCAGCACAGATGTATTTGAATGATGTGAAAGGCAGCATAAGCCCCTCGGATTTGCTAGAGTCTCAATCTGGTGAAGCAGCTTCAGATCCATAAAGTTGTAAACATATATTTTATGCTCAAGAACAACAACAATTCGATCCCGCCTTAGTTTCACTGCACGAACCTCAGACCTAAATGCAAATTCACCAATACAGCGGCTCTGATGATCATCCCAAATTATAACTTTATTTGGCGGATACTGGGAATTGGCTCCTCCACCAACAAGTGCAAGAATGTTGCAACGAAATAGCATCTCAACAATTTTAAATCCACCACTTTTCAAGTCACGTCTGAAAGTCTCCTTGAAAGGGTCACAGTTATATATACGAAAACCACAGCTTGTCCCAGCAGCAAAGCAACCATAATCTTGATTCCAAGATACTGAAAGTAAATCTGTTTCATCATGGTCACTCATCTCTGGTTCAAGCTGGTTAAAGGAGCCAGTCGCCCCACTTTCTGGGGATTCAAACGTGCCAACCGTTGTTGGTGAAAATATTCCTCGAGATGTTGAAACAGTTGAACTCATGTGGGAAGAACGCACAGTCATAAGCAGTTGCTGCAATAAAACATATTGTGAAATCATTAGGTTAATGGAACATGCAAAGATAGAAAGTCACAAGTTAAATTGTACCACTCTATGAGGAATGCTTGAAATAGAAGGCAAAGTGTTAACATGCACTAAAACAAGCTAACGAATATGAGACTAAGGGAGCCCAGAAAAAGGAAAAGAGCACCTCAATTATTCTAAACGTGAAGGAAGAACCCTATACAATGAGCAAAATTTTACAAACCTTAAAAATGAAAGACAAAAATTCTGGTGAATAACAGAATTTCCTCGATAATTCTACTTCGGAGTACAACTAATTTAGAAGACATAAAACCTGACGCTTCCAAAAGAACTACAATCAGGAAAAAAGGGGGAAAAAAAGAAAAGAAAGGAAACGGAAGAATCAAAGAAGACCGACCCAAAAATGACAAGAACCACCAAAAGAAAAAGAACCTAAGATGCATTGCGCCAATGTCAACATCCATACAACTCATAGGAACCAACCCACAATGCAAAACCATTAAAAAATAAAAAACCAATCAGCAAAAGGTTGACCTCTTTAGAAAAACAACCAACATGGAAAGGACCAGAACCCTTTACCCTCCTGCAAATAGTTACCTCCACTTTAACCCGCTCACAGAAGTCAATGACCAACAATTCATACCAACTTATCCCCCTACTGTCAAACAGTAACCCTAATTTCAAAACCAAATCCCCAACGTCCATTTCCAATACTCCAGAATTCCAAATTACTTGAATCGATACAATAATTAAGCATTGCCTCAAATTTCTTAAATTCTCAATAATTTTTCAATACTCAAAAGTTTCTTCCTTTTTTTCTTTTGTCAAATAAACATTTGATCATAGATAAACAAAAATTTATCAAATTAAATGGCATGAAACAACAAATAGCCAGATCCTAATTCACAACAATAATGATCATATATAATAAAAGAAACTGTTTCTTTCTTGACAGATTAGCATTATTACCACAACAATTAAAGTGCAAATCTTTGAAAACCCAAAGAAGGATAGCTAATCATCAACTTACAGAAGGTATATCCAATCACGCCCTGCGAAATTTTCTAAAGGGACAAAAAAAGAAGGAATTTTAAGGATTCGGATCAAATTCTTCCCGAAATTAAAGGGAAAAAAAATCAAAATTTGGGAAGAAGATGAACACATAAAATTGAGATTCATAGAAATATGAATAAAGAGAGAAGGAAAAAAAATTGAAAGAAACGTGGGCGATTTGGATTCGAAACTCACCAATGAACAAATTGCGAAACTTCGAATGCGAAATCTTCCTCCGATCGCAGACACTGACACACTAGTATCTGGCTGTTTTCCCTCCGGACGGCGACAATAGTTCCATTTCTTCTCTCTCTCTCTCTCTCTAGAATTATTAAAATAATTTCAGATCTTTGCTTTACTAAACTTTGTCTTGTTCTTTCCGCAACGCTGTGTCGTTTTTAGGCAAATCTTTCTTTTGTTCGTCGGTTTTTAACAAGTATGATGATAAGATAATGAACAAAAGTAATGAACTTGTAGAGGGGCAACAAAAAAAAAAAGGGAAAAGAAAATAAAATAAAAGGTATGATGTAATGATTTGTACATGAATTTTCCTATTTTCCTGATTGTTGAAATAAATAAATAAATAAGAAGTCTAACTTGCAAAAGCTCCGACCTCTGCAAGATTTAAGGAATTCTCGTGCAATTTGCAAAAATATTTCTATTACTATTGTTTGAATAAAAATTTCACCCACATAAATCGTTTGTCTCGTTCATTTCGCTGATTCGAATTTAAAATTTAAATTTTTCTACAGTAAAAAATTCTCACAAACAATTACATCTAACTTTTTTACTATAATAAAAAGCTCACATAAAGTTATATCTCAACTCGAATTAAAAACTTAAATCAGCGAATTAAATGGCCCAAATTTTGCTGAATACATAAATTGTCTGAATTACGAAGTAAAGAAGATATTAAGCTTTTCACTACTGTTGTGGCAGATCCCATCTTGCTGGTTTTTATTTTTTCTCCCTTCAATAACCGATGCATGTTTTTTTGGCTGAAAACGATAATTGTTTAACACGAGGAAAATATATATATTTTGTTTCATAGTTTATAATTTTGTATTTAGATTGATTGATACATTATAATGGAAGTGCTTACATTTTGTAAGTAACTAAAATGGATGCCTTGCTTCCCTCAAGGAAAAAAAAAAGAGTATGCTTTGGTTTCAAAATCCAACGTGGACATCACATTCACTGTTATGACTGATCTGAAAATTTTACTCAAGGATTAGAACCATGAGATTAGAATTATTTTCGATTTACGTGTATTTTTTATAAGAAAAAATACTGTAACAAATCATAAACTATGATTTGAATCAGAGAACGAATCCTCCAACCAAACGGTAACTTTTTTTTTTTCCCTTTTAAAAGGAGATATTTACTACTTTAAGAACTAAAATAATGTTTTACTACTTTAAGAACTAAAATAAGTGATTATGATGTAAATACACCTACTAGTAATTTCGTACATACACACAATGTTTAGGTCTAAGTTCAAATTGCAGCCATCAAGTTAAAAAAATAAAAAATAAAAAATAAAAAAAGTGGACGGAGATAATTTTTCTCGCAATTCTCGGCAGTGCTTCGCCTGTCCTAGTCCTGTTATGATTCAGGGATGTGATTTTATTCCTATCACTATCTCATCTCAAATTGTTGTCTCTCATCCTATCCTTGTTAGGGCGGATTTCCGTTGGACCCATTTCTATAAGAATACTACTATCTCTATAAAATATGTATTGGGTTAAATGTTGTTAATATTTTAATGGATCTATCCATAAAATATCCACGGGCATAAATGAAAAGGACATAGAAAATACTTTTGAGAAAAAAACTTTGGTAATTATAACGAATGATCTCCAAACTTGTTAAAAGGTGATAATTTAATATTTAATTTTTTTTTTTACGAAACGAGTTCCAAATTATTTAAAATGGTATAATGTCGTCTATTTTAAGTTATTATGCTATTATTTTTTATACGATATTTGATAAAAATAACTACATTACATCTTTTTAAATAGTTTGAGATTCGTTTCGTTAAAAAAAAATTTAAAAACTAAACTGTTACTTATTAAAAAGTTTAGAAACTATTCGTACAATTTACTCAAAAAAAACTTCAAGATTTACATGCCTTCACTCTTTGATGTTGCGTGTCACATAATACATTCCAAAATAATAACAGTAACAAGTCGTTATCAACTTTAACACCTTCAATATTGTCCCGAGTCAAGTGGTTAATTTCTTACTACGCTGCAAATAATATCTACCTTTCTCGGGTAAATTCAAACGACCCAATTTATGAATCATCAATTGCAAAAGAACAATCAACCTACATGACATGGCCAATAATTACTTTCAAAACTATTAAAACGTTATATCTTGCAAAAAAAATTGTTTACACCAAGATGGTGGTGCAAAAATGTGTTTGACCTTTGCAAAGTTCATTTTCGTATTGAACATTAAATTGGAAGAAAAATACCCCTTGTTTATGTACCATGTTTTGTATAACAATGTGTAAAATGTTGTGAGATATTGTAAAAACATAATCAATTAAGTTGTTATTTTAGCAAAGTTTTTCTCCTACATTATATGACTCATATATAATTGTATTGATAAAAATAGGTCAATTTATGCATCATTAACTCCTTTTAATTATCTATAATTTCATTTGAAAATTTTCACTTCTTTATGCAATTATTCGGCTCTTTTTTTTATTATTAATAATTTTTACCGACATCAAGATCGACATTATCTGTTGATATTTTCACAAATTCAGATCCTCGGTGGATGACATTTTTAGGCAGAGTGGCCTACTTGAGATTCTCCATAAATCTTATGTACTAGAAGATATAAAAGTCTCCTTGATCAATGATTTTTTGTAAATTATAAAAGAAAGATACATGTATATGGAAAGGTAAACATGATCTTCAAGAATATATATTGTGGCCATTCTTTTGGTACACTTGTGGCCACTTTGTTACAAACTTGGTGAAATTACTCATCTTTTTGGTGTCAAGTGAAATTACTGATTTATCTAAGAAGAGAAATACCAATAATTGGTACCATTGTGGGTTGTCAATTATTTGTCCTACTATATATACATATTAATAATTTATATTTATTTTTTGAAAAATATAGTAGGTAGGGTGCGAAGAACCAGGTGTTTTTGGGAAGAATAAACCCCAAAAAATTAAACAAGTTGCATTAGACTAAAGAAATACTTAATTATAGAGGGTAATTTCCCAAATAGGAACTCAACCCCTCATCCCATATTTGGAATACTTCACAATTCACACATTTGCAGACTAGTCTGTACAAATCGAAGAGTTCTTCACAAACCCCAAGACAAAGTAATTGAATTATTGAATTTATTTAAGCTAGAGCTAATTAAGACACAATATTCAATCTCATGCACCCTTTATTGAATTACACTTTTAGACTACAAAACAACACTGAAGACCGACTGGCACAATCTCAAAGAAAATGAAAAATAGGTCAGATTGTACTCAATGCTTCGGTTAGCACAAAAAACATAAGAATAATTAGACTTAAAGGAAAGTGTACGTAGCTTCACGTGTAAAAGAGCACGAGTTACCACTAAAAGAAAGCATATATAAATAAATATATAAATAAATAAATAAACTCAACCCAAACTACTACTGTAGTTCTCAACTATTAAAAGAAAGAGTATGTACACTTCATATTCCTTCTCGGTTTTCGATATTTTCACATTTTGAATAAATTATAACGAGAATTTTACGGTAGAGTATGAAAAAAATATTTTATTAGAGCATTTCTGAAGAAATTTTTTAAATTTTAATTAAAATGATTAGAAAGCTATTTTAATTAGTAATTTTTTAGTGAGTCATTCCAACTACATTTTTTTATTTTCGCTAAAAATATATTATTTTAATATTTATTAAATTTAAATATATTATAATTTTATATTTATTATGGTTTGAAAGAATAAAATAACAATAAAAAGAAACAGCTAGCCACTTCTTACTTGCTATATTCAGCTAGTGTGAAATGCATTATTTAAAAGCATATAAGTGCACTACCACAAGGTAAATCTACCAAAAAAGGCTCCATACTTTTAAGAAAGTACTACAACAATGCACTAGTCGGAAACTTAAAACGAACATAGAAGTATGGATAAAATATCTTATAGCACATGAGACAACAAGATTACATATACTACATGAGACAATAACCCCATGAATAAAATTGAATGCAAATTTAAATCTTATAGCCCTCTTAGATACGGAGACCGTATCCAAAATACCTTGCACCAATTCATGATGCAAAAACTGTAACAATATATTCTCCTGTATATATATATCTTTGTATATATCTTTGGGGGGAAAAAAAAAAAAAGAAACTGACCATAATATATATTATCCCGCCTGTTTCAAACGATATATAAAATAGTACTGTGTATACATTGTTTAATTATGCATAGCCACAATATCCATTCTCACAAGGAACTCCACCCTTGCACTGTCTCTCGCACTTGCCACAATGGTAGGGATTAAACAACACCTTTGTGCAACGGCCACCGCAGCAACGCTCGCCAAGCTTGCACTTGTTGCCACATTTTCCGCAATTATTCCTGTCGCCTAGGACGTTACGACAATGCGTTTTGCAGCAGTAGAGCAGGCTCTTCCCTTGGTTGGCCTTCACCCCATTGCATATGTTGTACTTGACAGGGTCGCAATGTGTGCCTTTCTTTATGATGCTCGTTAAGAACCGGCTTCTTGAGCGGCCGGCGTTTGGAATGGGGCTGTCGAGGACGTACTCTTCGTCCTCGTCGATCTCAATGTCGGATGAGAAGGCCATTTCAGGATGCAACAACAACAACAACAACATTGCTAGGGAGAGAATGGATGTGCCTTTGATGAGGAAATTGGCCATATTATTCTCTCTCGGATTAGTTGTTGCCTTGCCTAATGGTACGAAGAGTGTACGCCAAGGGAGGTGATCATGGGTAATTTAAACTACAAGTTTTGTGATAAAATATTGCACGCGATGAGGTGAAAAATGCATTCATCAATTACGTCATAATTTACAAAGCTTTGAAAGTTTGAATTAATATGTATTAAAATAGCTTTTTTGTAGGCTAGATTTTCGGTTAGACCATGTACTAATGTTAATATTTGACTATTTCTATTCATATTTATTAGTAGAGCTAGCATGGCTTGTAGACTTTTTAATACTTACTCTATAAAAAGAACAAGGAGAGCCATAGATTCATCCTCCTAATTTTGACCAATGACCAAGCATGCATTAAACTATTCAGCTAAGAATTTGACATTTATATGTCAAACTTTATAGAAATAGCTGTAAATAAATTCATTTGCAATATTTCTGTACTGACAACCATATAAACACAAATTCTACTTTGAAAAGAGAATTAAAGAAAAAAAGGTACAAATGAATCTGCATAGCATATTAAGCGAAAAATGTGAACAGTGCCTAATACTTAGGGAACAAAAGCCTATTTTCTGGAAAAAAGGGAAAAGAAAAAAAAAGTTTGCTTAATAAATAGTAGTGTTTAAGTTGTATCTTATCATAAATTAGAAAGAAAAGTATAGTTAGAGTACATAATTAATCTTGGAAGTGCCTTTTGAGAAAATCCTAAAAATGTGGTAATTTTCTTGTGAGGCTTCGAAGAATAAATATATCATGAATATTACTTATTACTACTTTTTATTTAAATAGTAATAGCAAGTACTAAAGAGTAAAAACTATATATACATATAATTGCTTGCATTTGAAAAATGAAAAATAAGAACACAAATTAATTGCTTAATCCAATGAGAGAAGAGGAAGTGATCATAAACATACACATGTAAAGGACCTCCTTTTCAGGCGGGAAATGCGTTAACCTCACCGCCTTGTCATGTTACTCCACTATGTATCCCGGCGACTATACAACTAGAGGTACACGTGTCTTTATCTGATTGGTCCATCCGCAAAGCTCGTGTGCAAGTTATTAACAAATCTGAACGCCCACAAATCTTGAAGCCCTTGACTCTTCTCCTACACGTGCTCTTTTGCTGATTTTCGGTTTTTGTTTAATTACTTAGATCCATTTCTTAATATTTGTCACAATCTATATATAATGTAAAATCCAACCTAAATTACGCGTGTTGACTCATTAATCTCTTTAATTAGCATTTAATTGGGTGTCATTGTTTGTGTTTTGTCTTTTTCTAGAGCATTAATGTCATGTTAGTTAACAAAAATACTTTTTACTTTACTCCAAAAAAAAAAAACCTTCTCCAATCTTCCATAATGTGTATAATTGAGAGCCTTTGATATGATCATAGTGCAATCTATGGATTATAAGTAACAAATATTAGGTAGTGAAAGTAAATATATAGCATGTGTAATTGAAAAGTAAAAAGCATGTGTGAAATAATACATGAATTATCATGAAACCACCCAAAATAATTAGCTAATAATGTATCAGCGACAATATTACACACGTAGACAAACACACAGCCGTATGTTAATTAATGATCTAGAGGCACAACTTACCGAGGTCCAAGGGAAGGAAAAATGAACTCAGCTGATTTATTTGAATATTCTACGAGAATAAGATTAACTTCAAGAAAAAAGTGAATTTTTTGCTTACCAAACGGATGATGATGAGTAATAAGAATTGTTTAATTGGGAAGGCGTTTCTTCAAATTTAGTTTTCAGATCAATTGAGTGTCCAGTCTTGTAGGTAGAAATTATTTTAAAGATCATGCCGGCAATTGGGGTTATTAATTCCATACATAAATATAAATAGACATACATAGTTACATACATACATATGTGTATTGTGGGATAAAATGCCGAACCTTCAATTTAAACTCTGAATGGGACCCGTAGGTTATAAAGAAGATCAACATTAAATAATTAAGGACAATTCAGCCTAAGAGTCAGGTCAGCAGATAGTTTTCTTAGAAGTCGACCGCTAAAATGACGTACTTGCTATTAGTAAGAGGTCGACCGTTCTGAGAAGCCACAAAGAACAAGTATGAGGTCGACCGTACCCGCAATCGTGGGCAAAGAGGCTTCTGGGAGTGTTTTTGAAGTCGATGCCACACAAGAAGATAAGATAGGCGAGATTTGTTCTAAGATTTACTATTTGTAATTCAAATATATTAAATTTAAATAAAAAAGCGTCTGATTAATTATAATCTCTACCTTTTGGGAAAATATCTCAAAAAATAAGGAAAGTAATTCAAATTCAAATGAGAAATGTTTATGGGCGGTAACCTAAGCTATAAATAAGAGATTATAAGTCAGAAGATCCCAAGTCTCACTTTGAGCAATTAGTGTGTGTATTCTCCCTAAAGTTAGTGAATTTTCTCTCTTTCCTAAAGTAGACGTTGTTGGAAAATAATGGCATCGAGTGCGCAGCGGAATTTAAAAAATTTAATCAACGTCAAAACCAACCAAGAACATGTTCATGATGCTATATAACATAAATACTAAAGATCTAAATCATACATTTTGAGATTTAGGAAACTGCACGTCTGACAAATCAAAGCGTTCCAAACAGCAACCGGAAGAGTCTCAACCAACCGGTCTTCTTTACTATTCTCGTTTCCACGATCGCAGTGCGGGTGGTCACACGTCGTTCAATCTCCTCTTGGTATTCTTAATCTCCTTCCAATCACAAGAGAACCAAAGAAAAAATTGTTCTTGAGAATTAAACAATTTTTCCTCTCAGGAATCTTTTATCAATAGCCTCCAAAAAGTCTCTCAAGTGATCTAATGAGTAATGTGACTTAATAGGCTATTTATAGTGTTTAGGAAGTCATATTTTCGTAATAATTAGGTTTTCCAAAGTTCTAATTGCATCCAGAGTCGATTTTGCCACGTCAGCATGCATTTTACATTACAACCGGTCGACCGGTGATAGAGACATTATAACTCACCGGTCGACCTGTCTGCACTGTCGAAAGTTGTTTTCCTAGTTTTTCAACACGAGAAACTTGTATAGAGCCTCAGTTTTGATTCAAGCAACCTAATAGAGAAATTGCCTGATCAAAACAGTCATATAATAGTATTCCCATATTAAACAACTCTTAAAATAATAATTCAACCAATTTATCTAGAATTAATTTATCAATTAATTCACCTGATAAATCACCCATGAATTAACTTTGAACCTCTTTTATGGAAATAACACAAGTTACCAATGTGTAGGAAATACGCCGTATCGTTACAGAAAATTATGTGAGCTAGCAAAGGGACCTGATGGACATATATAAATCAAGCTCCTATAATCACAACGCTACTTGTAAACCAACAAGTCCGTCTCATGATTATAAAACTCTAGCGCTATTCCACTAAAAGCCTAGAGCTGCACTCTCGATTTATATAGCGTATTTACAAAGCTCTAATTAGCTCTAGTCCATGACTCAATATATTAGTGTATCATCCCCATAGGATATCCATAATCGACTTGAGGTCAAGTTTCGTTTTACCTTCCCGATTACATTTATCTTATGTTCCATTATCATACCATCATAAAAATATTATTCGTACCATTACAAAAAGTAAACCATTAGATAATACAGAGTAGTCTAATGGTCGAGCGCTCATATTTTCCAATCCACTGATAATGCATAAGAGGATATCATTGACTCTTTATAGGAGCTATGGATTCCACTATCTATGAATAACAAATCTACGCATACACGAGTCATACTCCCAATGTACCGGCAAACGTACCTTTACATAACGTCAGGATGTCTCCCTTTAGTACATCAAAGGATACAAGTCAAGCATATGGGTTCATCATCCATCTCAGGATTAAGATGACAACATATAATTTGTCAAAAGTGAATTGTTTTATTCAAACAGAATTATTAATTAAAACAATTCAACTTTGGTCCGATCCAATATAGATTTCACCATTAGAAACTATATCAATGTCTCCACCCATAGAGTCTCACCTCCGACGACCAAGACAAGCCGTCTTTGTTAGGAAGTAGACAACATAACAATCTTAACATGAATAAAGCGTCCAACTTTATTCCCTCGATTGTGGATCATAAGATTTAGACTATCATCTTTTAATTTTTGTCTTCCGCATGTTCTTCACATTACATGCATGGCCTAAAGATTTAGAATGACAGTCTAGACTTTTAGTTTGCTTATCGTACATTCAACTATTATGAACATAAAGAAGACAATACATAGATATATGAAATAAATAAATCTTTATTAATAGTCAAAATGTCTCAAAGAATATTGTTACATTTATTCCTAAGGGCATAAACGCTAACAGACGTAGCTCTCGAATTGAGGGTGAACTATTATAAATTATATATATTCTTGTTTAAATTATGTTTTTATTTGTGGTTTAGATCATTTAATTCACATAAATCGTTTAAAAATTTGATATTATTCTGTTGATAGATTTTTACCGTCAACAATGTTTATGCAAAATATATGGAATATATATTTATACATGCATATAAATTGCTTTTATCTTGCAAGGAATGTACGCATGTAAATGCATGCGAATACATGTATGTTACATGTAATTGTTTGCAATATGCGTTTTTTATATTAAAAAAAGTATGCTTATAATATTATATCTTATAATTCAATGACCATGTAATATATATATATATATATATATATATATATTGCTGGAAACAATGACACCATATACATATATATATACACATACATACATACATATAACTCAAATTGATCTCATTGGAGCTAGGTAAGCAACGCATCATCACATGCATGGTACAAAATGGCCAACAAAGTGGAAAGTGCGATGCTTTCTATAACAAGCAGGGAAACAAGCTTCAAGGGAATATTGGTGGGTACTCTCTGGTCTCTGCGACAACCTGCTTAAAAAGCTTTAGCAATCAGCGATGGAAAGTGTGAGTTAAAAAAAAAAAAAAAGATAAAAGAGCGCAATGAGTTGGAAAAGCCCAACACAGACCCCTATAGCTGTTCACCTTTTCTATGTCGGGCTAAACCCAATTGAGAGAATTAGTTAGAGAGAGAGAGAGAGAGAGCAACTAGCTATTTATAGCTAGAGTACTAGTAGGAAATAAGCAGTGCTTTGTTGTATTGGAACTAGATATGAAAAAAGAATATACAAAACTCACATGTATATTATGGCCCTAGCTAGTTCAAATGGCTAGCTTATTAAATAACTAACACGTAGAAGAAAAGAAATGTGTACTTGTCTTTAAAAGCCGCTCACTTATCAGTAAGTACTGTAGATGATGATGTGAGAAAATGGTTATTCACTTATTCCTGGATTTTCTTTTTTGTTAGTATGATTTTTTTTTATTTTTTGCCATGGAAAGTAAAAAAGTACTACCAAGTGGGTAATAGCTAGGTGCAATCAATTTGCTTGTCAGAAAATGTACACACACTCATATACCTGGACCATCATGGCCGAGCTGCTTGCGAGAGAATTATTGTTTACTAAGAAGAACAAGAAAAGGAATAATAATTGATGAAGAGCAATTAGGATCAGATACATCTATATCATGAAGAACAAAAGCATGAATATTAGCTAACAAAAATAAATAATAAAATAAATCAATATCACGATGACATGATAAATGGTATAGAAATGAATAGATATTATAGTGCATATATATATATATATATATATAGGTTGGTTTAGAAACACAAGAAAATGGAGGGCAATGGAAAGGAGGAGCTCCCTTCAGTCCAAGCACAGAGAAAGAGGGATGCAAAGTATCTCCCGCTTCATTCACACAATCACAGTAGAAAAGTATTGAATCTCTCCTTTGCTTTTTTCTCTACTAAGTGCTTGAGTGAATGAGTCGGCAGTCACTTCATCAACCCATTATGTCCTATCCATGAGTGGGCTGAAGGAAAGCTCTCACTCTCCATTTCTTCATGCATCCCTGCTGTTATATATACAATGTGTGTGTGTATATATATATATATATATATATGAGTCACAAACACACACACACACATATATATATATATATCAGTTTACAAGTATATACAATTCAGGTACAAAGTGATATATAGAGTGCAACAACCCCACTAGCTATCAGGGATCTATCAATCAAAAAGGGAAACCAAATTCTGGAAATCATACATCAAAAGTGAAGTGATTAGTTACTCAATCATCGAGCTAATGCAAGTAGAGAGATGAACTGTAAACATGTACCCATGATCTCCAAAAATGCCCACATCATCATTAGCATTCGGACATGAAGGAATCAAAGTGAAAAGCACATCGGCAATATCATATGTTATACAAAAGTTACAACATAAATGATCTTAATATACATTATATATCCATGACAAAAACACACGCACATATATACAAATTATTGCAAAAAAAAAAAAAAAAAAAAAAGAACAAGAACAAGAAGTTCTTCCTTTCCCGATATATATCATTAGTGACCCAAACTAACATTATTGTTCATATATAGCAATATATGTCATCAATCCAATTAACTGAAGCTAATAATATAACAGCAATAATGCTACCCTAAGACTTCCTGAATATATGGGCTCATTACAGTTGGCTTAATGATATCAAACATTAGTAGCCATGAAATATGAAACTCATCCAAATTAAGTACTGAACCAAATTAATATAACCTCATGTCTATAATTGAGACAATCTGCCGTTTAATAACATACTAAAAGAAGTAAAATAATAATAATAATAATAATAATAATAATAAAAAGACTGACGAACTATTCATGAAGCTGTCCTGTGTGAGCAAGATAACATATATATAATACCAACAAAATTAAGGAAGAAAAAGAAGAAAAAGAAAAACTAGAAAGAAATTAAAAATATTTACAACAACAGAGCAAAGATTAGTTAGTAAATAACTTCAGTACATGTATCCCACACGCAACAGCATCAATAATATCCGCTTTCTTTTCAGAAGGCCGTTAAGTACTGAACTAACAAATTATAGCCCCAACAATAACTCGCTCAGATTAACAGACATAGAAAAGGAAAACCCATTTGCTGAAAGATCACGAATTAAGGCTTTTGAGTTTAAATTGAAAGAGATATATAGATCATCAAATTAAAGAGCAGAACTGATGTTGAAAGCTCAACGAAAGCAAAAGAAAACCTACAGCAACCCAAACACATCTGAGAGCATGTATATATATATATATATATATACATGTATGTATTTATATGTATATATGCGTGTGCTGGCGCCCTGGAACGTAGAAACCTTTGACAATAATCAGTGTAAAACTGTCTTCAAAGGGCAAAACAAAGAGAGCATATTTATATGTAAATCGATCTGAAAATGGGTTGAGGAAAAAAATAATAAAAAAATTATATGACAATAATTGAGTGGGTGACATATATATACAATAGACAGAAAGATTGTAAAACTTAACTGTAACTGTTGGTACAATTTATGTTGGAAATGTCCTCCATTTCTTGAAACCCTAAAAGTTTAAGTGCTGCCATATTGCTGAAAACCCTAGTAGTACTACTTCTCATATTTTTATGGCAATAACAAGTTATAAATGGAAAATATTAGAAGAAAATAAGAATATATATAGCACAAAAAATAAATAAATAAATGGGGGTAATTAAAGAGGAAAAATGACTTGCCCAGAATAAGAAAGAGAGGAAGTTATTTTCTTTTCCTTTTTGCTTTTAAATTATTTTTTTTTAATGTAGAGGAGATGATGGGTCACTATCTCCATGAGAGTCAGAGACAGGAAAGCGACTCCAAAATCTTAAGAAATCTAACACAGGAATGAGAGAGAGAGAAATAGGGCATAGGGTGGGGGAGGAGAGGAATGGGTTTTCATTTTTCCTGTCTTCAGGTGATACTCTAGCAGATAATGTTAAAAAAGCTAGCAAGTACCATGAAAATTAGTCTCTCTCTCTCTCTCTCTCTCTGTAGATTTCCCTAAAAACACAACAGTACTTGGGTGAAAACATAACAACATTGGAAGAGTAAATAAGTTTTAAATTATTGGCCACAAGTTGCATGTAGGTCATTTTTTCAATTAATAAAGTGAGGAATTTGGGATTATTTTTAGTAGGATTAACTCAAACACTTTATGATGAAGTCGAATCTATATAAAATTTTCTTTAAATTATGTCTGCATTTACAATTGGATCATTTTTGGGTCAAATTTTAACAAATTACTAATTTATAAGCCAATAATTTTGGGGGACGACAGGAATCACATATTTTTAAGTTGCATTTTTTTTATTTTTAAGTTGCCTTTTTTTTGTAACAAGGTTGAAAAATCGAGAATAGTAATTACAACATGTGATTTTTAACGCTTTTATAATGAGATTAGCCTAGCAATATATATATATATATCCTAAGTGGAGCCATGTTTTGCTATTTCTTTTGGTAACCTTGACCATATTGTCCCAAGCAATAATTAAAAAATAATAATTTACCCAAAAAAAAATTAAAAAAATAAATAATATTGATATTGATATTCATGTATTTAATGTGCTTTGTTCGGACAATAAGATTATGGTAGGGCGACAACCAACAACCATGACACCTAACATATATGATATGATGACATATCTCTCTTTCTATGATGATCTCTTTTGCTTATATTATACCAATCTTTTTCTCACTTCAGTTGAAGATTCTAACAATTCCTTTACCATTCATTTCATTTGTGATCAATTCTATATATGACTATGTGGTTGATCTAGAATTCCTTAACTTTCCCACTAAAGTTTGCTCTTTCACATTGTGTAACTGTTCTGAAAAAGTAGACATGTTTATCCTTACAAAGTCATGTCTACAGTCCTCATGAAATGATTGAGGCAATAGTTATTGTTAGTACCGGTTTTAGTCTTTTAATAATTTATAAAATAATATGAATAATGTAGAGACATAAAATAAAAGAACACGAGAGAAATGGTATCGCGGTTCAGTAACACCCTACTCGCGGGGCCACGCCCAGATGATGAACAATCCACTAAGAACTCTTTTACAATTCAATTGGACTTAATCTACCCGAGACTCCCTCTCTAAGAAGACGCCTATGAACTTGCAATTTCCTAATGGACTTGAACAGCGAGATCCCCTCGACTTTTTAACATTGGAATCCCTCCAACAAAGTTTTTCTCCCGAAAAACACTCAAATCATCTCACTCAATACAAGTGCTCACCCCTGTCTCACAACCCAGCCAAAACTCATCAAGAGGCATCCAATTACTCCAGAGACTCATTCAATAAATAAGCAAGCTGTGAATAGCTTGACACATCTTCAATTAATTCACTGAACCACATCTGTTGCAGATCCTGTTGCAACAACACTGCAACATAGCTGTTACGGCCAACTTTCTCAAAACCAGACGAATCAATCTTCTTTAATTCTGAAATCTTCCCAAAACTGATAAACGAACCTGGATACGTTCTTAGGCAACATAGGAAGATCATCCAGCTATGAAATCTCAATCAAGAATCAATCAAATCAATTTTCCATCTTTGAATCAATGGTTGACTTAGAAAAATAGAAACTAAAACAAGTTTTTGGATTTTTTGAAACCTGTCAAAAGAAACTTGCCAGCTACATAGACATTTCCAAACGTAATCATCCCAGCAAAACATTCCCAAAATAATGCCAATCAAATCCGATTACAATCAATACACAAATTGGGAAACAAATCCCAACAATCTCCCCCTTTGGCATTGTTTTGGCAAAACTAATAATAGCAACTAAAACACAATACTTTTTGCACCAATCAAGTCTCTAGACTACTTACTCCCCCTTTTTGACAAAAATAAGCCAAACATTCTAGAAAATGAGCAACACCTTCCTGCAAATTGCTCCCCATGAATCCTCCACGAGTCATACTCCCCCTGAATATGGTATTCTCCGATGCATATTGCTTTTATCACCTATCAAAAACTTGAAGTGACCATTACCACAATACTCAGATTTATTAGTACATGCTCTAAAAGAAGTATAAGCCCCAAGACACCTTAAATCAGATTTCCTTACCCACACACGTCGAGGAAATTTATTTTGCACATCAATCTTTGCTTTAGGTGTCCTTCTTGTGAATACGGAATTTGATGGATTAATAATCATACCTCTTTTTAAAGCATTCAAGTATTTGTAACATCTAGGTCTATTGTGGCCAGGTAAATTACAATAGTGACAAATAGGAACGAACCTATTTGTTGCTTGCCTTGTTACAACAAACTTCTTGTCTAATCTTACCCAAGATTTTTTAAAAGACTGCATCATAGTAGCGGTGGCTCCTTTCATAAAGACGGTATTCCCAGAAATTTCTTGACCCTTGTAGCCAAGGCCTGAATGATCACCACAAGTTTTTTTGTTGTGAGAGTAAGTGATCCAATTTTGATGTGCCCGAGTTTAGCATCCTTAAATTCTTCTGGGTCTGCTCCAATTCGAGTCTAGTCTCAGCAAGCTTTCCTTGATGCTTTGTTGCCAAGATTTCATAATTTGTTGCAGCCTTCTTCAATTCATCTCTTTCCTTTGTTAAGACACCAACTTCATCTTTAAGTGATTTGTTTCGTTTGCAAACAACAAGCCATTTACTGTACATCTTCTTATAAGCCTCCTGAATCTTCCTAAAGCTTAGGTCATCATCGTCACTGTCATCTTCAGTTTCATCCCCGAAATCTGTATAATCAACAATTCCACCAGAGGTTGTTGCAGACGCTGTTGCAACAGACTCTGTAACAACATTATCAGTGAAAAATAAATTTTTATCCGAGAATTCATTTCTTACAGTGAAAGCCACATAATTGCTGGTGTGATCATCTGCATCCTCTTGATTTTCGTCTGAATCGTCACTCCATGACGCCGTGGTAGCCTTATTTTTCTTCTTGAGAGTGTTTGCACACTTCGCTTGAACATGTCCAAATCCTTCACATTATCGGCATTGTATTCCCTCTTTTCTTTTCTTCTCTTCAAACCGTTAAGAATTAAAATTCTTCTTTTGAGAATTTTTGTTCTTTGAATTCTCTCCAAATCTCCCTTTCTTGTTGAACTTTCTCAGCATTTCATTGAATTTTTTGGTGAGAAAAGTAAGAGACTCACTCAAGTCCTCATCTTCGTCGGTCTCATCTTTAGTGGACATATCATCATAATCTGCATTAAGAGCAATGCCTCTACTTTTCTTTTTAGCCTTAAAGTTCATCTCAAAGGTTTGAAGATTACCTATGAGTTCATCAAGTCTCATCTTCTCCACGTTTTTTGCTTCTTCGATGGCTGTCACTTTGTAAGCAAAACGTGCCGGAAGTGATCTCAAGATCTTCTTCACCAATTTGACGTCAGTATATTTTTCTCCAAGGGCAAAGGCTTCGTTGGTAATATCACAAAGCTTTGAGTTGAAATCAGCAATGCACTCATCCTCCTCCATTCGTAAACGTTCAAAGCGAGTTGTGAGCTTTTGAAGCTTTGAAGCCTTTACAGTATCTGTGCCTTCATGTGCAGTTTGAAGAATGTCCCAAGCTTCTTTTGCGGTTTCACACGTGGAAATCAATTTAAATTGATTAACATCGACAGCATTGAAAATGGCATTTAAAGCTTTTGAATTACTGTTTGCAAGCTTGTCCTCATCGTTGGACCATTTCTCTTCTGGCTTAGGGACGGAATTGCCTTTATCATCTTTAGTTGTTGGATCAGGCCATCCGGTTAAGATAGATCGCCATGCCTTCTTGTCAATAGCTTAAATAAAAGCTTTCATGCGAGCCTTCCAATAGGGGTAATTGACACCTTCCAGAAGCGGTGGTTTGTTCACAAATCCTCCTTCTCTCAAGACATCCATTCCTGCAAAATCAACCAGTACACCAGGACCTCACCGAAAACACGTCAGTGACCCGCTCTGATACCAATTGTTAGTACCGGATTTAGTCTTTTAACAATTTATAAGACAATATGAATAATGTAGAGACATAAAATAAAAGAACACGAGAGAAATGGTATCGCGGTTCGGTAACACCCTACTCCGCGGGGCCACGCCCAGATGATGAACAATCCACTAAGAACTCTTTTACAATTCAATTGGACTTAATCTACCCGAGACTCCCTCTCTAAGAAGACACCTATGAACTTGCAATTTCCTAATGGACTTGAACAGCGAGATCCCCTCGACTTTTTAACATTGGAATCCCTCCAACAAAGTTTTTCTCCCGAAAAACACTCAAATCATCTCACTCAATACAAGTGCTCATCCCTATCTCACAACCCAGCCAAAACTCATCAAGAGGCATCCAATTACTCCAGAGACTCATTCAATAAATAAGCAAGCTGTGAATAGCTTGACACATCTTCAATTAATTCGCTGAACCACATCTGTTGCAGATCATGTTGCAACAACACTGCAACATAGATGTTACGGCCAACTTTCTCAAAACCAGACGAATCAATCTTCTTTAATTCTGAAATCTTCCCAAAACTGATAAACGAACCTGGACACATTCTTAGGCAACATAGGAAGATCATTCAGCTATGAAATCTCAATCAAGAATCAATCAAATCAATTTTTCATCTTTGAATCAATGGTTGACATAGAAAAATAGAAACTAAAACAAGTTTCTGGATTTTTTGAAACATATCAAAAGAAACTTGCCAGCTGCATAGACATTTCCAAACGTAATCATCTCAGCAAAACATTTCCAAAATAATGCCAATCAAATCCGATTACAATCAATACACAAATTGAAAAATAAATCCCAACAGTTACTTAAATATATATATATATATATATTTCCTATCCGTCCCTTGTGCTATATAATACATTTTACGTATTTATTCCATTGGAGTTTACCTAATTTTTCACTTATACACACATAAATTGCATATTTTCTATTCATAATTCAACCTCAATGAAAAAGGAAATGATGTGAGCCATGCAGCAACTAACAAAAATTTCCAATTAAGAATATCGCCTCGTAGCCCCATTCAAAAAACAATAAAATGTACCGTAACCTTACTCCAGAGATGTGTTCAATACTTTTAGGGCACGACCAGAATACGTCTCAACCTATATTTTCACGAAGTCCTTTGGCGACTCTTACTGTAGTGATTATGTACTTACTAGGGGAAAATAGAAGTAAATATTACGTACCATGTTATTTATTATTATTTTTTTTTTGGATAAGCGTATCTTGTTATATTCTTAGCCCTCAGGTAAAATTATATATTAGCAGAATAATAACAATCCGTAGAGGAATACTCCTGATTTAATCAGTCCTCTCACATGTTAGTTCTTTACCAACTTCTTACGCCAATTGACAAGACATTTATATTTTTAAATTCGTCTGATAAATAATTTGCCATCCCGAACAATATTTTACTGTGTTATTTAACTCATAAAATACTGATTCACCAACAGTATGGGGATATCTGTATGTGTAGACTAGGCTTGACTTGTAATAAAAAGAAGGAAAATAAGCCAATTGATTCATGTCAGGTTAAAGAAAAAGTCATTCTCCCAATAGTACCTTTTTTTTATAAGTACTGTTGGAATTGGACTGATACATAGGGGGTACCCCCTATCTTTTAAATATCTTTTTTTTACCCTTTTTCTTTTAATTCTGTGGTCCAGGATTTGCCGCTCAATATAGGAATATGTAAATACTATGCTTGAAAGGATACTTCTTGACAAGAGTAACTAAAATGTCATTTGGTAGGTGGTAATGATCTTCCCTTTTCTTTTTAAATTTTTTTTTTTGATTCGAGTCAATCCTATTATGGTGAGTGGTGTATGTAAACAATAATATCACGAATAGATTTGTCTTCCGCAGAATGGAGGTTTGCAATAATGTTAGGAGTGGATGAGATAATGATGTCACATCACTAATTATAACAAAATCTGATCTAGCAAAAGTCTTAACTTAAGTGCAACATTAAGGGTCCGTTCGGTTCGTTAATTCGAGTTTTTAATTAGAGTTGAGATGTAATGTTGTGTGAGAATTTTTTACTGTAATAAAAAAGTTAGATGTGACTGTTTCTGAGAGCTTTTTACGGTAACAAAACTCAAATTTTAAACTTGAATAAACGAAATGAACGGGGCCTAAATTCATATAATCTCTCTAAAAGAGATATACTTCAGGTCCAAACGCCCATAAATGTTTGCTTCCTTAGTTGTAGTCATCTGCATCGCAGAGAGTGCTCCATGTAGCCCAACATTGTTCCGTGCGTTCCCAAAGTCTTGTTTGCCATCATATATACTCCTCCCATAATTATAATAAAAGTCTTTGCTTAGCTTTGGTATCAGCAACAAACGTGATAGTGGGCAAAGAAACACGGGCAGTCCTTTGTGCAATTTGGCTCAGCTTGATTCTCGTGCTACGTCACTTCATAGTTTGCTCAAAAACTAGAGACTCTGATTTCACCAGCAATTGAAATTTGCTGTTCTGTTTTTGCATGTTAGGGTACTTTTTTGCAGGAAAATTAAGAAAGGTTAACAACACTGAACATAGTGCCATTTTAGCCCCATGACTTTTAATTTAGGCATATTTAATCTTTGAATTTTTTATTTTTTGACCGGTTAAACTTCATAAACTGTTCGTTAATTTTACTGTTGGGAATCAAAACTATTAAAAAAATAGAAGTTCAGGGACTAAATATGTTTAAATTAAAAGTTCAGTAACCAAAATGTAAATTTTTTATTTTTTGACCGGTTAAACTTCATAAACTGTTCGTTAATTTTACTGTTGGGAATCAAAACTATTAAAAAAATAAAAGTTCAGGGACTAAATATGTTTAAATTAAAAGTTCAGTAACCAAAATGTCATAACTCTGAACACAGAGTCATTTTAGTCTTTGAACTTTTAATTTAGGCATATTTAGGCTCTAAATTTTTATTTTTTGACTGGTTAAACCTCATAAACCGTTCGTTAATTTTACTCTTAGGGATCAAAACTATTAAAAAAATAGAAACTCAGAGACTAAATATATCTAAATTAAAAGTGCAGTAACCAAAATGTCACTGTTTGGAGACTATTATTAAACCAATTAAGAATCTTAAACATGCCCATTTGTGGGAAAAGATCAAACAGTAAAACCCAGAACCAAAAAACTGAAAGGAGTAGAAGAAAGTCATTAAAACCAAAATGGTAATGACGTAGATTATGGGAATCAAGTAGTCAACACCGTAGATGAAATTGAATTCCATTACACAGAAGAAGAGGTTTTTGGTTGTCATTTCGTGGTCCCAAAAGTAATGTTTTTCTTGAGTGGTGCTGTAAGGAAAATGAGGACATACATACTACTGTTTTCCACCACCAAGTGTGAAAAATTGATGAGCTGTTTTTGTTTTACTTTTGAGCACTAACAGATGTATGAAGATCTGCAGAGATGACAAAGTTGCTGCTTAATCCTTACATTCATCTACAATGGGGAGCAACAGCCTGACATATTATTGGACCACCAGTGTCCTTGTGATGCACAATTCTGATCCCGGCTTTCATCCGGATAGGTAAACAACTTAAAACATTATTCATTTATGAGAATGAGAATTTCTCCTGTATGTCTTAAAAAAATAAACTACTGAAAAGCTCATGTTTCAGCCGCCAGATTTGTATAAAAAACTATCTATTCTGCATATTTTTTTAATCTAATATATTTTAACTAGATTCAACACTCAAAACTGACCATACTGGAAGAGAGGTCCTACTCCTCCCTTACTCAAAACTGACCATACTGGAAGAGAGGTCCTACTCCTCCCTTACTGGAACTAATTCTTATATAGTACATTCTCGTGCCAATAAACAAAAAAAAAAAAGAAAAAAAAAAGAGAGATTCTTGTTATCAAACCATATTAGTTAGGTCAAAAGAAATTCAATTCTGCTGTGTCACTCTGTAAAGTTTGTGTGGAGAGATTTTCAAAGTGCCCAAGACATGTGAAAATTAAAAAATGCATTAGAAATGCAGATTACTACTCCCCTGCTCCCAACACAACATTACCACGTGCATGTTTCGACAATTCATACAGAATGGTGCAAAGTTAACATCCCGTACATTCCAATATCAAGAGAAAAATGCACAATCCTAGCCGGCCTCAGGGCCCGCCAACCAAGTCTACAATTCCTAGGCATGGTGGAAAAGCAATGACAAGGGGAAAGAGATTCCTACTTCGTTGAGGTAAACAACGAAAACAGGAAAGGGAAAACTCAGAAAAATAATAGCAAGACCTGGGCAACACTGACAGATTTGATTGACCATCTCACAAGGGCTTTTTCCGCAACTTCCTTCTCTATTCAGTGCACTCCTCAAAGAAACCGTTAAAACACTCAAAATACTGCAAAAGGCTAAACGGAATTACCATAGTTAATGGAAATCTAAAAAAAAAGAGTACCCGCCCGAAGATTCTGAACTTATAACCTGCTATTGCATATATTACCAAAAAGAACTCCTTTGACTTGGAAAACAGGAACTTCAGCGGAGAGATGCATGAAGCCATACACATATAAGGTAAATGCAAGTGAGAAAATTGGTGTAATGGAAGCAAGACATTTTATATGCATCTATAAATATATATTTACAAAAAAATTCACAAATGGTAGATGTATTTCCGTGCATAACAAAATTTAGTCTCTGTGGATGAAAATTCAGTATTCAGCTAACAATCTATCTGTATTGAGGATTGACCAAGCTTGAAAACACCTTGGATACACTCGGACATTCGGACGTGACGGTGACAACACGATGTTCCCAGACCAGTTCATGTTAGATTCTGATGGTACCTTCCATCTGATTATTCTGGAGGCAACTTAATGATGAGAGAATGTAACAAGTATATATTAGATTTGCCGATGCCAGGAAATGGCTCCGTTGTAGAAGGCTGCTTGTGTTACGAAACAGGGATCTTTGATTTCAGAACAATTGAAACAACAAATTTGTTGATCCATCTCCAAATGTTCGTAGATCTGGAGGTTTAACCAAAGCCCTGCATAGAGGGCAAGTCCTCTCTCTCTCAAACCTGAAAGACAAGTAATCTTCTATTAGTCAAAGCATTAAACAAATAATTAGTAACTGCATCAATTGAACCGCAAAAATAAAGAAAAATTATAATTTAGGACACGCTAAAACTCTGGTTTAGCTAAAATCATGTACTGCAACTTCCATATTATTCATGTCCAGTTCCTCGAAACAATCAACGTTTGGTAGGCTATATCCATTTCTGATACTCAAACTCTTATGATTTGCACAAGAACCAACGTAACAAAAGCTCATTTCACTAAAAAAAATGATATAACAAAAGATCTTTCCTTTTGTCATTCTGTATCATTGGCCTACGTATTGTCTATGACTCCACATGTTAATGCTCTTGATGCTCAAAAATATGCTCTTACAATCTTTGGCAAAGAAAGAAACTTATCTTTGAAATACCAAACTGTGAATAAATAAAATCTGAAGATGAGAAACAGAATGCATAAACTGACCACTCTGAAACGCAGTCCTCACAGAAGATGTGTTTACAGCGCAATAAGATCGGAGAATGCATCTTCTCCTGGCAAATAGCACAAAGATCTCCGGCTACACTTACCTGGAATCAAATCCGAGTTAGGTTGCATCAGTTAATAGGTACATGAAACAAACATTTTTTCATAATTATTATTTATTTATTTATTTATTTTATGAAATGTGAAGCAAACAATTTTAGCCATAGGAATACCACTACCTATGTGTAACTATACACAAACAAGAGAATGTAGACATGACGTCTGTCAGCACCTGATCTTGATCTTTTTTTTTTATTGTTTTTTTTTCCTTCTTTCTAGGCATGGAGCTCACTACAACCTTCTTGAGTACTTAGCCATATCAGATACCCCATAATCATATTATTAATTAGTTTTTTACTGTTAACCACTGTTGATTCGGTCAAAGTCACAAAGCTTAGAATAACACCCAGAAGTACTAGCTTGGTTCTTCGGTTATGATGTTAAGTGAAATGTCTCGAACTAATTATGAATGGTGAACTAATCTTAGTTGCAAGCTCCTCAATGTACAACATCATAGACAAACGTGCCAGACATCGTGAGGGCAACTCATGAAACAGTCTTGAGAAGAGTAACAAATTTTCTCACGTCCAATTTATGAGCTTATATTAAAAGCCAAGTATCAAAAGACATTTCACTTTGATTTCTTAAACAACCAGGAGAATGCAGCATATTAAGTAAATTTAAGCAAAATGTGGGGTGGGATTTGGGTGGGGGTTGCAGGTTTAATCCCGTGTTGTATAAAAAAAAAAAAACAAGAAGTAAATTTAAGCAAAACTAGACTGCCCCATACTAACCTGTTCTGGTGTGGCACGAGACCCATAATTTACTTCCCTCCGTGATAATGCCTTTGCAGCAGATAAAAAGGATTGGACCTAAAAAGCAACATAAATAAGTTAAAGACAGCATATGATAAATTTCAGCGCCAAAAAATGCATCATTGTCGTCTCATGCATCAATAATAGCAAATAATAATTAAAAAAAAAAAAAAAGAAACCCAAATGCGCATGCGCACACACACACGAATGGATATTGCATTACCTTCTCAACAACAGATGTAAGCTTAAAAGTCAAATACAATCCCGTAGTTAGTGACGAGAAGAGGCTTCCATTATCTTTGTTCAGAAAGAAACGATACCAAACAGGTGTTGGTAACATAGCACGGTACAAGAGCAGTGTGTACTCAATCAGGGTTAACATTTGTCCCTTCAGAATGAGATGACTATCAGCATATAGATAATCACTAGAAATTACTAGAAAAGAAAATTTGATAACTACCAGAACTGAGAGCTACAGTTCACGTAACATTTTTATGGGAATTTCTAATAAACTATGCCATTTTACCTGTCTACGGAAGTTATAGCCTCTCCCATTCTTGTAATATATAAGTACCAAACACTTGACTGCCATTGCTGCCTGCCTCATTAATGTATCTGAATATAATCCAACTGCATTAGTCTTGGAAATAAATATCAAGGACAAGGAAACAGTGAAGGCATAAAACTGGCATATAGATTTGTCGAAAAAAAATTCTCCAACCGCAATAGAAATCCTAATTATTATTATTATTTTTTTAAATGAAAGCACATGATTTAAAAAGTTAAAGAACTTAGACAATGCCAAACTATATATGAGACAATAACATAATTGAATAGGGGTTTAAGATAACTCAGAGAACTAAATTCCCTATTGGAAGTTCCATCCCCATCTTAAAAGTCAGATCTTTTGGTATAACTTGTAATGAAAGAAAAAATTCCATACCATTAACCAAAACAATGAACACTGCATGCCAGAAAGGTGGTACTGATTTTGGAGGAAGCATGGCCAGTGGGTATAAAAGATCATCATTCCGGAACCACCAGTAAATACCAACTACATGAAGCATAAAAGCGATGAAAATGCCAGCAAGTATAAAACTTTTCCTCTCTCCCTGTAGAAATCAACAACTATTCAGTCTCTTTATCTGATATAATGGAACTTAGGTCAGCCAAATAAAAACTTAACACTCTGAAGACACACCTTTAGAGAAGTCTGCCTCCGAACAATATCATTTGATTTGTACATGACAGCAGATATCCATATCGTGACAAAGAAACCTGAATTTCTCTCAAAAAAATAAAAATAAAAATAAAACTAAAACAATTCAAATGAAAATTAAAAAATGAATGAAAAAGGAAAACTAGAACACTCATGTTAAATAACACAACATCAGCATGCTATCAACTTGTGCACATAGGGGAAGTGGGACTCAGAAGTGAGAATATAATAACAGCAACGTTGCATCAAACTACTAGAAATAGAAATGATAAAATTGACACGGAGGGAGAAAAATCTTTTGCATACTAAGAAGCAATCTCCTTGAGACTCGAATATACCCCCATAAGTCTATTTCCATGTCGTTTATATAGTCCTCCCAATCATCAGCATAATAGACTCGAAAATCTTTTGCATACAAAACCAGGAAACAGCAGTTCCCTTGCACTGTAATTTCTATATCCTCCCAACAAACCGTCAAAACCTTCGACCACAGATGTGTCTTTCAATGAACCAAGTTACGTGCATCAATGCTAGGACTGATGGGCACCTAATTTGTCCTAAAGCAGACTTTTTCAGTAACAAGCGCATTAATCTTGGCTGGTAAATAGCTAAAGTCTCAATCTTGAAGCTACAATATAATGGTTTCTTTATACATTAAATCTCAAATTATCATATGGATGCAACTCGAACCCGAAAAGGTCAACTCCGTTTTCTAGCACTAAAATAATTTGCTAAAAGAAGCTGAGTTTTGATCCAATTTGAGCTCATGCAGAACAAATTGTTTGAACCAACCACAAACGAGAAAATCGTTTGCACGAAAATGAAGATTAAAAAAATAACAGTACCTTGCAAATGCTGACGAATGAACACCACCAGCAAGAGAATCGAAAACGGAAGAATCTGCTCAATCCATTTGGCAATCTGATGAATGTCGTAACTCTGGTAAGAAGAATCATCATTCTGTTGCTGCGGATTCCCGGGAACAGCAGCGGAAGGCGAAGAAGGCACCAACGGCGTTCTCTCGCCCTCCGCCGCCGCCGCCACGACGTCGCTTCGGGCCGAACTCGGCTGATCATCCGATGCCGACATCCTCAGCAATCCACCACCACCATCCCCGTTTGCACAACCTTCTCCTCCTCCTCCGTCATTCCCTCGCGACTGCGCGGAGCGTTCCTCCTGTTCTCCGCCGCCGATAATCCGAATCGAAACCTCTGCGGAATCGCCGCCGCTGCCGCTCGTGCCGGCGCAGTTCTCAACCGAAATACGCGGCGAATCGGGAGCGGCAACCGCACCTCCGTTGACCGCGACGACTCCATCACCTTCGCGCTGCGCCGACCTCGCTGGAACTATCCCAGAGTACTCCAACACGAACGACAATGGCGATTGCAAGATATTTAGGGCAGGAATCTGCAACATGCCAAGACCTCTCCGAGAACTATCGCCGACGCCGACTCCGCCAATTCCGCCACCACGCGTATTTGGAGAAAGATTCGCGTAGGGATCAGAGGCGTTACCTGAAGCCTCCATTACACCACCTCGCCGAAGCTCTCTCGCTCCTCTTTTCAAAATTTGTTGTTTTGTGATCGGTTAGAGAGAGAGTGAGAGAGGGAGAGTAACAGAAAGGACCGGAATTTAAGAAGAGAGAAGCGAAACCGACGTTGGAAAAACGACAAGAAACAGAATCAGGCGAGGAAGAGAGATACGAAACGGCAAGTTTCATCGTCGTCCATCGTCGATTGGCAAAGAAACTCAACGGAAGAAACAGTTGTTCAAGTTCGCGTCTTTCACAGAAACGATCACGTCAGTGGCAGTACGACGAAGAAGAAGGAGGCAGAAACGAATCAAGGAGGAAAACGGAAGAGAGAGAAAGAGGAGCGAGAAATGGGAATGGAAGGCGAATAGTCGACCGTTGAACAATATTAAGTCAACACATGACACGCAAGCAAAGCACTAGATCGTCAATGCTTTTTCATTTGTTTTATTTTTGTTTATTATATAAATAGAAAATATCCAAGTGCTCGTTTTATATTGTTCTTCAGGGGGATTAAGGTAGGGTCCCATCACCATAAACTTCATGAGACTTTTGATCGTGGCCGCTGTTGGATTTCAATCAAACGGTTCATATTACATTTAACATAATAAAATTAGCTAGAATTAATACTCCCTGCGATTGCTCGCACGGTAAAATCTCAAGTAGCCAATGGAAACAAGAAGCCGTTTGGAAATTTTGGTCCAACGTCATTCATCCTGCTTTTTCTTCTTCTTCAAGCCTTTTTTTTTATTCAGCAAAAAAAAAAGCCTTTTCTTTTTTGCTAATTAATAATGTCTATACGCAATTGGTTGTCGTCTTTCTCTGACCATTTTTCTTTGTTTTGATTTTTTGTATTTATTGTATTGACTTATTCTCCCACGCCGGCTTTAAAACCATACAAAATCACATTTAGCGCGTAATGGCTTCAACGACCCTTTATTTTAACATGGTTTGCGCGTATGGCTTGATAATTATTGGTTTTTGCCTTTTTGGTAACGAGTATCAAATTACATTAAAATCATTCCACCAAAAAAAAAAAATCAAATTCATTCCACCAAAAACAAAAAAGAGAAAAAAAAAAAAAACATAAACTAAACTAACCGTAATTTCATACCTCACTCTAAAGTCGAAAGTTAAAACTTCAATTCCACAATTAAAAAAAAGAGAAAGAGGAAAATAGACCAAGATTTGAGATGAATTAAAATTAATAGGCTAATAGTTTACATAAGTTAATAAATAGGCCAAATTACTATTTTCGTCCATAATTTGTCTGATTATGAACCATAACTTGACAAGTTATTATCCATAATTGTCCATAACTTGTCTGGCTATGAACCATAACTTGACAAGTTTGTCCATAACTTATCTGATTATGAACCGACAAGTTATGGCCTATTAATTTTTATAACTAAAAATTAGCCTATATACTTTCTTAAGGTTTTCATATTGGCCTATTTTCTACTATTTTCCTTAAAAAAATTCAAAATAAACTAACAAAAACATATTAAAATCAATACCTGAATAAAAATCCCTTTAAAAAAGAATATAATAATTAGGCGTAATTTTATCAAAATGTGATGGAAATTTGTAACTGCACTATTTTTTCAATATCCAATCATAAAATTATCTCTTCTTCTTCTTCATTTATTTATTTATTTATTCCCCCTAAGGTATATTTGCGAAGACTTGAAGTGGTAAGCAAGAAACAATCTGAAATCCAGTGGTTGACTGGTGAAGGGCCAAGAAAGTTGTCCAGAGCAAACAAGAGGGGAGCCAACAATTTCCGAGCATTGAAGGACATAGACATTTGTTTCACGTTAAGTTTCTGCACGCCAAAAAGCGCGTTCCCAGGAACATTCCACTCCTCACACTCTCATACATGACACAAAAGGACACTACTTCCACAAATCCATGAAAGTAAGAAAAAGGTGCATTAGATTTTGCATAAGATTTATAAAACCCGCTTCCTGGTTTTCGAAGACAAAGCAACAGAGCATTTATCCGGGTGGTCATTAGCCCCTCCAATTGTCTTTCAGCCGTCTAATCTCCCGGATGGCTTCGACAGCAGAGTGGCATCCGACTTTCTTCTGTAAAAGAAAATGGTTTTAACTGTAAACAATCTATATTGCAGACTAAGATATGCAATGAATAATCCTGAATCTGCCATAAGGTGTTATATGAGCACCAAACAAATATAGGTATAAGTAGAATATGTGAACCTGAATATCGGGTAGATCAACTCGCATAAATGGATTTGTCTCCAGCTCCTCCTCGATGGTCGATGGAATTGTGGGGAGGCCCGCTTGCCGCTGCTGTTGTGCCCACGATAGCTTTTGCTGTATCCTCGCATTATCTGGTTCGACTGTAAGAGCAAACTGCAAGTTCTTCACTGTATACTGCAGCAACATAAAACAAAATTGGCACTTTCTTTTAGAAGAGAAGGGTTGGCACTATGCGGAAAACACAAATAAATAACTCGTTATATGGAACTAGAGACCTATGTTTCTTGATATCTCGTTATATGGACAAGAGACCTATGTTTCTCGATAATCGTAAGTGTTATGCTAGCTCACATTTGGATGAGGCTCACTAATAAGATTGCTATGATAAATATCTGATAGTTATCTGCTCGTAAAGTTTATTTTCAATAAATAGAGCAGCATCTGTTATTGGATCTTTTCAGATTGAAAGATAAAGAAGTTGAAAGGTAATTAGGCGCCCAAAAAAAAAAAAAGCATAAGTCAGGGAACTGAATAACATCAAGATTAACGAACTTCTCCAGATTTTAGCGCAGATGTGCAAAATGTAAAAGTATCCAAATAAAGATTGCCCGCCAAAATTGAACAAGTAGAAGATAGAGGGGAAAAAAAAGGCTCAATCCTCTTTTACCTCATGGCCACAGTAAACTCGGGTTGGCTTTGGCAATGAAGCTAGAGTCACACATAGAGACTGATGCATCTGCTCAGCTGTTCCTTCAAAAAATTTCCCACAACCAGCAACGAACTGCATATAGTGAAATGGCCTCAATTCGCTGCCTAACTCAATCAATCAGATAATCACAGGCCACTAATCTAAAACGTTTCTTTTGTGGAAAAAAGTACTTGATATTCCAAGCTCTAAACGAATTAATATATATGTAGCAACTGATGCGGCATCAACTTCACCGTAGATGAAAATACTGTTTCTTTTGGCTGGCAGATGACCTATACTGTTTCTTTTGGCTGGTAGATGACCTATCTCCAAAATAATACCAGTATCCCATCTAAAGCTGTTAATTATTTTAATTTCCTATATGCATTCTGATTGAAAAGGAATTGCAAGGTCTCAGTAGGGAATTTTACATGACAAAGAAAGATGTTATGTTTTAATGATGCATGCTAGGCCATCTTATCATTTCCTGCACAGTAGGAGGAAAAGGAATAAAGTACAATACACATTCAAATCTTACCAGAGTGTCTCCAGTGAAAACAGCTGGATCCTCTCCCTCTTTGCTAGTCACATAATAACTTACATGACCTTTAGTGTGGCTGAAGTGAGAAGACCACGAAACAATATGGTTGAGAACAAAAATGAAACATGTGCAAAAGAATAATTCCAAATTATCCATTAAACAAAGTAACAAACCATCAAGCAGTAGAGTTCTATGAGTGGCATACAAGTATCACAAGTTATTTCAAGGAGGTTTTTAGCGTCCAGCAAAATTTCCCTATCGAGCCAGGTTAAGGATTCAAATCTTATATTATCAAACAAATCATTCTATTGTTCCCAAAATAATCCAGAGCATTTAATCTTCGACCAAGATAAAGAAATTGGGAATCTGACTATCAGGAAGCAACATGCTATTGGCTTCAAAACAAATTCAAAAGCAGAAAAAAAGAAAGACTGAAACAAAGATTACGAGTAGTGGGTAGTACCCACAAACCCCCAGCCAAAACCCTCCCCAACCCCCCTCCCTATGCCATTAGACCAAAGGGTTTTAGGCGCAGAAAACAGACCGACCGGTTTCAAAATCTTAAAAGCATTCAAGAGAAGTTAAGAGCAAAAACAACAAATGAACTGCAGTATGGATTCTAAGCTTAAACTTTGCAACTTTTAAGTGAGAGAAATTTGTGCCCAATCGATCTTCCAATCATCTATCCACACGCACAAAATGCTTCCCTGCTCAGGTTAGCATTGAAGCCAGAAAATGATTATATATGTGCTAATTACGTAGAAGATCTTTGCAGAAAATAAGAACAAAATCATACCAAGGTGTGTGAAGCGACAATATATTAACATCAGCTCCAAGTGAAATCTTATCACCATTTTCTACACTGTCTGTGCATCCCTTTACGTTGTCTTTAGAACCGCCATACACCTTAATCCCAGGAACCAATTGCTTCAGTTTCTCATTTCCGCCAGCATGATCCCTATTAAAAATATTCATTAAAAGAACAGTATGCTCATAAGGGTTGTGTGCATTGGTGCACCCTGAATTTATCAGTGTTTGATAACTTGGACCCTGAAATTAAATTTTGATAAATGAGACTCCAAATTTAAAAATCCATTGCATTTGTGATCTAATAGCAAATGGACCTTAATTAATAGATGTGTCCCCCACAATTTTTGCACAAAATGCATTGTAAACTTTCCATTGGTTGGCAAGTTCGACCCTGAACTTTTGCTTTTGCATTTGGGACCTTATGTTCCGTTTGTTAATTGATGTATGCCATCAATTGGACTACATTGCCAAGGATAGTCTAGGTCCTAAATGTCAAAAGTAAAAAGTTTAGAGTCCAACTTGCAAATGATTCGACCTTGTTCTTTTCAAAATTCAAATTACAACTCAAATTCCTTTGCTACAGTGTTTTTTACACTCACAAAAAGTCAAATTCAACTTCTTTGTTACAGTATTTTCTCACATTAAAAAAGTTTGAGTTGGGAAAATAACACACCCACCCTAATATATGAATAGAATTGAATGTTCTTCCATGTCAACAACACTTTACCTTAGATGGTTAAGTTCACATTTTTATATCATGACCAAAATCAGATATGCACATCAACAATCTACAACTATAGCCCTTAATGAGGAATCCAATCAGAGGGCTTCGAGATTACTTAAAAAAGAAGCTCACGTACGTTTTCGATCAAACACTACCAAACATACAATAACATTACAAAAATATGCAGAAACTACAGCCAATTCAAACAAAATAGATAAATAGAAATAAATAACAACAATAATAATAAATAAAAGAAGAATAATATCCATACCAGTGGTGGTGAGTGGTGAGGACAAGCTTGAGAAGAACTCCATGTTGCTGAGCAACGCCGACAACCTTCTCGGGTTCTACAGGATCCACCACCGCCGCTTCCTTGGTGCTCTCATCAATAATCCTGCAAGCAATTCACCCAAACCTTTAAATAAAATAAAATAAAAAACCAGAGAAATCTATGGAGAAGAAATGAAATTGAGAGAGGACGGAAGATTATTATTTACTCACAAGTAAGAGTAGTTGTCTTCTAAACAAGGAACGTAATGGATTTTCATATTTTCCCCCGTTCCAGTAATCAGATTATTCCCTCCTTGTGATCGGCCGCCAAGGTTATATTGGAAGAAGAGGCTCTACGCCTGGTGGGAGATGACAAATGCCACGTCAGCCTCTAGCTTACACGCGTCAGAATTCTCCTTTGGCTTTTTTTGCACCTTTGCCCTTAAACTTTTCGTGCTTTGACAAATTGGCTCTTAAGGTTTTGATTTTCTCATGCTACTACCTTCTCCATCATCTCCTCTAAGCTTGATTTTCTAGCATTTTGATCTTCAATTCTCAACATACATATGAAGAAGAAAAGAATGATCATGTCAGAAATGTAATATTATTGGTAAGAGAGAGAGAAAGAGTTATCGCATTAAGTCAATTTTCAATAATAAGCTCAAAGAAGCACAAAGTCTTTCGCTACTAGAGAGTAGTATAAACCCAAAACCTTCCAAAAATTCTCCATTGATCTGAGTTTGTGCATTTGGTGAATCTAACAAATCTCCAATTTCCATTTCTTTTTCAAAAAAAAAAAAACCTTAAAATTATGTCCAAACCTTCGTCAAGAATCGTCCAAGGTCTTCTCAGGCTCCACAACCACGCCCAAATCCCTAAACCCTCTCCACCCTTCCGGGCCCACCACTCCGCCGCAGCTCCCAACCGGTTCCGACCATCCGGTTCGTCCAATGCCTTCCTTCCCCGAGCTAGTCCGACTCACCGGACCAATCCTCACGCGTTCTCGTCCGGCGCCGGACTCGGCCTCCGGTTCTTCTCCTTTAGGGCTTCGGAATTGGGCAAAGGCAATGCCAATTTCGCCAAGAAGATCTTTGAGAAGCCGGCCTCCGCCGTCGCCGCCACCTTCTCGAGGTACCGGGAGGCCTTGGGGCTGCAGATAAAGATCTTCGAGAAGCCGGCCTCAGCCGTCGCCGCCACCTTCTCGAGGTACCGGGAGGCCTTGGGGCTGCAGATTGAGGCGTTCTGTAGGAGGAATTATCTCTTCCTCTTGGGCGCCGGAGCTGTAATGGCGTGCGCTTTGTTGTGGAGGATCATGTTCGGAATCGCCAGCAGCTTTGTCGGATTCTCCGAAGGAATGGCCAAGTATGGGTTTCTCGCTTTGTCCTCTGCTATCGTCGCTTTTGCTGTGAGTTCCGCCTTTTCATTTGGTTTGAATTTTCTGTTTGTGATTCTCTAAGTGCTGATTACTACTGTGGAGAATTCAGATTTTTGCGCTTTAATAAGAGTTATTTGCATGTAAAATTAGTTCTTGATAGTGAGACGGCTGAGGATTATAAGCATAAAGATCATCCTTTGCGCCTATATTTTAGGTCTTGATAGTTGATAGTGATTCTCCTTTGTAGTTTATTAATCAGAATGTTTAACTGCTGCTCCATTATTTGGATTTATGAGATTTGTAATTTTCGAGTTTATCACTGATATTAAGTCGACAAGAATGGTGAATATATTAGCAATTAAGACGAAGGTTTCTGTATAGTTTGTTAATTGCTGATTACTTGTATGGAAAATTTCACAGTTTTACGCTCAAGTGTTCTTTGCATGTGAAAATTTAGTTCTTGATAGTGACACGCCTGAAGGTTAAGTGTAAAGATCGTCCTTTGCACCTAAATTTTAGGTCTTGGTAGTGATTCTCCTTTGATTTTTATTAATCAGGATATTTTACTACCCCGTTCTTTGGATTTATGAGATTTGTGATTTTTGGGTTTATCACTGCTACAGTAGGTCTGCAGGCATGGTGAATTGTTAGCAGTTAAGACAAAAGTTTCTTTTCAGTTCTTTCATGGTTAGTTTGAATTTAATCCAACATATCCAAAATTAGTGTATTGTAAATTTGCAACATGTGAATCTGTGATCCACAACTCAAATAGGCTGTGTTGTTTGTGTGATATTAATTTGCAGTGCATGTGGATGGACTGATACAGAAACATGCTTTATGGATTGCTTGCCATTTGAGGGATGTTTCTCTTTTGTTATTATTAGGGCCTTTATGTCCGCTCGAGGTTCACAATTAACCCTGATAGAGTTTATAGAACTGCCATGAGGAAGCTCAACACATCTGCTGGGATTCTTGAGGTTATGGGAGCCCCTCTTTCGGGATCGGATCTAAGGGCCTATGTAACGTCAGGCGGTGGACTTACTGTGAAGAATTTTAAACCAAGAATTAGGAGCAAGCGATGTTTTCTCATCTTCCCAATTCGAGGTTCTGAAAGAAAGGGTCTGGTTAGTGTTGAAGTAAAGAAGAAAAAAGGCCAGGTTTCCCTCTGTTCTAAGCTATTTCTTTCTCTGTTTTTTCATATATAGACTCTGCCTTATAACTTGTTTAAGTTCTTGACTATGCATGTGTTCTTGTATCTGTTGTGTTGTTGGCTTGTGCAAGGCCAAATAGGAACAGAAGTCACACTGAATTTATCCATTAGGCTTGTACTGTGGAGAAATGAAGATTGCAAAAAAAGTTTCTTTGTGAAATGTGTGGTTTAGCAGTTGCAGTCGGCCTCCATAGTCTGTCCTGTAATATCTTCCACATCGAGGAGTCCCTCATGAGTGGACAGAATTGTTTTCATATGCTTTATGGCTTGTCAATCGCTGTTACACTAATTCATTGGAAAGATTAAAAAAAAAAACGTTATTACTCTAGTTACTAGTAGAGCAATGAATTTAAGCCAGCACGTTCAAGAAAGCAAAAATACTGGAGTATAAACCGTGAAAACTCAGACATGATTGTGATCATTTATCCCCCTTCTCTGATTAACATACTATAAGATACTGTGCATGAAAAAGGATTAGTGGCTCCTTTATTTCTGAAAGTCTAACCATGGATATGACAAGGCCGAAGTAAACATAAATCAGGGCATAGATATCAGGAAGTATTTTACATTTTACCCATGTGTAAAGCAAAATCTACAGGGAAAGAACCGATGCTGTGATGGAAACTAAGGAAAAGTTGCAAACGGCCTTTTTTTGTGTGTCTAAGGCTGGTGTGATATTGTATGTGCAGTATGACATGAAGCTACTGGCAGTTGATATTCCAATGGCATCAGGTCCTGACCAACGATTGTTCTTGGTCGGGGACGAAGAAGAGTACAAAGTTGGTGGTGGCCTTATATCTGAGCTAAGAGACCCTGTGGTGAGTGCGATGTCAGCAGCCAAGGAATTTGATGATCTTGATCAGATCGAAGAAGAGGAGGATACTGAGAGAGAACTGCAAGAGGCAGAAAGAAAGCACCGTGAAGAAATTGAGAAACTTGAGAAAGATGGCCGTCAGTGATTTCTTCTCTACGTTATATTCCTGCCATTCCAACTTTTTCCCCCTGTTGTGTTTTCTTTTTCTTTTTTTCTTCTTTCGCCAAGAATGCAAAAGAATGCTCGAGGCTTTTTCCATTTCAGATTAAATCAAATCGGTTTAGATCTCCTTGAGCATGTTGAGTTGTGCAAGGCTCATTTTCCCTTGTAATGCAAGCACACCACAGTGGGAAATTCCATATTGCGAAAAGCTTCGATAGATGAAATAAAGCTCACCGTTGAAAATGACATAATTTAGTATGTGTGATTTGTTTTGCTATGCTTTTTGGACTATATGGTTCCTTTTGGAAGTTTGGAAAATCTTCACATTGTCTCTTTCTCTTCGCTCTTCTTACGTTTATGATTTTGATGCACTTGGAAGTTGTGACTAGACACCGTCACACACTCATATATTGGATTTGAATGTGCATATTTAAGTTTTCTTAGTCAAGAACAGAAACAATTTTTCTAGAGATTTTTCTTTTACCTTTTTTTTTTAAAAAAAATTTCTTTCCAATATTTAAGGGTATTTTCTGCATTTTGATGTTAAAATCGAGTTTTGACTGAAAGTATGTATGGACTCGTATAATAAATCTAATATGAAGATATGTATTTGACGAGAAAAATAATCCATAAAAAATTACAAGTGGCATGATTGAATCGTAATAAAACATCCTAATGACAAATTTGGAGATAATTTTCCTTGCTTTTTTTTTTTTTTTTTTTTTTTTATAACTAATGACAACCAAAGCTTTGTTTTATCCAAAGGGACCAAAAACTGTCATCCATTATTTAAAAAAAAAAAGCATTTTCAAAAAATAAAATAAAAAAATTGAGCGAAAATACTGCCTGACCACATTTCTTATTCTTACACTGAACAAACACCCCAAATATAAATAACTAAAAAGGCCCAAGTATTCCCTGTGATCTTATAAAGGTAACAACTATGAATATGATTGGCGAGAGAACATGAGAGCTTATTTAAGAAAGCTCTTTCTTCCAACTTGGAAGTAATAGAGGAGAAATACATAAGACATGAAGCTCGCAGAAACAACCCATTGCCAGTAGATTTGGAAGCCTCGAGACGATATGGAGAAGAAGAAGAAGATAAATGGAGGATCAGTGGTACCGATTTCTCGGAGCTCCATGGCCGAATTGAAGAAGAAGATGAGACAAACAAAAGGGGTAAATTTTCCTTTCTCAAATCTCAAGTCTCCTGACTTATTGTTGCAGAAAACAAAATCCAGTTTTCCACCGCTTCTTTTGGTTCCGAACACCCAAAAAAAAAAAAGAATTCCTACCTTAAATGTAGGCTTCCAAACAAAGCCTAAAAGAAGAAGTGACTGCTTATATACGTAGATAATATCATATGAATCTGTGATCCACAACTCCAATAGGCTATTTGTGTGATATTAATTTGCAATGCATGAAGATTGTGGGAAAAAAAAAAGTTTCTTTTGTGAAATGTGTGCTTTAGCAGTTGCATATGTCCTGTAATATCTTCCACATGCGAGGACAACTTAAAGAGTCCCTCATGAGTGGAGAGAATTTTAAATTCACAATATATATATATATATATATATATATATATATATGGCGTTACACTAGTTATTAGTAGTAGAGCAATGAATTTAAGCATGCACGTGTTTGGGAAGGCAAAAATACTCGAGTATAAACCATGAAAATTGACATGATTTTGCTCATTTATCTCCTGCTCTTGTATGAAAAGTGAAACCTTAGTACTATTTTATGCAAATCCCTCTAAAAGATTAACATACCATAAAATACCGGTAAATGTAAAAGGAGTAGTGGACTCTCTATTTCTGAAAGTCTAAACTGGGATAAGACAAGGCCAAAGTAAAAATGAATCGGTTATAGATATCAGGAATTTTTTTTTTCCTTTTTCTTTTTTACTTCTTTACTCATGTGTAAAGAAATATTTGCAGGGAAAGAACAGTGCTTACTGAATACTTGGGAAAAGTCGCAGTTGATAAGAGTAATAATTAATGACTGGAAAATATATACCGGTAAAGTCTTCAATCCGGTACGTGGTATTAGATTAGAATCACAAATGTATATTTCTTTTAAAAATATGTATATTTTAAAAAAATATGTATATTTTATTTTAAAATATGTATATAAATATTTAGATAAATTATAAGTATTTTTTTCATATTATACATATTTTAAGAGAAAATATATATTTAAAAAAAATATGCATATTTTTAAATTATATCTAATTTGGTGCCGGATTAGCGACCATTCCTGTATATATATATATATATATCTCGAAGTGCAGAAAACACCGCGAAGAAATTGAGATGCTTGAGAAAGATGGGCTCTCGCCACTGATTTCTTTACATTATATTCCTGCCTCTTCCACACAAAAAAAAAGAAAATTGTCCCCTGTTGTGTTTTCTTTTTCTTTCATTCATTATTTATTTCTTTCCTTTTTTTTTCTGTGGCCATTTCAGATAAAATGAAATTGGTAAGATCTCGTTGCGCACGTTGAATTCTGCAAGGCTCATTTTCCCTTGTACTGCACGTACACCGCCGAGGGACATTCCAATTTCCATAGTTGAGAAAAGTTGTCTTTGATGAAATCCTCACCGTTGAAAAGTAACATGCTTTGACATAACTTTTGTCTCTGTGATTTGTATTTGCTCTCCTTGTTAAACTATATTGGAAAATCTTCACATTGTATTCTCTCTCTCTCTCTCTCTCTCTAAACTATATTAAAAAATCTTCGCATCGTCTCTCTCTCTCTCTCTCGTTATATTTATGATACACTTGGAAGTTGTCACTGCAAGTCTTACACTTTGGATTTGAATTTTGAGTTGTCATCTTCTGAGTAAAGAGCTGAAACAACATAGTGAAGCGATAAATGCTCATGTTATGGGGTCATTTACAAGGTTCAGTTAGTACTACATAGTACATCCATCAAAGATAGTAATAATAAAATAAAAAACTCGTCTCGTTGTGACACACTCATGACAGCCTATAATCACCATTATATCACCGGAGGAAGTACCTTTGCTAGATTCAGTAACCAAGCCAACAACTCCATTGCTTTATTTGCCAATAAGTTAAAGAGCCACAATATTCCTTGGCTGTTATATGTATAGTCCCAAATCGTGTGATCCTTGTCGTTGGTCCATTGTCTTAGTGAAGTGCTTGGAAAACGACACCACAACACGAAAGACAACAAAAGATTTTATGCTATCGCCTCTGTGCCTAATTTTAATGCATGTTAGCTTTGTAGCTTCCTTCATCGTTAAGATTTTATGATGTATTAATAAGCCTAAAAGGACTAGCTAAAACAAAAAGCTTTAAAGCAATAAGGACCCCACCATGTGAAGTTAAGACCTTTATTATTATTGTTTTGATTAATGTCTCTTTCAAGTCAAAACAAGGAATAAAGAGTTTTTTTTTTTTTTTTTTCCTCTGCTGTTGTCCCTTCTTTAATGCGTTGCCTTTTATTGGAACATTTAATTAGAATGATAAATTAAGTTTTTATTCATTTTATCGATTTGAGTTTAAAATTTAAATTTTATTATAGTAAAAAATTTTAAAAAACAGTCACATTTAATTTTTTTACTATAATAAAAAGTTCTCACATAAAGATACATCTATATTCAAATTAAAAACTCGAATCAACGAACTAAATGGGCCATAATTAAACAAAATCAAGGGATGTTTTTTTTCCCTGAATGTTTTGGGCGTGGTAGTTGATTGACAAAGACAATCCAATAATTTAATACCTTTCTTTTCTTTCTTGTCTTTTTTTTTTTTTTTAACTTTATTTGCTCTCATTGGAGCAATGTCTGTTTTGTTTTCTTTTACTTCCCTTGTGCCTCTTTAATGATTTTAGTATTTTACTTTGCTTCCCATAATTGTCCATCTTTGAAACAGATAGCATTAATGCATTACCACTTATTAGTTGCGAAAAAAAAAATGCTCTGATAATGGCACATCCCACGTTGGCCGACATTGCTGTTGATAGGAGAAGATTTTTGTTTTTTTTTCCTTTTTTCTATTAAGGTTTGCTGTCTGATTATTGAAACATGAGGAGAAAATTCCAATTATCAATAAAACAGTGCGTACTCCAAAGTGACTTGGTGACATATCATTCATTCTGAAGGTGCAGTAATATAAATTCTTCTCCAGGTATCAAGGTTTTCTTCTTTTCCATTATTCTTTGGTTTCAGCAAAAACTTGATGTTATCTTGAACAACTCTGAATTGGGTCTCCAAAATCCATCTTTCAGATGAAAGTTGTTCTTAGTTCTCATTGTTTTGCTACATATCATAACTCTTGAAGGTGAACCAATTGCTGCTTAAATTGTTCTTAGGCAAAGAATGACCAGGACTGAGCCTATATATATACATACACACACATAAATACACACACATATATATATATATATATATTTAAATGTTAATAATATGGCATTCCCTCTTTTGGGTGAGATTTTTTTTTTTTTTTGGGAATTCTTTAATAATGAAATAGATGCTTTTGTTTCAGCTGCTCCTTTTCTGCCTGTCTTTGGAATTTTCTGGTTGATTCCCTTTAATTACTTTACTTTCCATCTTTGCCCTCGTTTTAGCTGACTAATTCCTTATACCTCTCTATTATAATATTTTCAAATCTCCATGATCTCAAGCCATTTCCACTATGTCAAATGCTGCACAACCTTTAGGGGGAACTTGTGCCATCAAATTCTCTCCTCTTTTACAAAAGAACAAAGGAAAATCTTGACTTTACCTTTTCCTTTGTGACGAGCGCCTTCTTGGATTCTTTATAACCACTTTGCTTTTCTGTATTCCTTGCTTTTTTTTTCACCTCTTTACAAACTTTCAAGTGCTAATTTTAAGTTGTGAGAGAAAAAAAAACAGTGCACTTTAGTTTGGTGATTAAGCTTCTTCTTTTTTTATGGAGTCGCTTTTCTTTTCCTTTGTGCTTCTTTTTGGTTAAAATAAAGAGTCCACTTTGCTTTCCCAATGTACAAAAGTTGGAAGGAAAGCTTTTCCTTCCACTCTTTTTCGTTTTTAGTGTGAAGCATTATTGAAAGCCAGATCCCATTTATAGATAAACAACAACATCAATACTAACCCTCACAATAATACAGAACTTCAACATGACACTTTCACTATTGAAAAGATGGAGATTCTTTGACAAAATCGTCTGGAAAAATGGGCTCTTTTTTGCAGTAGAGTTCTTGTTATCTAAGTGGTGAGAATGAGCATATTAGTTTGTCATGAATAACAAAAATCCTTAGTATAAAAATGCTCAGGAATTTCACTTCCATACTTTTGAGGGCTGACTTTGATAATTCGTTCTTCTTCTTTCCTTTCCTTTTTCCATTATAGGTGGCTAGTTGATTCAACTAAGCTTGTTTTTTCTTTTCATGGTTTTTCTTATTGGACCGGGAGAGAATGAAGAAAAATCCCATGAAGCTGCACTCATCCATTGCTGCACTTTCTTCCCTTTTCTTCACAATATCCGTCTTCTCGCCTGTTTTAGCCGACCTCAAATCTGATAGACAAGCTCTCCTTAACTTTTCAGCCTCCATCATTCATACCAAAAGACTCAACTGGAATGCTTCTACACCAGTTTGTTCCTCTTGGATTGGAGTCACTTGTAATGCAAAAGGAACTCGAGTCGTTTCCATACGACTTCCCGGTATTGGACTTGCTGGATCCATCCCAGCCAATAGTATAGGAAAGCTTCATGCTTTAAGGGATTTGAGCCTTCGTTCCAACCTCCTCAATGGAAATCTTCCTTCTGACATTCCCTCTATTCCTTCTCTCCAATTTCTGTACCTTCAACGAAACAACTTCTCCGGTGAACTTCCTTCCACTTTCTCACACAAACTGGTAGTGTTTGATTTGTCCTCAAACTCCATTTCAGGAAACATTCCAACCACAATTCAGAATCTGACTCGACTAGCCAAACTAAAGCTCCAAAACAATTCTATCTCTGGAGCCATCCCGAATCTCAATCTCCCTAGGCTGAAGCTTTTGAATTTGAGCTATAACAATCTCAATGGCTCAATTCCAAATTCCCTCCAAAAATATCCATATTCTTCATTTGTTGGAAATTCTCTTTTGTGTGGGCCGCCTTTAAATCCTTGTTACACAACCCCTTCCCCTTCTCCAACTGCTTTTCCTGCTTCCTCGCCAACAATTGTCCAAAACCAAAATGCTAAACGAAAGAGAAAACTGGGAGTTGATTCCATCATTGCGCTGGCAATAGGGATCTCTGCAGTTTTGTTTCTTTTTGCTCTAGTGATGTTCATATGTTGTTTAAAGAAGCGACGCGCAAAAGGCAGTGGCGTGCTGAAAGTGAAGGCCCCAAGTAGTGAGAAAGCTGAGAAGCCTAAGGACTTTGGAAGTGGAGTACATGACGCAGAGAAGAACAAGCTGTTCTTCTTTCCCGGCTGCTCTTACAGTTTTGATCTTGAGGATCTACTGAGGGCATCGGCGGAAATTCTCGGTAAGGGAAATAATGGAACAACCTATAAGGCTGTTTTGGATGAAGGATCTACAACAGTGGTGGTGAAAAGGCTAAAGGAAATACTGGTCGGTAAGAAGGAATTCGAACAGCAGATGGAGATTGTGGGAAGGGTTGGACAGCACCAAAATGTTGCCCCACTTCGCGCCTATTACTATTCAAAGGATGAGAAGCTTTTAGTTTACAATTACATGCCAGTCGGTAGCTTGTTTACTCGCTTACATGGTATGATTTTTACCTCAATCCTCTCAGAAAAAATCTCTCTTTTTTAGCAACCAAAGTTATAGACAAACTTTTATCTATAATCAAGGATAGTGAATTTCTTTTTTAGTTCCATACAAGTCATATTCTAAGCAGTTACACAATTATTATTGATTTGGACTCGTAGTGAATGTACATGCATTATCAAGCACTTTCTGGTAGAATATAGTGAAGCACATCAGCATGCATAGACATGACCTTGTGCAACTGTTGTCTTTCTGTGCATATTGCAGGGTTCAGAGGCGCAGAAAGTACTCCTCTAAACTGGGATTTGAGAGTTAAGATCTCGCTTGGAGCAGCCAAAGGAATTGCCCACATTCACTCTGAAGGTGGTCCCAAATGCATCCATGGCAACATCAAGTCATCAAATGTCCTCCTAAGCCAAGACCTTGAGGCCTGCATTACAGACTTTGGCCTGGCTCAAATAGTGAACTTCCCTCCAATCATTTCTCGAATCCTTGGATACCGTGCTCCTGAGGCAATCGACACACGCAAGCTCACTCAAAAGTCGGATGTTTACAGCTTCGGCGTCCTCCTGCTCGAAATGCTGACAGGGAAAATCCCAATCCGGTATCCCGGGCACAACGAGGTGGTTGATCTCCCGAGATGGGTACGGTCTGTTGTGCGTGAGGAATGGACATCTGAGGTGTTTGATGTGGAGATTTTGAGACAAACTTACGTTGAGGAAGAGATGGTTCAGATGTTGCAGATAGCCCTGGCTTGTGTGTCCAAGGTGCCAGACTCACGTCCCAACATGGAAGAAGTTGTCAAGATGATCGAGGATGTGAGACCGCCGCAGACCAAAACGAGGCCTTCCTCTGAATCTGATTACTCTAATGTTCAAACCCCATGAACGCTTTGGAATTTGCTCTATCTTTTTTTTTTTTTTTAATTTTTTCTCCCCTCTCAATGGTATCAATGTAGTAGCTGCTAATTCTGGATAAGATCTGTTATCCCTACCTTTGTCAATAATTTGCTCATATGCATTCTTGGCGAGCCATTTTCAGGCAACTTAGAAGACGTTCTAATGCAAACACGCTTAGGAAATAATGTCTAATTCTGTGATGAGGATATTTTTTGTTTCTTTGACTAGCAGTTTAGTTTAACCATTTTATAGATTTGGTAAAGGGCGGTTAGGACCAACAAAGCTGCACATACCAAGTACTCTAATGATTTTTATCAACCACTAATAAGAAGATATAAACCTAAGAAATGGAGTCACAAAGCAGTATTTAAGTCGCCAAAAAAGGAGAAGGTAGTATAGGAATTGGGAAAAAAACTAGGTTGAGATGAGGCGATACAACTTATGGAATCCATTGGCACTTAGCATAGGAATAGGGAAAAAAACTAGGTTGAGATGAGACATTATCAGACAAAGGTGAAGAATATCAAAGCGGATAATTCCTTAAGAAATGATAATATAGCATATCAAGAAAAACAAGACAAAATCTTCCATAGCTTGAAATGTTACAGCCCATCAAACCAAGCCAAACCCAAGTTATGTCTTCCAAAATATCAACATCTCTTTGTACAACAACAGCTTTATAAAGAATATTGTAAACTACAATGGAGTTTCTTGTCTGCGGAAGTTCCAAACAAGATGGATGAAACTACATATTCATGAGATATTCTTCAATTCCTTCCTTATAAATATAACTTCGTTCCTCTTTTAAAAGCTCCTCAAACTCCCACATTCTACTCAAACATACTAAAGAAAATTGACTCCGCCCATGGTGGACGGATCAAGTGGTGCTCAAGCCGTTTTTTCAGCTCTTGACAATGCCAAGACCCAACTATACCACTTTAAGGCCATTGTCATAGCAGGTATGGGGTTCTTCACCGATGCATACGACCTAGCTCATCGCCCGCCTCTACTACCCAAACCCGACCAGAAAAGACCCCGGTACACTATCTAAAAATGTGACCAACGCCATTACAGGGGTGGCCTTATGCGGAACCCTTGCAGGGCAACTCTTCTTTGGCTGGCTCGGAGACAAACTCAGCCGGAAAGAGGTTTTCGGCCTCACTCTCATCACAATGGTGGGCTGCGCCATAGCCTCGGGCCTTTCCTTCGGCCACACGCCGCAGGGCGTCATAACAACCCTCTGCTTCTTTCGGTTCTGGCTTGGGTTCGGCATTGGCGGGGATTACCCTCTCTCGGCCGTGATCATGTCGGAATACACCAACCAGAAGATCTGAGTGTTCATTGCTGCCGTTTTCACGATGCAAGGCATCGGGATATTCGTGGCGGAAGCGGTGGCCATGATTGTTTCCAATGCCTTCTTGATGGCCTACCCTGCTTCTGATTTTAAAGGGGACAAAGTTCTGTCCACTCAACCGGAAAGCGACTACGTGTGGCGAATAGTCCTCGTGTTCGCATGATCCCGCGGCCATCACCTTCTACTGGCGGCTCAAAATGCCCGAGACCACGAGGTACACCGCCTTGGTGGAGGGAAACCACAAGAAGGCGGCGGATATGGCGAAAGTCCTTGAAGATGACTTGCCTTTTGAAGAATCTCCAAACCATACAAGAAATATCTCTAATTCATGTGGATTTTTCTCTAAGGAGTTTGTGAAGAGACATGGGCTTCATCTTCTTGGACCAACTAGTACTTGGTTCTTGCTTGACATTGCCTTTTACAGTCTTCAACTAACACAAAAAGACATCTACCCAGCTAGTGGCTTGTTACACAAGGCATCAACAATGAACGCCATTGAAGATGTTTTCGAACTTTCTAAAGCAATGTTTTTAATAGCATTGGCAGCAACAGTTCCTGCGTACTGGTTTATAGTCCTTTTCATTGGTAAGATTGGGAGATTCATAATCCAGCTTGGTGGGTTCCTTTTCATGGCGATTCTCGGCTTCAAATTAGAGGAGAAGAATGCGCAAAGGACGATGTTAACAAGTACTGTAACGGTAACACCACATTGTTTATAGTTTTCTATGGACTTACTCTTTTCTTTGCAAACTTTGGACCCAACAGCACAACTTTTATTGTCCCGGCCGAGCTTTTCCCGGTGAGGTTCCGGTCCACGTGTCACGGTATCTCCGCGGCGGCGGGGAAGGCGGGGGCGATAACTGGCGCGTTTGTGGTGCAGAGTTACACTAGTGATGAAGCGGAAGGGATCAGAAAGGCTATTATGGGGCTTTGAGTGGTAAACTCAGTAGGATTTTTCTTCACTTTCTTGGTGCCAGAAACAAAGGGCAGGTCACTTGAGGAGATATTGAAGGGAATGGGAATGTGTAATAGCAAATGTTGGAGATGAGAGAGAAACAAGAAACTCAAGTGATGAGAAGCTTCCAGAATCAAAACATGTGGTTTAGTTCTTTTTAAATTACTGATTCTGGTTCTTGTGTGTGGGATTATGTCGTGTTGGTGAAAATAAAAAAAGAGTATGTTTGTTGTGTTTAATAAATGCTCTTATCTAGAAAAATAATAATGCCCGGGTAATTTCTGTTTACGTGTTTTGGGGTTGTCCATGTCGTTCTCTTTTTTCTTTTTTTCTTTTCTTTTCCTGGTATTGTGTAATAAGGGATTGTTGGGAAGGAAATGGCTAAATGCCAATGTGGTTTTTGAAAGTTTGTTGTCGTTTCCTTGAAAGAATGTCGTGCAAGTAACGGTCGTTTTACTGTAAAAACGAGATGAATCTCGTTTGATACATAAATATCATGCCTTTTCTGTTCAAAATTTAACTATTACTAAAAGGACATATCATTAATCATCTATAGTTGAGAAAAGAAAATTTTCTTTTAACGTTTTTGCCCGATGGGATCGATTGTTACAATGCTTTCATTTACTACGTATTTCTAAATTTCTTAGGTGGAAGGTCTTCTCCTGCGTTCGTAGTTTATATTGGCTTCTGTTGTCGTCTCTCACTGATTTTAGTGTGTGTGTCTTCTCGTTGTTATATTCTTGATTGGTGTCATTTTTAAAGTAGTTATTTTTTTTCTTCATCGTTTATACATATGTGCAGTTGTCCTTCCGTCTGTGTCGTTTATAGATTTTGGTGTCGTTTACCTTTGGTTGTCATTTTTCATCTTTTGTCGTTTTCCTTTTCTCATCATTTCTTTATTCCTTTATATTAATAACTTTTGTGTCGTTTCTTGATTGATGTTGTTCTTTTATTTTTTGTCGTTTTCCTTTTCCTTGTCCTCCCTCAGCCTGTCATATTTTGTGGACAACATTTTTTGAACTTTTTTTTTGTCATCCTCTCCTTTTTTTCTTAAATCTTTTCCGTTTTCACTTTCTTCTCGTTTTCCTGTTTCTTTTTCGTTTGCTCATTTTTCCATTTCCTTCTTTATTCCTCACTATTTTATTCGTTTGTGCCCTTTTCTTTTTTCGTCGTTTTCCTGTTCTTCGCCGATTCTTTCTCCTTTTGTCGTTTATTCATTTTGGTATTGTTTCCAGATTCTCGTCGTTTTGCAATTTTGTTGTTCAGTAATTGTCGTTTCTTTGTTTTGTGTTCATTGATTTTTGTTGTTTCAGTTTCTCCTCGGTTCCTAATTCTTTGTCGTTTCTGGCTTTGATGCCTTTTTTATGTCCTGTCATTTGCTTTTTGTAGGCCAAAAAAGTGTATATAAAAGAAGATGCTTTTAATTTTACTGAGTGATCAATGTGGGACTACGACAAATCCGGAGTTGCAGGAGTGATAATGGTCTTTAACTTTTATGCGTTTGAGAAAGAAGCTTATTTCCTCTGCTAACATGAACATAAAATTGGTTAAAAAACAAAAGCTTAGATTGATTTGTAAGGCCCCGTTCATTTCACCGATTCGAGTTTAGAATTCAAGTTTTGCTACAGTAAAAAGCTCTAAGAAACAATCACATCTAACTTTTTTGTTACAGTAAAAAGCTCTCACCTAACGTCGCGTCTCAACTCGAATTAAAAACTCGAATCAGCGAACTAAACGGGCCCTAAAATTGTTTACGTTTTTACATGTTTAGTCTAAACAACATTTCTTCTTGTCTATTACCTATCAAGCATTCCTCTGAAGGAAAGGCCTGACATAACTGAAGTCCTTGAAGGGGTTCTCACCGAATTTCGGGCTAGCAGCCGGTGACTCCACCGGCGACATGTTGGTCCAACGTTCTTCAAAGTTGGCAACACAATGCTTTCCGGCGACTCGGGGAAGAAAGCTCGGCCTAATTTCCCGAGCCTCCAGTTTATCCCACTTAATAGTCTTGAACCACCTATGGCTTTTTATCTCCTCACTGCCCTTTGGTCCACTGCCAAGGCGTTTGCTTGCATCTTTCTGAAGCAGCTGAAAGTGAACAAGAAAAATAGATTGCACATAATTCACAAGTGTATGAGAAAATCTATTATGTCCATTCCTTACTAAAAAAAAAAGCCAAAATCAAAGGATTAGAAGTAGTTACCCCTTTCAGTAGTGAATGTGCTTCACTTGACAAAAATGCTGCCAGCTTAACCTTGTCCTTTAATATCTTCTGCTGGATTTTCTGTCTGTTTCCACCTATAAATGGAGGCTACAAAAAAAGATTAAAATAATTACATAAGGGTAATGGACATTATAAACATTTTTGGTGATATAAAGATACAACTCTGCATTAGAGCACAGAATAGAATAACATGTCAAATATGTTATTTTCATTCTTTTAGTGCTAAATATAGTATTAGCGTTTGTATTGAAGATGATCTTAACAATTAAAGTTGAAACATGCCCCAAAATACCAGAGGGACGATAAATTAAAGTATCAATGGTTCTAATGTAGGCAATAATTAGTTCATGACTACTAACCTTCCCGGTAAGCATCTCAAAAAGGAGAATTCCCAAGCTCCACCAATCTGCAGCCTTATCGTGATTTCGTCCCAGAACAATCTCCGGTGACATATACTCCAATGTCCCACACATAGAATTCGATCTTGTGTTCTCATCGAATTGTTTCGCCAGGCCAAAATCGGTCAACATTACCTGGCAATATCAAGCATGAGGAGAAGAAAACAGAAGAGGCAATAGTACTTAAATGAGGACAAATTAATGGGCAGTGATTCATGATCTTACATGGCCATCAGCGTCAAGGAGAATGTTTTCGGGTTTTAAGTCTCTGTGCATTATGCCGTTTGCATGAAGATGGGAAACCGCAGAAACAATCTCAGCAGTATATAAACGTGCCAAATCCTCTCTGCAAGAAATGCCAAATACAAATAGCATTCTGCTGCAAGTTTTTATGGTCACAAATAAGCACTATAACAACCATACCTGAAAAGACCTTGGCGATAAAGTTGAAAGAAAAGGTGCCCTCCATTAATGAAATCAAGCACAAGGTACAATCTGTACTTGGTCTGCATAAGAATGAGATATACTCTTTCACATTACTTCCTCTATAACAGGCAAAGTGATGAAACTCAAATCTTTGCTTAAGGTAATCTTATCACAAAGCATCTATTAGTGGACATCACAAAAATAATGCTAGAGATTCCAACTTTTAATACCAACTGAAATGACATGTGAACTATTGTTCTTTTAATATTTGTGTTTAAAAGTTTTTTCCTCAATTAATATCAAAATATTGTATCAATCAGTGAAAAGAGGACAAATTCACGCCCTCGTAACTTGGTGTCAAAAATTGAGATAAAGTTGTGAATTCAACTTTGGTCATTAATTAACTTGGTACGTAATTACCTGAAATGAGTATCTGAGCTGCACAATAAAGGGATGGTCCACTTTTGACAATATATCTCTCTCTGATCTCATGTATTCAGCATGGTTTTTTTCCATAATTTTGTCCTTACGCATGACTTTCATCGCATATATTTCAGAAGTACCACTTCTCACCTGATAAACCTTTCCAAAAGCACCTTGTCCAACAACCTTAAGAACTTCAAAATCTTCAAGTCCCACACTTTGCCATTCTTGGCCTGAACTTTCAGAAGCATGATGGTCACTATTGTCTTTCTTTGAATCCTCACACAATGTAAGCTTGTTAGGCTTCAATGACTGGCTAACACGAGTTGTGGGACCCAACAACGAATGGGAACGATTGAAAATAACTGCAGGGTCATCATATACTACTTCATTTACATCCTGTTCACCAGCAGCATCTTTAAGGTTCTCCGAACTTGCTTCTAAAGCGGTTCGAACTGAGAGAGGGCCGAAAATATCAGAAAATTCAAACTCGTCTGACGAAGGAGCATCATGAAGTCCAGAAGGAATAAGTAACTGATTCTGAAAGTTCCCTTGAATGTGATTCCTGCTTAAACCTGATAATTGAGACGACACCATCACTTCCAACTAAGAAAGTTTTCGAAAGACTCGAAATTGCGCGAACAGATGAGGAGGGACACCGAACAATGGCCTTAAGTAATTGGAAGTTCTGAATTCCCAGAAGACGTGGCAGAGAGCAAACCAAAACCAAGAAGAAAGAAGAAGAAACCCTTCTTGTTTCCAGATTGAACAGAGATATTTGAATTCATGAATATGGAATTGAAAATTGCTGTGTTTCAAGGAAAAGATAAATTCATAATAGTTAGCTTTGGAAGAGTGATATAAAATTGGATATATTATATTAAGGACGAATTATATGTTTCCAACTTTCCATCATAATTGGGCAATTCAAGTACAAATAACACCAACAAGAGTGGTGGAGAAAAGCACTAGACTTAAGCTAAAGCTTTGCCTTTTTTTGTCCCCCTAATAACTGAATTATTTATGATTACCAAAAAATAACTTTATAATTTTATGTACTTCATTGTCCACCATATAAAAACCACTAAATAAAACTCTCATTCTATCCGATATTTCAGTGGCCTAAATATAATCCCAAAAAACTTTCATCTTATCAAAACCATCTCAGACAAAAAAACCACTTTCTTCTCCTAGTTTCTTTCAATTATGTTAAGGTTGCTAACTTGTACCGTCTTTTTTAAACAATGTCCTTAAATAAAAACTAAACGTCAAACATAATTTCTACCACTTCAAGCCAAACTATCTATTTACACGAGAAAAGATTGCTTGATCACATAGAAAGACTAATCAACCATAAAACTTTTAAACACCTTTTAAGAGGGAAAAATCATCGGTTCTACACCATATCCAATCCAAAGAAGAAAATATTGCAATTCACAGATTACAAAAAGCAAAGACAAAATCTTTTTAAAAAAAAAAAATGAACCTTGTGATGAAGAAGGCGATGAAGAAGAATAGAGCAGCGTGCCCTGCGGTTTGAGCAAAGTAAATTAACAGGCGTCGCTTCGCCGCATATGTAATGTCAGCTTCAAGATTCTTATTCCTTAGGTGGCGTGGCTTGTTCTAATTGGTTAATCTACAGAAACTTCCAGTTCATATTCCTTAAGCAAAGGTCATGTTTACTTGTTGGGCTTTCGTTCTTACCCGTCATCACAACACTTTGACGTTCCGTATGGGACATCAGATATTATTAAAAACACGTTTCTTTTTTTTTTTAATGGAATTTCTGGGGTTTAGTTAGGGTTACCGATCCGAACAGTGACACGACGATATGATTTGAAACTCATAAAAAATTAACGGATTTAAGTTTATTATAAATGAGTTTGAATCATAATCAAGTTGACATTATTAACATGATTAACAAATTAGTTGAGTTATGATTGACGTCTTAACATGAAGTAACACGAATTGACACGATTAATAATATGTATAATCTACAATCTAATAATATGTGATATAACATAAAAGTTTATATGACATATTAAATACAAATAATGTGAATTTTAATATTTGTAGGTAAAATTTATTTATTTTTATTAAAAGAAAAGATAAATTGACCAATAAACATATTAAATATGTTTTAACCGTTTTAAATAAGTAATTATTATATTAATTATTTATTTAATATATTAATAAAAATAAATTATACGGATTGACATGATTAATATTATTAATAAATTAATCGTATTTAAATTGATATTTTTAACACATTTAATAAATAAATTATATTTAAATTAATATTTTTTAACATAATTAATAAATAAATTGACAATCTACTAACATAAACTGCGACCCTTAAGTTCTGTCCGACAACACTTTATTGTCACAACTCACACGCATTGACACCTGTATTCACGGGGAACCTCAACAGTTGGAGGTTTATATATTAAAATAATAAATAAGATAAAAGATATACAGTATATTTTGAAGAATTATTACATGTTGTGAATTTTGCTATATGAAAAAAAAAATCCCACTGTAGGGCTTTGTGTTGAAATTTTATAAGTTATTTATTTCGGGCCCGTTCACTTTGCTGATTCGAGTTTAAAATTTGAGTTTTTCTACAGTAAAAAGTTCTCACAAACAATCACATCTAACTTTTTTGTTACAGTAAAAAGCTCTCACATAAAATCACATCTCAACTCAAATTCTAAACTCGAATCAGCGAAATGAACGGGGCCTTCATGTACTCAAATTTAAATTATTAATTTTATTACGGTGTAAAATTCTCATATAAAATTTAAATTTTAAACATCAAAATTAAGAATTATAGATTTAAATATACCTTTTAAACATACCTTAATTTTTTTATAGAAAAAAAGGTTTTGATTTTGCATACCTCTTTTATTTTGTTGTAATTTTGATAGATTTATGTTCAGAATTGTGCACTATCAATAATAATACTCTACCATGAATTTTTTCTTTTTCTTTCAATATATTGCATTTTGAGGATATAAAAAAACCATACCTTTTATTTTATATTTTATCACATTTATAGCTTATGATTTCAAAGTTATGCTCCATTCTTAATTTTTCTCGATTAACGATCAATTTAACTACAAAATAGTTCCGAACGCCCTCAGTAAAATAAAAGAATTAAGAAAAAGTATTTTATAATCAAAATCAAGTTTAGACCAAAGAAATATAAGAATTTAATATAAATTTAAAATATGATAATATAAATATGATGTAGTCAAAAATATATGATATCATAAAAGACATTACAATTGCTGGTGAGTAAAATGAGTAAAATTGTTTATAAAAGATAGCTAGGAATAATAGAATGAAAAAAATGTTCAAGATCAATGGGATCATATATGAGAATATAAAATTTTAGTGGGCAAAATAAAATATTAGAATCTTTTAAGGGGTCTAATTTTAATTTTTAAGACTACCGCCCCCACTCGACACTATGTACTTCCGCCCCTAGCCTCAAAACTGTGAATTTACTAAACTGTTAAGGAATATAATTGGAAAGGTATTGAGATTACAACAAATAATAATAATAATAATAATAATAAGAATGATCAATTCCCTTTCAATCATTTACATAACTATTTAATATTGTAATGGTTAAGAACCGCATTCCCTAGCTAGTGTTTACTAAATTAGGAATAGCAATATTATCTATATAGTTATTAAAACGTCTTTTTACACAATTAAATAATTAATGATCATATAGTAATTCATTAAAAGTAAATAAGTAAATTTAGTAATCATTCGAATCAATATCGATAGGATGCAACGATTGGTATTCTCTTTCTTCATTCTTTATATTGTGTGAGACGGCCCATGAGAGTGTTTAAATAATATTTGATGCACCTCCTCCATATTTCAATTACTCTTTCATATGATTACCTCCGAACGTCAAACAGCCTTCAATCTCATTTTCCCAAGTCGTTGCATCATTTTTGTTCTGTTTAATTCTACATTCTCAACGCCCCTCAAAGGATGTGCATCTCGGAGCTACGCAAGTAATCTTGTTTCTTGTATGGGCACTCTACGTTTGGATCGGATTTTGAAGTACTTTTAATTCTGACCTAATTTTTGTAGCATAATATGTCTTTGATACATGGAATGATAAGTGCAAGAAAAAATAGTGTGACGCCTCCTTCTCTTACATGGAGTAAGGTGCCCCCTTTCCTTTGTGTATAAAATACGTGGGACTACTTTTATATGTGCTCCTTTGTTTTTACACAGTTTTCATAATTTTTTTTTTTTCGATATTGTTTTCTTTTAGTCTGAAGTACCAATATTTTCAATAATGTTCATATTTTCACCCTAGAGGAAAAACACAAATAATGTTAGTGTAGTTCTTTGAAAAATAATAAAGAGAGGTGTCTTCTTCTTTATATATATATTTTTCTTAATATGGGTTGCCTAGTCTCATTTAGTCATGTTTTATTTTGACGGGTAATCTTAATAAATACTCCTTGAAAGTGCATGAATCATGATTTTTACACTTTATTCTTGATTTATAACATTTTTAGTCAAATAAATACACTAACAAAAGAGTATTTATCAAGAGTAAGGAGTAAAAATCTAGACTCATATATTCTTAAGAGTAAATTATGCAACTTTCTCTATTTTGACCTTCTTAAAGTTTTAAGTCTATACCCCTTTTTATGGAGTGTGACTTTGTAAACTCAAGGCTTGGTTAGAGCAAATTTTAATTTAAAAAAAAAAAAAAAAAACAGAGAGAAAGAGACTTTCTGAAGACGACTAACATACCTACACCACTCCTTTTGAGTTATGAGTCTTCAAACGAAAAATCCCGGATCACATTTAGCTCATTTTATTTATAGGTTTTCATATTTTTAATAATTTTCCTAATATTTTTAACGATATTGATATTTTCCATGGTTTTTTTTAATATAAAGTACTAATATTTCATCGTATTTTCATCCATAAGGATAAACACAAAATAAAGCCGTTGTAGTTCTTTGAAAACAAAATAAAAGAGTGGCTTCCTTTTTTTTTTCTTAATTTAAGATATTGCTTACTCTTTTATGTAATCATGTCTTATTTTTACTTTTTAAACTCTGAGTCTGCACTTTTTTAAAGAGTATCAGCTTTGTAAACCTAAGGCTTGGTTCGAGCAAAATCGAAAAAAAGATAAAATAAAAAGAGAGAAAGAGAAAAGAGTGTTTTTAAAATCGACAACATATCTACCCGCACATCTTTCAAATGAAAAATCTCACGTCATATTTAGCTCGTTTGATTTATAGGTGTTAGAAAATATATTGCAAGAAATATAAATGAACAGATTTATTAATATAACAAAATATTACGACGAGAAAATAAAAGTTACAATCAAAAATTCAATCTTAATCACAGTGAGATTGATTTGGACAGAGTTAGACGTCGAAGGCTTGTGCAACTCACGATTTTTTAAAATAGATTTACCATCTCTACAGGTGCTTGAGAATATCTTGAGCATCTGTCTCCCAAGATATAACGACGATCGAACAGAACTCTAACACAAGAAGAATTATGTCAGGAAACTCTAACCGTGCCTTATCTTTATCACCAGAACTCTTAAAATGACTTTAAAATGGCCATTTAACATGGTTCAAAAACCATGTTTTTCCAACAATAGATTTGAACAGATAGTTTAAACAAAATTAATAGTTTTGTGAGATAAAATACTATGGCAAAAATGTTTGAATTGTGATTTAAATTCATAAAACAAACAGTTTGCAAATGTGTCTTCTTTCGGCTTCCCATTGTTTCTTAATTCATTGTTATTTTCATGTTCTGTCGTTTTCCCTTTTTGTTGGTTTCTGTCGTTGCCTTACTTTGTCTCTTTGTTCATTTTTTGCTCTGGTTGTCTTTTGTTTGTTTTATAGTCTTACAGTTCATTAAGGCCTCATTCATTTCACCAATTCGAGTTTTCAGTTCTATGTTTTTACAGTAAAAAGCTATCAGAAAATGTCACATCTAACTTTTTCTGTTACAGTGAAAAGCTCTCAAAAAATGTTACATCTCAACTCGAATTAAAAACTCGAATCTATGAAGTGAACGAGACATAATTTTGATGCCGTTCGTAATTCGTATTAGCTTATTGTCTTTTCTCTTTGTTATTTATTTTTATTTTCATCGTTGATTTGTTTGTCACTGTTGTTTATTCATTTTGGTCGTTGATATTTAATTTTGAATTTTTACTTCATGTTTCTTATCTGTCGTTTGATATCTCATCACACAAATAATTCTTGAGATTTACCTACAATTCTATGTTGGTTCATAACTTTTAAAATGCTCTACAGAACTAATATATTATTATATTTCAATTTTAGTATTTTTATTAATTAAGTATTAAATATTTAACGGTATTTATATAAATTAGAGATAAAAATTAAAAATATCTAAAATTTAAAGTCTTATTTGCGTAAATTAACATAATTTCATTAGTCACATGAAATACGATAAAAAAAAATACAAATACTTTTAAGCACTAATAGACTAAATTGTTATAATAATTACTACATAATCATGTTATTCTTTAAATATTTCAAAAAGTTCATATTTCTA